ATAGGAGCCAAAAAATTCAACCGTCAGGCGTAAAAAGTTGACAAATTCTAACCGTCAGTCGTAAAGAAAGTCGACGGTAAAAAAATTTCCGGTGACAACAATGGAATAAATTTAATCCGTTAGCCATAAAAGCCATCACCCGATTGAGACCCTCTGATCAATAAATCTCACACGCGTCAGAAATACTTCCTTTAAGTCAGAGTATTGCACAATTCATAATCAATCACCTAAATCGTTCTAGCTACGTCAGCTAGGAGAGACTGAAGGCTGGCAAACAGTAAATGTCGAGCAGTATACATCGAGGGAAATAATTTGCATCAGAATAAATTGAAAGTAAGTTTTCAGCAATATGCATACCTCAAGAAACTTCATTGTTGTCTTATCAGATACAAAGCTTACACAATTATTCCTTTTCAGACGTAATTTAGCCCTTTTTGATTTTTTGCCAATGTACTGTGTCGCAAAACCCACCTTGTATTGTTGACGGCTACCATGTTTACTCGCCAAAATAACACGGCTTCGCACGCACTATCTGTCTCAGTGCTGAAAAAATATCAACTAGTATTATTCGCATTAGTCTTAAAATACATAGTTATCTTTTTTTTGCTACTGTCATCAGTCACTCTCTCAGGCCCATCCTTACTCGGTAAGAAAGCTGCTTAATGGTTGAATAAACAACGGCAGATTATGTAATGTATCCTCTGAAATGACAAACCAAACCCGACGAAAGTATGCTCATTACACTTCGTATGGAAGGCTGATGGTGATCTATAAGAAGCATCGATTCATATGCCATCCGAATTTTACCGCTTCCTGTCGCCTCCATATTGTTTCCACTTCTGAATTCAAAGCAATCGCAACCGCGAGGTCACAGGTTGTAGTTTCAGAATGCTTTTCGCACCAAACCATCGATTGCATTGTTACGAAACATGCTGCAAGGATTATTTCGTCATTCTATGATGTGATTACCATGTTTAAGAGCCTACGGTTCAAGAATTTTGACATCCAACGGTTTTCTTCTTCCTCTTTCGTTTATTGCAGCTATTTTAAGCTCGCAATGTCAAATGTTGTTTTTGTTTCGAAGCAATTTCGTACCACAAATATCCTATCGAGAAGCCTCCCCGTTTTTTTATTAGAAAAACAAAGCAAAAGTAAACTTTTCAATCATCTATTCCTGTTTTATTTCTTGAGTATTTCGACTTTTTGAAAGCCAATTCCTTCAAAGGGTCTGAAACTTCTGGAAAATAAGGAAGTGCATCATTTACATTAAATTTTCCCGATCATTGCCATTCACGAAATGAGTAATTATATTTTCGCAATGTCGCCTCAATTAATTTTGTCCGAAAGCGACGTACTGTTCAACCAGCTGATTGATAATGATGCTTCAAACAAAGATGTCATTTTGGTAAATGATGGCGTGTTTATACTGCGTGCAATGGACTTCCGCAAAGTAAAAATATAAATGATTGTATCTTCTCTCCAAGGATTGGAAACTTGAAAGTGACATTGTGATACGGCGGCCGGGAACATCATAACAATACATGCTGGACAATTCCTGACAAGGTAAACTGGAACGTATTTTGAACGACCGACAAGGTAAATTTTCCAGAAAAAAAATGTGAATAGTCCTACCAAAAGCGATGTTTTCACTTTCTCCATCTATTATTAGCAGTTAACCAATATTTCACATGGTTGTTCCTCTCGGAAAAACCCAGTCTTTAACTTTCAAGTTCCTCGTTTGCAATCTGACCAATCTGTGTTGATCTTGGCATTCTCAGCTAAACAACCTAAGCTGATCGAAGTCGCGTCTCTGGATTTCGGTTCATTACCTTACTTGCTGTTTAGCATTCAGAATACGAAGGTCCTTCATGAATCCAATGACAAACTTTATCAGTATACTTAATTAACATGCGGCATTCTTGTTTTCGGTGCTTTCATATTCTCTCGGCTTCCTATCAACTTTTTTGAAAGAGAGTCATTGTAAAATTAAGAATTTTCGATGTGCAATGAGGCGTATTTCAATAACTCCATTCCACTTTCACGCATTGCGCATGTATTTACGAGTATTCATTGAAATATTCATACATAGTGTCGTTTTTTCATCTCAATAAAGCGTTTTTCGATGCTTAAACAGCCAGTTTTATTGCTCCACAAATACTCTGGATTTTGGGTTAAGATTGGCAAAATATTGAAGGAATTTAAAGGATACCTAAGAATGTTAAATTTATGAAGAAAATGTTTTTTTGCTTGTTCATGGAAATGATGAAATCGCACATGAATTTTAATGAACACATTTTCGTCCGCATGAATTCTGACACGATCATGAAAACTATTGTTAAATATGTCATTGATATGAAGGTAATTCTTAAAAAAAAATATAAGCAATATCATAGCTGATAGCTGCTTGTTTTAATGCGAGTATGTCAACATCATTGTTTTGGTCTAAATTCGAGTGGGAAACAAGAATAGTGATTCAGCCTAAATGTTCAGAACATAAACTCTTATAGGATAATGGAGTGTTCCAAAAAAACTATAAAGAGAGAAGAATCTTGCTATGTTTAAAAGGGAAAAAATGTTAAATAGAGAAATGACTTAAGGAACGATTTCATATAATTTTAATGAAAATTGAATTCATTGGGAGTGTAGGCGTAAAGTGTGAATATATCTGAGCAGATATAAGCAATTAGATGCTCTTTAGGGGGCCGTTGTGATAAATGTTTCAAAGAATACAAACGGCTCGATATTCCGTTTATTTGCTGAAGATTTATAAAAAGACTTCTTCCCGATCTAGGGGAGATGTCAATTGTTTGTCTCGCATTTTTTCTTCCCTATCTACTACTGAAATTACAAAACGTTCCAAGTACAGTAGAATTGTTTATTTTGTAGATCAATCTCATCTGTGGAGCACATTTTATTATCCATTGATCTGAACTTATCATACATTACCATATTTAAAAACTAAGAAAAATAGAAATTAAACCAAAGAAAAAATTGAATTTCAACATTCAAAACCTAAATCATAATTTTTCATTTACGCGGTAGAGGTGTCGAGGTGTTAGGAAAATTTTCAAACAATATGTATCGAATTTTAAAAATAACAAAGGTTTACTATTATGAAATATTTTTCAAAGATAAAGGCAAATTCACAATATCACAATCGAGTCTGCATACTCTAAAAATAATCTAAAGCAAGAGCCCATTAGTAATAATGGGCTACTGTCCAAACACACCTATCAACCGCTGAGAGCGCAGGGAAAATCTTTAACATTTTGTGACAGTGTTAATTGTACATTGCTTTTGTTCACTCGAGTAAAATCGCAAGGAACTTAAATTCTAACGTCAGCTAACGTTGTCTGTTTTTAAGCAATGGCTATGTTTGTTTGTCGGCTGGTTAGAGTATGAAACTCTCCCCGGTGCGCCTTGACATCCACAAGCTTATATGGAAACCCTTTCCTTTTTTTTTGGCTTCTTCAACTGAATGCGTCAGACGGAACATATGTTAGCAAGCGCTAAGGGGAAAAAGTTTCAACTTCAGGGTACTGTCCGCGTCAAAAATTGTCCTAACTTGATCAGCCCCGTTTTTCTGAATATGGAAAACACGTGACACCTCTTCAGCCAATCAAGTGCAAAACTAAAACAGCTTTTGTCTCGATCACTCGCGTTTTCTCGCGCTCTAGTCTAGGTGTCAGGTTTTCCTTGAGATTTCATTGGCCTTTATACTGTTTATAATCTCTCGCCCCTATAATATATATTATAAAAAACTTAATTTCCTGATATGATAAATTTAATTTCAAATCTCAGTCGAAAGGCACTATGGATAGAGAACGAAAAACGTCTTTGTTATAGTGCACAGAACACTGCTAAGATTTCAAGTCTTGCAACCGCAATTGCGTTGAGGTCACTCAAGAGCTAGCCCCTAATAATGGCAAACTCAGGTGTCTTCCCTCAGCTGGTTGGAATTTTTAATCAAATTATATTTGACTTGTTCTGTTTGTTTGTGATTATTTGTGGAAAGTTATAGCTTGCTCATGTATGTTGAGTAGCTTTTAAGCAGAAGATTCAAAACTATCTCTATAGCTTTGCGTAAATCTGAAATGGTAGGCAAGGAGCAAGGAGGTATAGCTAAATTACTACAAATAAGAAATCATTTTAAAAAATGATGAAAGTATATTTCGGCCTACCTTGAAAAGTGATCTATATTTTTTATCCCTCGTTTTTTTTTTTTTGATTGGTCGACTGTCTGACATGACGTCACAGGAAACAGAGCTGTCTCGACCAAAATTCAACAAATCATTCTTTTTTTTTGGGCTTTCACTTCGCTTCTTTTATCCGTAATCCTAATATTTTATCTGGCAATTTCTCAATGGAGTTTTGTTGATCTACCCTAAAAATAAAAAAAATAGTGTTTTGGTCAAAACAAGAGGGTCTTGAGTGGTATTCTCAGTGTAAGCCTATCACTCTCTTCTACAGCGAATAAGCTTAAAAGCTGGTCGAAAATATTCGCATTGGAAAAATTTTCAAAAATAACGATAAGAGTTTATTAACACTTACGAGAGTTAATCCTAAGCATTATACGACTGAAAAGATACGCTCCGCCCCACGTTATTTATGCACGATTTGCATTTTTCATCATGTGCTTGCCTCGTTTCTTCCCATTTACTATCGTTTTCTGGTATTTCCCCGTTGCTAGTCAAATGATCGATGTCTGCCGTCATCGTTTGTTTAATGTCTTCGTTTCCATAATTAATATCAGAAACAAGTAGCTTTTCGATCAAACACGACCATTTGCTTGGCTATTTCATTGCAGCCACCAACTGGCGAAAAAATTAAAATGTCTTCGGTAATACCCACTAGTTTTTCGCTTCAAGCTAAACTTAACGGTTCTTCATTTGAGGTCAGAGGATTTTCGAGATGAATTTTTAATCAGACCTTATTTGCGTTTACTCTGCTTAGCGAAAAATCGTTTTACAGGTGCTTACTCCTTTTTCGCTTCTTTCTACAGACAAGAAGAAAGAGTTAACCTTCGGCGGAGTAAACAAATCGACAGTGAAGGCTAAATTGAATATACTGTGTATACCCCTCCACATAGACCAGGTAAGCAAAGCAAATATATTCCGGTTTCCTTTTTTTAATACACATTTTACTGAATAACCTTGAATGTTTTTGCCTGTATTTTAAAGTCACGGCCTACAGCTACAAGAAAATACCCTCCCACTGTTAAATATTTTGTGCCCTAAACGCAGTTATTTCATTGTGGCAAAAATATGGCCAAAATAGATATTGTGTCTTATTTTCCTTCTTCACTCGAAGCTATAGAAAAACGCAACTGAATTAAACATGATGAATAAAATTTTAACTGAGATGACAGGCGAGTGTGAAAATGTTTCGAACTTGAGTAACACATATAGAAAATCTAGTTCTAATATTTTATTTTTCCGTTTTTTTCGTGTAGCTGTTGCCACTCTGCTCAACATAATACTTAAATTAATAGTTTAAAACATACAAAAGTGAATGTTTTAATTAGAATATTTTCCAAATTGACAGCTGTCACCTGAAATTTAAACGTTCCCCTTGAAACTGTCCAAAGAAACTAAAATGAAAGCTAAACGCTATATATTTGTTTTGACAAATTCGCGCAACTTGTTCCAGAAACATTTCTCCGTTATTAGATAAAATAGAACGAGTTAAGATAAACTATTATGCTCATGCATCTCTTGTCACGAAACTTTAAAATCAGAGAAATTAGCATTTGGGAAATTATTTAAAATCGTAGGTGAAATCCGCAGTCCTGTGGCGCCGACTGAGAGATATGTGTGAATCTCAACTGCTCCCTTCTAGACAACTCCCACAATATTTAGGGCCTAACTACTTTACTCGACGTCGCAAAGTCTGCTTAGGAGTATCGCACGTAGAAACAATTTTCACATAATAAAGTAATTACACCAAGAGGCGGATATGTTAGACTTGGTTTTCTTGAGGCGATGAAAGGAACTGAAAGCAGCTAAAACCGCAAGGCAAACCACCCGCTTATTTTTTTTATTATTTTTTTTAAATCCTGATGCTCATCATGTCCGACCTGCACGAGCAGTTTTTTATCCCCATATTGTCACGTGTAGCTGCCCACGCAAGCTCAAGGAACCCGTCAACGAGAAAAACAATTTCTTTCTTCGGCGACGTTCACGAAACTGGACTTTGTCCTCTGTTCCTCATCCGACTCGCTTTGAAACTGAAGTCGATCGCCAGAAGATTTTTTGTTCAGTATAAGTCGCCACAATATATTGCTATTTCATCGAACCACCGACTCTTCTGGCGTTTCCTCTCTTTTTATTTTTAGCATCTCAATCTTATCTTCATGAATAGGCACTTAATTAAGCGGATTCACCTGCCACCATAGTAGTTCCGGTGACATAACACGAAACATTTGGCGCCTATTAGTTAGTTGAGTAATTACTTAAGAAGCACACATTTGCGTTAACACTACCTATGTGTGCGCGATTTAAAATCAACTTTTTACTGGCTCGTGTAGGTTCAGAATAGCTTGGAACGATTGCGCTCTTCATAATTTTCCCGTGAAACTGCAGTCTACGAACAACCAGAGAGAACTATCCTTCGTTTTCATCTCAGAATCAGGTCTTATGTTTTTGTCGCACCTTTTCTGCGCTAACCTGTGAAGTTTTGGCCTATTTCAAAATTGTATACAAACATAATCTTGTAGTTGTTATAGCCTCGGGGTGATTTTATTTAGCTGCTTACAAAGTACAATTAACTTCTATCTATTCAAACACCTCAGCCACTGTATATAATGCATTTCATTAATTTAGATGCGAATACAAGTATAAGTTCATCGGCAAGTACGTCTCTAGTTCGATCGAAAGCTCAAACTTCTGGCTACCAAGTGATAAAAAAAGGTAATAACTTTCCTTTTTTAATATCTTGGCACGATCCCCGTGGATTTACTGGTTTAGCATGAATTTAACAGTTGTTCGGCATAACTGGAAGAAACTTGAGTTTGAGAATCAAGACGGTATTTCTTCGAGTAGGAACATGATTCTGTGTTTGTTAACGTTTCCAAGAGTCTCTGGTGCCGGGTAGCTGAGCTTATAGAATTCTATACATCTTCGAATTCTGAGCGCGAGCTCTTTCGCGATTTCTTCATTGGCGAATTCAGCAGACGGCTTGCAAAGCTGAAATTCTAATTTACATTTTCAATTATTTTGTGTGCAAGCAACAAAAAAAGATCTCTCTCATACGTCTTTCTCCTGTATTTTCTTTCTCGCTCCCAAATTTAACCCTATATATTGCTTAGCTATATAAATTGTTTTAATACCCCATTCACATCAAAGCATCGACATGTGTTAGACTTGTTTTGTTAAACACGGGTGGAAATGTTTTCTTCATCAAAGCTGCTTTAAACCAACGTTTGTGACCTTTAATTTAAAACGCTAAAATACAAGTCAGTGTCTACTTTAACACTATGGAAAATCAGTTTTTCAGTTCTCTGTTCATAATTTTCTTTCAGTTAAACAAGGTTTAACTACATGTTTTTCTGGTGTGAGAGGGGTATTTGAGTGTCACTATGGAACTGTGAAACTCCCAAATTTCACCAGATGAGGAGAGTTATTCCAAAAGCGAGTTCCTTGACAATCTACCCGGATATTGATGCGAACGACTTCCGAAAGACCATGTCTGAGTTCTTTTGTTTACTTTCTGGTTTCCTACTTAGACGCTAAGATCCGACAAAGTTTCTTCTGTCTGTGAAAGTGAGACAAAATAGCACAATTTGCACAAGAAATCAGGTGATGGTGGTGCCATTTCACCTTAAATTATACGTGCACTATTGATGAGGCGCTTAAAATCCGATCACTTAATTAAGGAAGAAATTCATGGAGAATATGAAGAAATATTCGTTGTTCGATTAAAAGGATTTTTAAAACATTCGTGAAGTAAAGCTTTAATTTTTGATAAACATTGAAAATAAAATGTGCCCGTGAAAGAATAGCGTTCGTTCGCGAAATAGCAATCTCTGGTTGTCTCAGAAATTTCAGCTTCATCTGTTAAAACATTCATCTAAAGATAATCACTCGAAAGCTTACTCTCTTGAGTACAGCAACTAGCAATCATAAACGTCATGATACCCATCGTTCATTTTACAAGTTGTACCCAGGTCTTTCCGTGTCCATATCATTTTCTGTCTGATTCTCAGGCTAGAAATTGCACTCTTTTGAAAATTGCTTTTTAAAGAGGTTTTTTTTTGAACGACGCGGTCATGTTTAAAGCTTTTGACTTACCCAACTCATAACTAATGGCCTGCCTCTGCGAGAATCTTTTTGTCCAATTTCTTTAAAACTTTGACCCCTAAGAGTGACTTACACGTAATTTCTCCTTACCATATAACTCGTGAATAACACAACAAAGTCCTGAGAATAAAGGAAAGAAGCTCTCGATTGTAAAACAAATTCTTCCTTCAGCAACTGAGGCAGTGTATGGAGAACAGTACGGAGACTACGAATATTGATGTTTAGGTGTGAAGGGCTATCTTCAAGTTCATCAGCGAGGTTCAGTTTCAAATTCAGTTTTTATTCATATGTCAAAACATGATTTCTTTCTTCCAACTGAGATCAAATTTGCCCAGTTTAGCAGTTCCACCCAACGAATTTTTCAGAGGCACGGGTTTGACCTCTATTGATTAAAGCCTGAATTGTTCAGGCCTCTTTCCTAGCAATTTACGTCACTCGTCGTTCGCCTGTGAGGATCGTTTCGGTATTTCCTCAACATCCATTAAGCGGAGTGAAGTCTGACAACGAGATGAGTTCACAGAAGAAGTAAAAGGATCGGCAAAGAAATATATTGTGAGCAATTCCCATCTTTCAGACTGAGAACCAACAGAATTTCGGGGCTAAGCCTTTTCATTTAGCATATTCTTTTCCACCAACATTACAAATTCAAAATGCTATGTTTTTTATCTCGTGTCTAACATCTTTCGAAAATACTGTCATATTTTGTAATCACCCTCCATAATTCTGCTGAACTAACATGACAAATTGAAAATGCAATTTTCCTTTTTCTCCTCTCATTTGCTACTCTTTTATAATATACTGTCATATTTTGCAATTATCTTCGTTAATCCTACTAAACTATCATGGCAAGTAGGAAATGCACCCATCTGCTAATCTGTCACATCTTGTTCTTGTCCTCGTTAATTTTTCGACAACTTTGCCAAAAGACATAACAAACACCACTTTAATTGTATGAAAAATATCTCTTTTTCCCACTTATCGACAGAGATTACATAATGTTTCTTTCTGATGATAAACACTGAGCTTGCGATTATTTTTCTGCAGCATAATAGTGTTAGATATAATATTATGTAATTTACTCTTTGACACACAGGTCTAGTGCACAGTGAGTGCAATTTTAAAATTTTAGGTCTAAATTTTTGAAGTCAGATTCGAGGAAAAGAAAAACTTTCCCAACATGAAGCTTTTCTTTTACTAAGAAAATGAGTCAATCTTTTAACAGTCTTATCGAACGAGAGCTAGATAATACCTGAGTGATTAAAATATGCATAAGACTGAATAAACATTTGAATTAACTGAAAAAAGTCCCTGAGGGTTATCGTTTCCTCAATGGTGAGCCAACAATTTGGCCGCCCATTAGAGTCGAATAAAACTTTAAGATAAAACAATAAACTACACCCTTGTCTAAAACTTTTGTTCTAACCTGAGATCATAACATCGACTCGGAGGTGGGGTTGTTAGTGTCATCCACAAATGACTTTAAACCATGATCACGAAACATGGAAACAACGCTTATTGAATACACAGAAGATCGATATCGATTACTCCCTACACTTTGAATAATTTATGCCATTTCGTGTCGACCCTTTTGATTAATAGGATAAAGTAAATTGACCAAAGAGTAGTAACATTAAGAAAGCTTTCAGGTGTCGCTGTAACGTAACATCCACACTCAGTTTTACACTCTATTACTTTTTGGGTCTGTTTCAGAATATTTCACACTATCAAAGTAGTAATCTTGAAGAAGACATCTAATTGTTTATGCATTTAAACTCAGCCATCCTCTACCTATAAGGTAAGAAATAATGATAATTTGAAACCTTATATCTCTTTATATATAAATCTTTGGGTTAGATTTCTTAAACACTACCAAAACATTGTGCGCTAGTTTAACTGCATCTGAGAACAAATGTACGAATTGTTCCAAATTTAAAGTTATTTTCCGGTTATAAATGTAACTTGAAGCATCTTGCAAACCTGTTTAAGTTAAGGTCGAAAATTTCGAAGGCCAGTGTTTGGATTTCATGCAAATATTCGTTATTGTGATAAAGCGAGCTTTCTCATGCCTGTCGGCCATGGTTGAAAATCTTTCAAAAGTGATCCCCTAGGCAGGGATGTTACTCTGAAATGCATCTTGAAGGAAAAAAAATATAAGGAACTTTTGAGTGTGGTTTATGTAGGAAGTAAATTGACTATCTAGAAACCCCTTTATAGAAAATATAAATGCTAAGGCTAAAGCCTAAAAAAAATATTATTATGTCTACGAAATATTAATGCTCTCAATTAGCCAACAATTCGTGCTTTCGCGTGCATTATAGGAGTTTGATGCATACTGAGAAATTTGCATAACACTCACAAAGTAAGCGAAATGTTTCCTTCAAGGGCATTCGAGAGCAATTGCAACCACTAGAGTGCTCCTCAAACTTCTCAAGTGCATCAATAAGTTGATGGCCAACTGAAGTGGAAGATGTGAAAACAGGTGAAATTTTTTTCAATCACTCGGAAGCGAAGGTAAAGTACCTCGCACGAGTTTTGAGTCAGTTTTGCCTTAGGTCTGTTAAAGTTTCGTGTAGACTGTTTTTCGTGCCACATGTGCATATTCCCAGGCAAGAATGCTACTTATTCCGGTCGCTCATTGAAAATGAATATCCGCTCAAGAATTTTGCTCAGATTCCGACCACGGTTGTATGACAACGAACCATTAGTCTAAAATTTCATTTGATTGAGTCATCAAACTGAGTTTTCAGCTTTGCTGTAGTTCTGCTGTGTAGAGAAAAAGTTACATTTTGCAATTAAAGCGACCTTGAAATTAATAGAGGAAGTAAGAATATCACGAAAGAAGTAAATTAAACCGTAGGTCAGCTGAAAAAAGCTACTAATGAAGCCCGAAGAGTGTAGGAGTACAACAAAACTGATTCGATGTACTGCGACCAAGTAACTTTAACTAAGATTACGCTGATGTTTACCGATATCCAGCTCAGGGATACTCTTTTAGACATCAAATTTGTCTGTCTTAACAACAGCCAAAACGACCGAAAATAAATCGAGTTCTACTTTGCAGTTTTTCAGTGAAATCTTTCGGCCGAAGCAGTCGGTTGCAGATTTGTATAGTAAACCACTGAATCGTTTGCCCGAACGAAGGTGAATCTGCTCTTGCCGATTTTGTTGCAAATTAATGATGTTTTCTCGTGTTATCATTTCATCGGTTTCCAACCCACGCGTGTCACAAAATTTCTCGCCATTAAAGGAAAAGTCTTAGTCAAAGCAAGAATTCATTTTCCATGAGGTTGTCCATAAATACAAGTTTAAGACTAACGACCAAATCATAAGGTACGCATTTGATTAAAAAAAAAAATCGTTGCATTAAAACAGCCTGAGAAAACACGAGGTAAACTTAACATCAATAACCATATTTTCCATACTAACCTCCATACATTTCCTTTTGTAATGAAAAGGAAAGTTCAATGAAAGCATCTTAGGTTGACGATCATTTCCTCAGTAATTTCGTTGCATTCGTTAAGTTACAGTTTCTTAAGAAAGGAGTTTGTTTTAGCAGAAAATGATCAGAAAAGTATTAGTTTTTTAGCTTCTATTTGCCTAAAGGTGCAAAACGTGAATTCATAAGGTTAAAAAAATAAACTGAAACCGGGTTTGCCGATTTTTTAACCTTCTAAAAGGTTTTGTTTTTAACTCCCATTTTTCATCCGTTCTAATCAGGAATAAATTTAGAGTAAGAGCGCTTAATACTTACCGGTGACATTCACAGCTATCGCAAGAAATATCTCCCGTGGCGTTAATTTGGAGCCGTCAGGATATGAAGATGATAAGCTTACAGATCTCCCTAACAGTATCAGTCTGCGTTAAAATTTGGTTCCCAATAGCATTTAGCTGCGAAAGGGCACTTGCATAAGGTGGATCATTTAAAGTAAATTAATGTTTTTTCCCAGTACTAACTACGAGAACGAAACTACGATGAAACTTTTGCTATAGGTTTTTCCAAACAACGGCCAAACTTTCGTATAGTGTTTTAACAGTCTTTATAGCTTTTGTTGCATGCATGTGCGTGATATATCTGCACAATTTACCCACGGCACACCGTATGTCTTTGAATGAATTAAACGAACTATTTAATTGGCAAAGTGCTTTTAAAGGCAGGAGAATTAAAGGATAAAATTTGAAATATTAACTGTATGGAGATTTCCGATCGAAATTGGGAAATGCGCGGTTTGACAAGAATTTTAGAATACACCATCCTTGTGCATGTCTTAAACAATCGTTTTCTTTTGGATTGATAATGTTTTTCGAAATTCTGCCAAACCTTAACACGTTTCATAAAACTCCATTACGAAAATTCTCTGTCAAATAAAAAAAACCAAAAAACACAAAATAAACTTAAAAATGCAGTTATTATTCCATTCACAGATGAACCAGATTGAGAGCGATTTGGACCTCATGCAGCCATGCAGTATTTTTAATTTAATCTTTCCGCACTAAATCCGCTTGATTTAAGCGATAAGACTTGGACTGCATAAAGGCCAATTAATGGAGGTGTAAAGATGGACAGATGAAAAGAAAATTGGCCTAGTGTAAAAACCAGAATGACGTACGTTGAATTACTAATGAAAAAAATTCTCTTTAGGGACCTATGGTTGTCTGGGTGATTCAGTTAAAAGCACTTTGTCTATCGCCTACAGATTTTGTATCACACTCTTAAGAAAACATCTTTTTGCGCTCAGTGGAAATAAGGTTGGATCCCTAAAGCCATTTTGAGGGCAATATCTTTTCTTTCCTGTGACAGAAAGAGAGCGAATCGAACATTTGATAACCACAGAATAAGACTGAGCATCGAGAAACCAGAAAGTGCGAAGGTAAATACTACTATAGCGAGTTTATGTATGGCTTCATGTAAACAAAACTGAAATGTGAGGGATAACCTCACTGTCTCAGAGCATTAGTTGAGTTCTAAATTAAGGAATAAGATTACAAAACTCCTTAAGTTTATTATCGAAAATTTTAGTTTGAAACTACCACTGACGAGCACGAATGAGACAAAAGAATATGTTTCACTCTACCGCCCCTCGTTGTAATGACAAACAATGGCTTGACTCCCCTTTCTACAAGGATGCGTTGTTTGATATCACAAATGTACATCTTCTAAACCTCTTGTACGTAATTCTATCACAAAAGCTCAAATTTGACACTTAAAAAGGTTGCCTTGAAAATTGTTTGTTTCTATATTAGAGCCTTGTCAGTTGACTCCTGTGTATACCGTAACACGCCGACAAATTTGCTCTAATTCTAATTTTAACACTGCAAATTTATTTGGCAAGAGGGATCTACGATGCTCTCAATTTACTAAGCTCTCCAAGGCATGCAAATGTTGTGTTTTGAACGAACACGAATGGGTTCAGGACAAAAACAGAGGCGCGAAAGAACACGACGACAACAAGAACGGTAGCATCAAAACACAACTAAGTGCTCCTCTTTCGAAGATGAAGAATTCTAACAAGTATTTTTTACGATAAATCGCTGCAATTTGTGCAGTTCAAACATTGCTTAAAGTTCTGGGTGACGTAGAAAAAGTAATTTGTAATTTTAAAAAGTAGTGGGTGTCTCTACCCACTGAGCATTTCGTTTCCATCCGAGCACTTTATTAACGAAGAGGAGGAAGGCTGAATTAATCTTTTGTTTCTTTTGTGGCAAAATGCAAGTTAAAGGTTCATAAAAACTGAATTTCACTTAGCGTTTAACACATCCTTTTAATTTCTAACTGACCTAAACTCATCCAGAAGTCAAATCACTTCAGTGTTAAGAGACGTTTATGAGGTAGTAAACCATTCGTGTTCCACCCCTGCAAGAAAGGGGCTGAATCCTATAAAACAGCCCGCGAGCCGTACATACATTTCATATTCAAAAGCAGCAGTTTATCACTATCAGTCAATGTCATGGTGTGAACGGCAACGAAAATGACTGCATTGGCTTTCCATATCATGAATACGATTCTATCATAGCGTATCCAATTTTCTGCATTTAACAAAGTAAAAAAGACCTTAACATTTATTCAATTTTATAACCTCTGATAGAATTCACCCTCTAATGGAGGTAGTTTTTTTTTCCACACGTGTGATATGCGGGAAAGGCTTTCATTTAATCAAATCGAAAAATTCTGCTTACTACATTGTCAATTGAAATGCGATTTTTCATAAACGCAAGCATAATTTTTTTATTGAAACTAAGTATTAACGTCATCGGTCAAAATGGCCATTTTCACTTGAATATATCTTTCGAAATAAAACAATTCTATAGCTTCATTCATCAAAATATAATGTTCGCCCTGCTGAATTTCACAAGGGGAAAAAACGATTATCGTCGGAAATAGAATCTAAGATTAATCTGGAGTCAACGACGTCATTGCAAATAATTGCGTTCGAGTAGGCACGAAATCTGACTGCAGCCAAGATCTCAACAAAACATCCAGTTTGTTCCATAATTTATCAAACTCGAAGCTGAGGTATTTCCACGTTTTGCAGGAAAGTAATTCCTTCCATGATTACTCAAAATCCACATCGGTTTCTCTCTGCGACTCTTATGTGGAGATAAAAAGTTATTTCAAAGGCTTAAAATCCTACGCGCGTATTTGTAATCGTCAGCTCGAAATTTGTGCGCGGTATTCCACTTTAGCAAATTTATACTCTCTCTTTTTTTTTAATAAGCACCTTTTTATTATCACGTTCAAGCTGACCAAGATTTTCAGATCATACTTAGGTTGAGAATCAGTAAAGAACGTCTTTATTTTCTTCTTTTTTTACGAAAAGTTGAAATAAAGATAAAAGAAATTTGAAACTGTGGTCTAACAGAACAATTAACACAAATACTTAAGAGTCTTTTTTAACATCAATAATACGGTTGTTATTATACGGTACACTGAAGAATAACTCAGTTTGTAGCCGAACTTAGTCTGGTCAGGTCCGAATTGATTTATTGAAATACTTTACCTCACAACTTTAAAACTTGTTAAGAGCGTTTGTAGGCTCGAGTCACAAAAAAATAAGAATGATTAGCCGTAGCACCAAAAGGGTGTACTTTCGTTTTCAATTTGCACTCGTGATAGCTGATGTAAATTCGGTTTACATCTCTTAAGAGACATAAGCGTTAACTTAATTTAGATTAAGTTGCAATTTAAGGCTACCTTCGTGGGAAGGTTTTTCCTATATCCGCAGCTCAGGAGGTCCACAATCACCTTTGGTGAAAGAGTTCATGTAGTTAACTTCATGCAAATTTGATGTTCGGGAAAGACGGCTGCTTCGAGTCGAACAGTCACCACTGCATCAGCCAAAATAAATTGATTCCAACTCTGTTGCAGCTCAATCCCACAAAAGACTCTTCCCCAAAGGATTTTTGGAATGAAAGAACATGCTTACTTTACATAAATCATGAGTACAAATAAGTTCCTTGGGAAGTATTTTGTGAGGTTTTCTTTTCTGTGTAGACCATGTATGTGAACTATCTAACAATCAAGCATCCTTAGCTGCGTTACTTTATCTTACACGCAGCACTATAGTTTCTTTAGAAACTTATCCCCTTTAACGTCATCAGAATTTTGCAGTGGGAGGCTAAAATTGTAGAGACCTTAAATCCCTTTTTAGCTGATCTCTAAGAGTAATCAGTATGTAATTTCCCTTCACAATACCACCCCTGAATCACGCATTAAGATCACGAGAATAAAGAAGATGATCATTATGATATGTAACATCAATGATTTTAAAAACTTCATACTCGGCAATTGCCAATTGCCAATTGCCAAGAGAGAAAACTTATTCTTCGGATATATGCCGTAAGGAACGGGGCATAACCCGTGTAATGTGTCATTAAAACCCGAGTAAATATTTTACACTTCGAAAAGCTGTTTACCCTCAGGAAAATTGTTGTATTTGGAAGTCAAATTTTTGAGCATGTTTCAGGCATTCAGTTTGTAAAACGGAGCGAAATTAATAGATTAATAATTAATAGTTAATAGGTTATCTCTATTAATGGATTAATAGAGATAGAAAAAAAAACGAGCGAGATTTGGGTCGGGTCACGTTCATTACGCAGCCTGACCCAAGCCTCCCACGTTTTTTCATTCCTCCGCTATAATCCCGCCGTTTCCTCTGATCGCGCTCCGTTCTACTGAGTGATTGTTTGTAACAGGTACCAGACCTATCTAGTAACATTTTAGCGACGGTTGAGAATCCGTGACTAAAATTAATTTAGGTTCTTGAACTAACAGCATGTACATCGTTGTCCCTCTGTATTTTTTATTTTATTTGTATTGTTTTCAATACATTGTAACAGTTAATTGAAGCCTGGCTAAGCATACAAAATGTTAACCACGCAGTTTACAACTGCGTTAGATAATTAAAAATTTACTAATACTGAATGTATTTGGGTCGCTCCAAACTCGATTGAAAACATTCTGCGGCATTGTTAAAACCGAAATAAGGGCTTAAAGGAAATTTGGTTTCCCTTCTATCTTGCTCATCACAAGTGAATACGATCGCAGCATCAAAGCGTTCAGGTATTGTAGAATTTCTGTTGTGTTGACAACTGAACCAGATAATAACAAAGATTGTGTTTAAATACAAGAAAAACTCAATGCTCGAGCAGTCCAAATGTGCAGGTTCAAATCAGTAAGACTCAGAACATCATTAACTTTATGACAAAGAGTTCCCGTATTTTCCATTTTTCTTTCCTTTCGGGAGAACTAGAGTTCCTTGTAAACGCTTACTTGACGGCCCACAATTTTGTGTTGTCCAGGTGGTCTCTCTCCAACCAGCTACATTACTGGTATTTTTCATTGAACAGATTATGAAGAAGCCAAGTATTCCTAAGGAATATTCCAAAATCAATCTTGATTTGTCAAAATTTTTAAGCGTTTTATGTTGTTCTTATGATCTTTAACTACAATGGATTACGTTCGATTCTTTTAGTCCTATCCACCATATTGAAAATAACCTGCTTTGATAGGGAACCTACTCGAGGTTGGACTTCTTTGATATTTATTTCAGATATTTTGCACAAAGCATTCATGCATTTCGGAACTTTTTAATTTTTTACTTTTTGTTGACGAAATAAATTTTTTAGTTTCCTCAAGCTGAACTTCTCTCGTTATAGAAGGATAAACTCTCTTCTAGTAAAGTTTTGTTCGATATTTTTTTGCCTTTTTTTCATAACATACACTAAGCACACATAACTTTAATAAGCGATGCTAAGAACCCATGCAGTTCGGCAGACAAAACAGATTCATTCTGCCAAGTAATTTATGCACTCTTTCTTTTAGTGGCACTTTCAAATCTGCCGTGTGACATTTAAATCCTTGCTCTTAGAGAGCCTCAAAAATAATTCGCTCCAACTTTCTGTTTTTTTCATTAACGTACAATACATGTTTTCAACGGAAAAATAGGCATCATGTCGTGAAAGTAAATCATTGATGGTTGGTTCAAATATGGAGTAGAGATCACCAATAGCAATAGATTTTCAGGTTGTATCTTAAGCGTTTTAACTTTTCTTCATTATAAATTTATAATTGTTGTTATAACCATCGTCTTGGATAATATTCTGATTTTTGTGAAAAAAATGATGTTTACAATTATTATAATTTAAATTATTATCATTATTATTACCATAATCACTGTTTCATTGTCGTTATTACTAAAACTATTTTTGTTTCTATCAATTTAACAAATAAATTCATAGATGTCATAAATATGTGGTTCTGTGACCCATGGAAACATGGAATCTGTTTGTTTCATGCGAGAAAAAAGCAAAGAGTTGTTCATGGTGACGTCATTTATTCTTCTGTTTTGCAATACATCATGAAAGAACCAATCAAAGTACGACTACAATTAAACTCATCAAATAAATCAGTATTGCTAATAACATGAAAGGAGCAACCTTGTTAATTTTGACCAGTAAGCATGTGCTTTACATCTTAACATAAGCGCTCATTTGCCTGAAAAAAAATGTGGAAAGTGAATCAAAACTATTGATTTAAAAGAGCTAATAAAGGCAAGTTGTAACTCTTTAATCTAAAAGAAAAAGGGGAAATTACCTTTAGGTTTGCAAACAATTATCACCCGATTAATTAGTTAATTATCCGACAGTTCTAACCCGAACAGATATGCTACACGTGAAATGCGAGCCCTGAGGCGACTTGAAACTGCCCAGTAATGAAGACCTAAAACCTGTTCGTAAACAAAACGTTTATGTAAACCCGACAGTAGTCTATTACTGTTCATTAAGGAGCATTTATGTGATCTACTGATTAATTTGTTTGATCTTTCCGCGAAAAATCTCTATCCTAATTGGTCCATGGCTCGTCTTATTTGTTATTCTCCCTTGAAAGACCAAGGCGTCCAATGATTTTTTACTCGTTAAACATTCCTGTTTTTCTTCCCAATGGGTCCATTTAAGTGTTGATGTAGGTGTAATGTTCATTTTTTGAATGAAAAAGAAACTAGCAGCAGGTTTTTGGCTTAATGTGACTTTACTGATGGTAAGATATTTGCGTGTCTTTTAATTCGAACAATGCGATCTTCAATGATCCTTTTTCACCTCCATTGCCATTTAATATAAAGCATACATATGAGATGATTTAATCGTTTTCTAAGGAGTTCCAAATCAGTTCATAATATTTCACTCATGAGGTTATTTTGACAGCAGCACTTCTATTTATGTATTTGTTATTAAACATAATTTTTTTACCATGGTTTACCGCTAACAGTAGTTCACGGTAATAACATTATGAGTGAGGTTGTCGCCAGGCGATAGCACAGTTTTCGTTTCCTTGTACATTGAGCAATGTTTAAAGCTAAATACTAATTACTGTCTACATCCGTTTGAGTGTAGAACTGAAGTACTCGCTCAGCAAGACGAACGACGAACCTCTGAAGCTTGAAAAAACAGCCGCTCTTGGAAAGTTGGAAGGTAAATATTTATTTCAGTCAGGATTTTGGATCCGGCTAAATCTAGGTAAGATTTATATATTTTTTAATTATCTCCTGGACCCCTAACCGCCCCTCTTCCCCTTTGATTCTGTTTTCTGAGTGTTTATATATTTGTATGCATCTGAACTATTGCGCCATGATTCGATTTTAATTCACTGCAAGGTTAGTTTGTGCGTCCCAACCAACTACCCAACATTTCAAATCAGAACCGAGCGCCTTTCATGTTGCATGGTCGACCAAAATATGGTAAAAAATAGTCTTCGCAGACGAACTTAAGACTTATAAATTGCTCGAAAGGTTTGCTGCTCTTCTCTACTTTTTAGTAAACGCAACTTAAAGCAATGGGACAGCCAAAATGACCATTAGTGAGGCGAAAGCGCCATTAATCTTACATGCATCTAAGAGAGAATATTCCGTATTCACTAGATTCGAATCAATAGACGACATCAGTGATACAGACAGGTGTAGTTGTGCCTGGAGGTCTTGTCAGGTGGGGTTCTATCTTTAATCCGCCTACTTATCGATAATAATCAGTAACTGTCCACTATAGCCTGCTGTCAGTTTAAATTAATTTCAAAATTGTGCTTTTGAGCTCAGCATGTTCAGTGGCTGGTGGGCGCACATTTCCTTTGGGGTATATTTAATGTCTCCATGGCAAAACTTGCCAGTGGCTTCGTGCGAACTGTCTAAGGAAGACGTAATAAATCATGACTGGAGAATCACCCACGGTGAGATGAGCTTTCGTTGAAAAGAAGATATATTTGACCTTCAAAAGTCCGCAGGGAGTAGGAAATATTACTTTTCGTGATATCAATTAAGAACAATAATTAATTCGTCATCTTTTGAAAACCAAGTGGTGCTCCTCCCACGATTTTCTCTCGTAAACAACAATCATTACACAGTTTGGCTTATCAAGGAAAAAAACTGAACCTAATGCTACCATATTTTACTTTCAAATTGTACATCACATTCTCAAATTGCGAGAGCTAAAAGCCCAAAGGTAGGATGTGAACAAAATTTTTATCGAAGCTGTGGGGTTTGTCCATTTTTTGAAGCTGATGAGGGTTTAAATAATTTTAGTTCGAAATGAACTGAAAACGAACTAGAATTCTGAGCCTAATTCAATGTAGTTTGTCGTTTTGAGCTCGAGTTAAGTTTTTTAGCGCTCTTCTTTAACTTGCAGGAAGTTCTATAGCTTTAAGTGCTCTATCTTACTTGAATGCAAAGCGAGTTTCACCGAATCAACGAGCTTTGCTCAATCTTCTTGAGGCAAATCTTTCGTTCGACCGTGATTCACATTCTAAAAGTAACACAGTTCATCTTTTTTAAAGCAAAGAAAAATGAAGATTTTTATCAGAAATATAAATATTTCGTCGATGTGTCCAGTTTATGCGATCAACTTTTTACGGAAGTTATATTTTCCTAGAAAAAAGTACTTCCTTGGCAACAAATTTATAAGTCATCTTTTCTAAGCGGAAGGTTATCAAGTACTTCCAACCTCCATCTTTTAATTTGTCAACATCACTTCTCGTAGTCGGTGAATCAATGCTTTTAACGTCGTGTAACTTATCGGCATCGTTTTCAATGTTTTTTCATGAAGCGGATGGTAGTTTTTATTTTTAATTTTAAAAAAGTTTCATGTGAATTCAGACAGCATGTTCGAGTTAAAGCTATAAGCCTAAAAGGGTATTTAATCGAGTCGGAAATTTGAAGCTTTTTTATTTCTTTTTATAAATTTTGGTAAAATCCGAAGAGAGTGAACTTGTTTTTTCTTTTGCGGAACGTTTTGGTAAAGGGAACAGTTCCGTGTGCGTAATTACGTGGATGTCTTATCACTTCACTGAGGAAGACGGAAGCCAGCGTAATTGAATACCGCGCATATGAAAACAGTTCATAATTCCAATAAGAGACGTTGAATTAGGTGCTCAAAGATTTATAAAATTTACATGGCAGTAGCAACTGAATTTTGCAGATTAAAATCAGCCAGTTTTACGTTAATTTCCTCTGATTATTTCTCAAATCGAATGTTTGTTTCTTTTTTTTAACAGAAAATATTCAGCTTAGACCTAATTGTGAAAGATGCGCTTTATCACAGCTTGCAATGATAATATTCGTATCGCATAGCAAACACTGTTAGTTCAACTATTTAAGGGTAAAATGCCGCTTGCTTCAAGTAAGAGATATCGCTGATTTATCTGATAACTTCGGAATTCCTCTTTCACAAACAATATCGACGTAAGGAGCATCAACCATCGGTGATGAAACTTTTGTTGTGAACACCAACATGAGAGATGAATCAAAGGACGGGCATGATATATAATTCGCCACTTTCGCATTGGTTGGTTAGTAGAGCCGGTGAACGCTTATTATTTGGCTGTGCTTTGAATCCTCAAAGAAACATGAATTTTTTTTTGAATTCTCAAATCGGGGTTCCTGACTTTGAGTAACAGGCCACACTTTCTGCTGGTTTCCGGCGAAACAACCTGCATAGGATATCGGGAGACTTACAGTGGTTTAAGGTTCATAGCTGGACGTGTGTTCTTGTGTTGTTGTTGTGTTCTTGGGTCATACACTTTATTCTCACATTGCCTCTCCCCTGGGAATTGTCAGGGAGACCTGACTTAATGATGATGGGATAACCTGTAAACCCCCCCCCCCTTCCGTCGATTCTTGCTACAAATATCGGAAGAAGTTGTGGCCGGATGGGCTTCTTAGCTCGAGTGCAGACTTAGCTTTGTTTCATCACCCTGCTAAAAAGTACTTGCAAATATTCTAGGAAACACACGCTCACGAGAAAGGAGACACGCGTGGAGAGAGCTTCCCCTCGCTATCACGCGTGAATTCTCACGTTCGCATCTTTCATTCGTGAGTTCTGTGTAGGTTGAGTAAATACTACTTCTACTGCTACTAATTATGCAGCTTAGAGGGTTGACCTTACCTTCATACCTTTCAACAGAGCAAGACATCTACGTCACCTCAGCGTCAATAAGCTTCGAACTCTGCGATGAACAATAAAGCGGTTATCTCCATTTTGCTCTTAATTGTCGTGATCGAGTTAGTGTGGTGTAACGGCGCCAATAAGACGGAGAGCTGTAACGGCACAAATGTGACAAACAATACAACATATTGTAATAGCACCGAGAAGAAGAAGCTATTCATTGCAGTAATCGATAAAAGAAATGACGGCACCATAGAATCCGGTATACATCTGGCGATCGAAGTTGCCAAGAACTCTTCAGAATTTAAAGATTTCCTGGACAAGTATAAAATAATAACCAACATGTACTATACAAATGTAAGTTATGTTAAAGAAAATAATCTAAGTTTTATCCTTTTATTTCACCACCTCCTGATATATGATTAATGTGAAGAAAATGAATTTCAGCCTCAAAGTGAAAGAATGCTCCAAAAATCATACAAACTTCATCTCTACCATCAGAAAGTATTCACGACAATGTTCTGATGACTGCAGTTTGAGATCGACTTTCGAAAATCGTCTTCAAATGTACATAATATTCGACCACTGACGGCATGGTGTATTTTTACTTTATTTGACTATTTCACTTAATGTGTGTTTCATGTCTGAAGTAGTTACGGCTCAACGTGACTCTTGCGTGATGATGAGATTGTGTGACAAACCAAGTCGCCATCTTGGATGCGAATCTGACCTCCTAATTGGTCAATTTGCACTACATGGCTAAAAACCTAATATCTGATTGGCTGATGTTATATTGTCTGATGGTGAGATAAAAGTTATTTTTCCTCGCAGCATACGTCTTCATCCGGAGAACTTATTGTGTGGGTGTCCTTTAAATTTACTCAGAGGTGTCGTGCTTTACCAGAGGCTTATTTCATGAAGTTTTTTCTACTCTTTGTCGCTTCCGGAAATAAAGTACAAATAACAATAATGTCCTTGATTTTCAACAGGGTAATGAAGCAAATGCCATAGTTAGCGCTGTAGATGCACTGAGATACCCCTCAGGGAAGGATGGACATGCCTTGATTCTACTTGGTCCTCAAACTCCTCCCGAAGCTTCCTCGGTATTGAAAGTTGCACGATTCTACAGAAAGCCTATGGTGAGAAACAACAGACATTTTGCTACCGATTAATACCTTCATTGGCTTAGCAGGTTTTGGGTTGGCTAAGAAGCTTCCTCTTGTTGGATTGTGGGGATGGTTGACTGGTATAATGATTATTTGATTATTAATAGATGTACGGCGAACAAAACCGAGTGACAGACGGACGGAGAGAGGACCAATGTTTTTGTTTTTGTTTAGTAAACTTCTAGGTGTTTTAGTGAATTTTTAGCTATTCAGATAGATTTTTGGGTCGGTAGGTTGCTTAGAATGATTTCTTGTTTGCTTTTCCGCTCGATTACAAGTTCGATGTACTCATAGGATGTGTTTAATTCATAGTTACATGCAAATTAATGATATTAACAATATTCGGTGTGTAGCGCGATCCTTGAGGGAAATGCTCGCTCGTGCGCACTCTCATAGTTAGCGCAAAGAACAGTCCTTCCACCAAGGAGGAAGTATCATTGAAAACTAAGCGAGTAACGAAAGCCCTCGCCGCTTATAACTACCCTGCTAATTTCATTCAGAATGGCCGCCAACCTAATAGACAATAAGAAATGAAGGACACCAATCAGCGTGGCTTGGTTATCCTGCTTATGCCAAAGGATTTTCCGAGAGAGTCACAAAAGGTCTTCGAGGTTCCAACATCAAGGTCGCCCATAAGCCTATCTGCTTCATCTCGAGCATACTTAAAAGGCCAAAAGACAAGATCGAGAAAGAGGCTTCTAGAGGAATCGTATACAAGATTAAATTTAAAGATTGTGATTGTGTTTACGTTGGTCAGACATCGCGCGCACTAAAAACACGCGTGAAAGAACTCACAAAGGCCATAGAAACATTGCATAAAAATGCGTCGTTGGCCAAATACCATATGCTTCACAATCACCAAATAGACTCGGAGAGTGTTGAAATTGTTGACAGGTCATTAGCGTGGCGACAAAGACTAATTCTTGAAGCCTGGCATTCCATGCGAGATAGAAACGTTTTTAACGAACACATAACGCTACTAAACATATACAATAACATTAAGAATTTTTAGAGCCATTAAAAATACTCTAGAGATTATTTTTTGCACTTAAAAAATTCCTTCGAGGTTTAGTTTTATCACACTTTGTGGACATATACCAAGCAGGACGCCGTCAGACATTTGCATTTTTACTTTTGCTAAAGAAGGCAACAGTAGTAGCCAAAACGTCCAGATCAATATATTTTTTAGCCAGTGTCGACCTTTTGGATTCTTTTTACTTTTATAATTATACTGAAGGTACATATCTGCAACTAGACTCAAGAATACTATGCAATCAACCGTTTATAGACCATGTGATTAACCTTGTTTGGAAATTTCGTAACTTAGTTGGTTTCCGTTTGCAATTCCATCTAAATTATTGCATATTACGCGGTAGATCCTTTCGAGACCCGAAATACAAGGCTCGAGATTTCGTAAACAAGATTTAGGGTCTAAAGGGTCACGGTTTCACGATGTAGTTCGTGATTTTCAGACAGAGGAATGCAGATCGTTTCAGTAATGTAAGGCAACGTTCCCTTGGCCTGAAATGAAATGGTCAACTGCTGAACTGCAATTTCCACCGTGTCTGCTAGCTATCTGCTGAGGGAATGGAATGGGTATACCTTTTCACCCAGATCGTGCTATGAAATGACCTAATGCGTCGCTAGCGTAAGACGGACTCTGGTTGGCACTTTCACATCAGAACGCTGTATCACTTCTCTTTGAATTTAACAGGTAACGTACCTAACTACAACGCCCAACTATCAGGAATTAATGGATCCTTACGGGTTTACGTTTGCACCATCAGCTTTTACCTTCAATAGAGCTGTCAAAAGCGTAATAAAGTTCTTTAAATGGAAAAGAGCCGCCGTGGTGTACGACTTTCTTGATGAAGCGGGTCTTTATGTCAAGGTAAGAAGTCTTCTGTTACTTTCAAGTTTTTGATATCTTCATTAAAACTCTAACTTGATAATTTGAGTGAAGGACCATTACATTTTTCTGGGGGGAGGGGGGTGGTTGGAAAGTTCTGGTGGATAGAGCCCAATGTTGTTTTACTTTTTTATCTTTTAATTTTAAGCAAAAACCTGTAACTTAGCCATACGACTACGCGTTTCCTCCACGTTGAATAATCTTTTCATGTGTGTTATTATATGCTATCAAAGTAACAAGTCATTTCTTTTATTTTGGTCCATTTGGAGTCCATTTTTGATCAGCTAAGGAGCTACTCAGTGAATCATCATCTTATTAGCAATAAAACTCGACAACTCCAATTAGCTTGTTTTTCATGCATGCGAGAAGAGAACTGAGGTCATTGTGAATTTCAAACTTTTCCTTACATAAAATTGCAGGTTGTGAGCAACCTAATAGAGAATGCAGACTTTAAAATTATTGGATTTGAAGCAATAAATACTGATGAAATCAGCCCTGAACTGGACGTCAACAAAGATATCCAAGTTAAACTGAAAAAACTAAAGGTAGATATTACTTAAACTCGCTTATACCTACAGCACAACACGTCTGTGTTAGTGTGTATCACTCATGTTTCATGTGCCTTTGAACCATTACTTTTCTTCGTTCTGTGATGGGCCTAAAAACTGACACCAGCCGCCAATTCAAGGAAACACTAAAACTAATCCCTTCTTAGGTGCTCGCGCTATCATCCCTCAATTTGGTGTGAAAATACACGAATATTAGCCTTCATTTCATATATGTGCAGATATTCAAACGCGGAAATTATTTGATCCAAGAAGGAAACAGTTTCTCGAATGCGAAGCTGGAAGAAACTTGTGAGCTTTGAGAAACGGCCAATGTCGAACGACATATTAAAGGGCACAATTGGTAAGCACAATGGATGCGTGGGTGAATTTACCATTAAAATACTCTCTAAAGTGCTCAAAAAGAAACGTTTACAAACAGCTTACCGTCGAAAAAATTTTCCCTCCTCTTCCGTTATAACAACAAAATTGTCTCCTAACTTGAATCAACTCTTAGAGGAAGTCTTCCATTGTAGGGACGTAAGGCTTGAAAATACTCAAATATGAGCTGTTGTATTAATATAAAGTACATGGTAACGGGGTAATGATATTTGTTTCTCCATCTAGGACTTGGATGCTAAAATATTCTTTGGTGCTTTTAATGGAAGAGGAGCTAGTCTGGTGTTTTGCAACGTGAGTTTACTAACATTGTCAAGTGTTTAACCTTTGCAAATTTTCGTCGCGAATTGTACCCAAATTGTATTCATCTTTGTCTTACAGGATTATTTATCACATAAACTGCGGTGTTATACAGGGATTTCCGGCCCTGAGAAAAGCCGCAACAACATACGTGAAAAAATATCGTATTTTTTCACGTGTGTTGATATAGCCAATCAGCTGCTGACACGTCACTCGCCTTTGGCGCCACTCAGGTTAATGAATGAACGGCAAAGCCTTCACGATTCTCAATACAAGTTGTTTGTCGGAGCTTTCTCGAATTATGGCGGCTAAAACACTGAAAAATCCGTATCGCTGACAGACAGTGAGGTTCAAACTTTCCTATAAGAAAACCAATATACTAAAAGAAAAACCGAAAGTTACGTATCCAGTGGCTTTGGTGTTAGTATTTCTCTCGGCTGAGAATGAAAATCGACAACTGGAAGATTTTCCACAAGCCGATTTTGGCCGTTTACCTGAAAGACTTCTTCTGTCGGTAAGGACAAAGCCAATAAATGAGAATTTTGTAAATTAAAAATTACGACCACTGTTGTTTTTGTAATCATGATTCAACGCATTTTTCTATCTTAGGAGTTAGCGCCAACACACTCTACGATTGTTATTCGGGGATTGTCCATTCATTTATTTTCATTCATAAATGAAGTCGGCTTTTCTTCTCAGTAAAGGGCTATTGTGTTTAGATGATACACAAAATAATACATGGTTGCTTGTTGATATGGAATTTCTTTTCTCGCGTTGAACTCGACATCTCACTATCGTGAGCTATCGAGTTAAATACTCGAAGAGAAATTCCATATCTACGCGCGCCCATGTATTATTCTCTATTTATTTTTTTTTTAGGGGGCACGGTAACGAATCCTGCAATCTGATTGGTTCTTTACCCGGTCAGTATTTTCCTATCATTTTCCTATCACCATACGGACCTCCCAGCCGGCAAATAACATATATATTTTATGGAAAACTTCGTCTTGAAATCTTTCCGTATTTTTCCTTTCCCATATATTGATCTCATATTAAAATCGTATTTGCTATTGCTTAAATATTTGCAGAATTCTGTCTTTTGGTAGTCCTAATCTGATTAGTTGAGGAACTCTGCCGTGGATCGATTTGCTTAGTAAACTCGGAACTTATAGTCTAATTGTTTCATAGCTTATCCAAAAAATCCTCGATAACTACTGTACCTTGGCACACCTGTGCACCTATTGATATCTATCAGCATACCTTCCAAATAGACTGAAAGAACATTTAGTTATCTAATAATACATTAATTTCAATTTGTACTAGACACACGTACGTAATGCAGACCTATTTTTGCAGTTGGTTATTAATTTATCTATCAGTCTTTTTAACTTCTTAGTTATCTAAATACTTATTTGTTTATTATTTGTATAGTCTTACAAGTTTTAGCCTTCATTCCATATCTTTATACATAGAGAGAGAGAGGATAATACACGTGCGAGTTTTTAAATCGATAGCTCACGAGTGAGCGCAGCGAACGAGTGATATGTCGAGTGGAACACGGGAAGAGAAATTTCATATCTACAAGCAACCATGTATCATTTTGTTTATCATATAAACACAATAGCCCTTCACTGACAAGAAAAGTGGCCTTAATTAATGAATGAATATAAAAGGATCGACAATCCCTGAATAAAAATCGTAAAGTGCGTTGGCGCACTCAAGACGAAAACACGCGTTAAATCACTACAAGAACAAACAATGGGCCTAATTTTCAATATACAAAATTTTCAATTATTGAATTGTTCCCTACCAGCAGAAGAAATCTTTCAAGTACACGGCCAAAATCCGCCTGTAGCAAATCTTCCAGTTGTTAATTTCCGTTCTCAGCCCTGAGAAATGCCATTACTAAAGCCACTGAATACGTAGCTTTCGGGTTTTCTTTTCGTATTTTGGTTTTCTTCCCCTTCTAGGAAAGTTTGAACGTCATTGTCTGTTAGCGATACTGATTTTTTAGTGTTTAGCAGCCATAATCCGAAGAAAATCCGCCAAACGACCTTGGATTGAGAATGGTGACGGCTTTGCCGTTCATTCATCAACCAACGAAGTAGCGCGAAAGGGGAGTGACGTTCAGCAGCCGATTGGCGATATCAAACACATGAAAAAATATCGTATTTTTTCACGTATGTTGTTACGGCTTTCCTCAGGGCTAGAAATCCTTGTATAACACCGAATTTTAGACGATAAATATTTAATTGTATATCGTACCCCATTCATCTTAACGTTTTAAAACCAGATCTTTGCTTATTTAAATATAGCTTAATGCGAAATCGAAGATTTCAAAACAACATATATACAATCAGGGAATTTCAGCTTTAAATCTTCTTTGTAGTTGTACAAAATGGGCATGTATGGACCAGAGTTTGTGTGGATCCTGCACCCTGACGCGAATACTGTCGATGTATGGAATTTCTATGCCGCAACCGAGAGGTTCAAGAACAAAACCGGGACATGTACAAAAGAAGAGTATGAAAAAGTAGCAGACAGAACTATTATCCTAGACAAAAAAATTTTATATCGGACGGATGATAATACCATTACTGCATCTGGTCTGGTAAGAAAAAAGGATGACAATATTCTGTATAGTGCTGGGGTCCTAAGTTGTTTGAGATTCATAAACGTTTACTTATTCATAACCAAGAGGGGATAGGGCATCTTTGTACAGCTTTGAACAGCTTTGCACAGCTTTGTACAGCTTTGTACAGCTTTGTACACCTTTTTTGGTGTAAGCAATGAAGACATCAAGAGGGCGTGGAAAGCTTAATGTAAATACGACTGGTACTTCAGACAGAGATGGGAGAAGCTGAAAGAACCATAGTAGGCTTGATGATTCCTGGTCTGATTTTAAAATTTTGCCAGTTTCTTAGTCGTTCTTGATTCGCCGTCATTCCACTGATACACGACCTTCGGAAATTTATTTCCGTCGCCAACAAAAACAGGTTGTGATTACATCAAACAGACCATTCCATATACTTAATAAAAGGATCTTTCGACGCTTATGAATCAATTGCAGAAAGCCATATTGGGAAGGAGTGGACATCGTAAGGTAGTTTGTTCTGCAGGCCGCACAGAAATACTCCTTGTTAGAAATCAGGGTTCACTGTTGCAAATCCCTAAAAACAGAAGATGAAAGGGCACTTTAAGGGCATTGTTACGACTACCATACAAAAACTAAAAGTCTACGCAATAATTTATTTTTGTCTTTTAGTCATTACGCCAAGCGTTCGTGATGAAAGGCTTCGAAAACAAGAAAGAACCTGAGAAGATCGAGTTTGCAACTGCCTTTGACACCATGTGGTCCATCATGCTAGCTTTAAAAGAAGCAAATGCTGAAGAATTTCCTCTGGAATATAATGTAGAATATTTTTTAGGGAATGATACCATATCAAAAACTATTGTATCAAAACTGGAAAATGTGTCCTTTGAAGGACTTACGGTAATTGTTTTATATTTCTAACCCCATTATCGCTAAAAATGGCCAAATGAATTTCTGGAATTAAGGAACATTGCCTTCCCCCTAGCGTCCAAGATTAAAATGAAAGGATCTTCTCCAGAATGTGGCACCTTTAATCAATGGTTACCCGAGGCCAAACTCGAGGGGGAAAGTCATACGAAGACCCATTTTTCCAGTTGTTCCTTAATAATGAGCTGTCGCTTGCGCCATTGGGTACGTCCCCCTCTATGATGAATACTTTAACTACCCAAGGTTAATAATAAAATGTCTCTTGTCCACTGACAAAATAAGAATTTCAAAAACCAAGTTCTGAGTTAAGATAAAAACTTAACCATGTGTTGCTGCTCAATTCCTATTCAGGGTCCAATATCGTTTGATCCCGACGAGCACTACAGGCAAGGGATAGTAGGAGTGAAGCAATACAGAAGTGAGCAATAATTTCGATTTTCTTGCTTACCTTATGACTAACAGTGCTCCTAATAGTACGCTACAAAGCTGTTTTTGCACTTTTTATTTTCGTCTAGTGGGACAAACGCAGTTTGTCTCCTTTTGTCACTCGGCTAAAAAATTTTTCAGGACGTTTAGTTACGAATGATTTAAGTTGTTAACTGCCGTCCAGGAGATGTATGCGGAAAATTACAACCAGCATTGTAGATCTTCAAACAATATATTACGCGTTTGTATCATGCAAGACATTTCAGCATTAAAAAAACAAAATCTTTCCAGAAACTAGAGATAGCGTACATGTATCGCTCAGTACTTTTAATTACTAACTATTTCATTCTAACTATTCTCTTCCGATATCGCAGTGGTCATGGGTTCAAATTCTGCACAGGCCTGAATTTTTTCCCCAGGCCTTACTTTCATCACTGCTTAAGTATTGTCCTTTATCACGAAGATCTCATTCATATTCATAACTACTCTGTTGTTTTATCAATGTCAACAGCTAGCGACAAGGGTCTTGTACAAATTGGAAGACATGACACAAAGAAAGATAAGTTTGAGTTGTTCAACAACACCAACGTATGGAAAGGTAAAGTAAAATACAACATTTAGAAAGGCTGTTAGATCAGGCGGGGGGGGGGGGGGGGAGGGGGGGGGGGGGGGGGGGGGGGGGGGGGGGGGGGGGGGTGGGGGGGGGGGGGGGGGGGGGGGGGGGGGGGGGGGTGGACGGGGTTTGCTTGGTGAAACCTGTGAAAGGGATCTTGATTTTTCCTCGAAACAAAGAGACAAAGACAAGTACCCACCAAATCGTTACAGTGGCTGTGAGCAGAGATAGGAAAAGCCGAACTGCACTAAGTGCCAATGAGATCATCTGATTTGTTCCTGTAACCTTTTCGGAAAAAAAGTAAAAGCACACATCCATGATTAAATTACTCGATATGGTCAGCATATGGTTTAGTTATTGCTTGATTTAGAATGCCAAAATGATGACCATCTAGTCGATCCATTTGCGTCAAAGCGCTCCAGAATTAGTTCCAGTATTCTTGATTGATCTGGTTGCTGTCCACGCCTCAAAAGGGTCTTTGCATTAGTTCTTCGATGTCTATATTACAGCCACGTACGTTCACACGGTACCGGACGAATTTTTGATCGGCCAAAAATTTCGAACGGACATTCTGTTTGCGTGGAACCGTACGAAAGTTTCGTTCCGTTCAGATGAAACTGATAACCGGATGAAGTTTGTGACAATCGCCAGTAGTTTTACCGTCTCCTCATGCGCAAAACGCTTCCTAATACAGAGTTTTCGCTGCTTCGACGTCTGCGATTTGCAGATAGATGCGCGACGTTTTTTAACTTGATTTTCTGGCATTATCAAGAACCAACACAACGTCGCCCACGTGCGTGGTAAGTTCGGCATCTCCTTCACATTTGCGAGATAATATTATGCAATAAAGCTGTAATATTACCGAGCACCGCAATCAATAAACCAACACGTTCCATTTTCGTGTAAATTGTAAACGTGCTATGTAGCCTAGATACCACGAATCCATGCAGCCACACCTTCGCCGTCCAAAGATTTCGACGTATAGTTAGAGTCCTGGTGTCCAGATCAAAATATCTACTGAGTCCCAAGTCTTGGTCTGGTCGAAAATTCTGTATTTTTGGAAAAAAGACTTTCTTTCGAACCCTTAAATAAGTACGAAAAGAAGACTTTGAAGATCAGTTTGGTCGCGCTATAAATTCTCCGCTTCAAATTACGCCACTGAACCTAAGATTAGCACCTGGCAAGCGTGAGAATGGATTCGGTTCTTAAGGTTAACCCTATACACCCTAACATCAGTATATATATTCTCCATACTGTCTCTTTACATCTTCTGAGGTGCTGATAAGGAGAATTTGTTTAACAGTCAAGAGCCTCTGTAGCTGGTGATTATTTCCTCTATTCACATGACCTGAATGCATGATTGGGGGGAGGGGGGGGGGTGATATTGTAAGGAGAGATTAGATGCCAGTCACTCTCAGGGGTCAGAGGGTTAAGGGATAAAACTAAGGGGGAGTTATCTGAAGAGGAGCGTAGCCATGTAGTTTAGTAGCTTTTCGTTCCATCCAAAGATCCTTTGTACTATATTCTTGAGAATTCCTCACTTAATCATAACCATTATAATTTCCTTAAATATGATTGGTGCATCAGCTGCTTCATTTTTCACCAATCATTCTGTGCAGTTGTAATCGGACAGTTGAAGCAGCCAATCATACTATTTCCATTCAGCTAAATCCACCAATCACAGAATTGATCACAATAACCATAGCAGAAAAACAACTTATCCAAAGAAAAAAAGTCAATTTTTAAAATGGGAGAATATTTAACTAAAGACATTGTCTACCCTGGAAATATTTTTCTAGGTGTATTTGTTTTTTCGGAAATTGAAATGGTTATGACTAACTGGTAACAGGATTTCTTGTCGTCCAATTCTGTCCGTAATCATACTCGTGATAAACAAATCGGACTCCCGCTTCGTCGTCCGATTTTGTTAATCACTCGTGTGATAACAGACCGAATTGGTCTCCACTCGGTCCTATTACTATTATGAATTTAACCTTTTTACTCCCAAGGCCTTATTATTCATTCTCGTTCTGTCTATGACACAATTTCTACGAGGTTAGTTTGGAGAATTAAGTATTGGATCAACTAATGATCTCATAATTGATATCATTTGCATTCTTATCACTAGTCTGCTTGATATTATATAGACATTGTTAAGAGAATTTCTGTCCAAGTTACTCATGGAAGCTAAAGGGCTAACTTTATGTTTTATGTTTTTTTTAGATGGTTTTACCCCTTACGACAGTTCACAGAAAAGATTGGAGCCGCAAGCCGTTGCTATTGAACTCTATATTGTATTTTCAATCGCCGCATCCATTGGAATCCTGTTGGGGATAATGTTTCTGGTGTTTAATCGATATTATCGCAAGTACAGGCAAGTGTATTGCAATCATGTCTGCCATCAGCACGCTGTTTTCTCGCAAGCAATCCCTCCCAATGCCTAAATTGCTGTTTTGGTTAAGATTCAGATTAAAACTGAGTTGTTCATGATCTCTACGAGCTTTTGGCTGCATGGTAAAAAACGTTGATAGTGGCGTTTAAATTGTATGATTTTCTCTAAAATATTATCTATGGAATCCGTGGGAGAGATTTTCCACTTTTTCTAGATTTCAAGACCGTGAATTTTTGCTTGTTCAACAGTGGTGACTTCTAAGGTAAAAGTGAAATCGCTGAAACATCAAATGTTCACCGATTTAAATGGCGTATCGAAAGAGGGTCATATAGAGCGTAAGTGACCCTTTCTTGAGCCAAGACAAAGTGATTACTGCAATGATGAAAAACTTGGAATGCCTTCAAACAACAGCGTAGGAAAAGCAAAGTTTAAAAGAGAACGCAAAGTTTTCTTTCATTTCGTGGCTTGTTCCGGGTAGATTTTACTTTCGTTAATAAACTCTTCCTTGAAAAATTTTGAAGTTCTGCCGCGGAACCTTCGATTAGTACAAGATTCATAATTTCTCTGTATTTCCCTGGAAATTTGCTCGTGCACTTCGACTTTTAGATTCGAAGATCACCAGGTATCCATAACATCCTGGTTCTTGCGCAATTTTTCGTCTTTAAAATTCTAAAAACAGGTATTCTGTTACAGGTTTATCCGGCTGTCTGCACCCCTATTTAATGATGTCATGGTCGTGGGCTGCATCATGTGTCTTAGTACGGTATATTTATTTGGTATAAGAAATTATGGCGATCCAAAAACAATCATGCCTCCTATCTGCAAGGTAAATGGAAAAGGAAATTTTTACTCTAATTATTTTTTCCAGTGGAAGCTTGCAAGATGTTTTCATAGAGGTTGGAGTTAGAAGCTTTTATTGATACTGTTTGAAAGTTATCCAATTAAGTTGATGGTCAGTGCTTTATCGTTCATCAAAAGTGGCCTATGAGCGTTATACAGATAACTTCCATGTAACAATAAAGAACAGAGAGGAAACGTTTTAAAAACGACCCCTTGGTGAGATCTCGGATTAAACTTGAGCTCAAAGTTGTACGATACAGTCTCTAACCTCACTGATGTCCATTTACATGACAAGAGAAGAAAAATCAGTTCCTAATTAGCTTGTCGTCGACTTAACTGAAGGCTGTTCTCATAATGAGGGGGTCTGTTTCATAAGAATTTCTCGCCCTTTCTTCTTTACCATTCGTTGTTATTCTAGATATTGATAGTAATGTTTCTTCCAAATCAACAGGCCCGAGCGTGGATTTTGAATGTTGGGTTTTCATTGGCCTTCGGAGCCATGTTCATCAAAACGTGGAGAATTTACAAGATTTGTACCAACAAGCGCCTGAAAGTTCGCGTGAGTTCTGAAAGATGATATTCAGCTTTATTTAAAAATTATAAGGAAATGATATTAAAAAATATGGTTTGGTGTGGTCTCAGTGTAGAATCCAATCAAGTCGTGACACATCGAAACCTCCCTTTGGGTCATCTGAGGGGAGGACACTTTGTCTTTCCTGTTAGAGGGTCTTCTATGTTCCCTTCTAGAACCTCTAATTAGCCCCGTTTTAAGGTCCCCCCCCCATTTTCCCCCTTGCCTTAAATGTAAACTCAGAAGTAAAATCCGAGAGACAAAATGTTAGCGTTGTAATAACCACATAATGTTATGCGAATACGTGGACTGTAGGATTCTTTTTCATTGTTTTCTCCGTCTGATAGTCTGAATGATACAAATTAAGCAATGACCGTTACTTGCTTGCTGTGTTTCAGCTCGGTCCTTTGTCCGATTGGTGGATGCTTGCAATGGTTGGTGGGATCGTTTTAATTGACGTGGGTATCATGGTTGCGTGGGAAATCGAAGACCCCCTGGAGTGGGCTCAGCAAAACTTTACTGAGAGGGTTAGTAAAGAAATGAAAACAGTACCATCCAATGTCTATGGTTTTGATGGATTTTTTAATTTCTCTTCGTTTTATGGAAGAAAAACATAAAGTTTACGGCAAATAACAAAAATTGAAGTTCCTGCTATCTGCAAGAGGCCGTATCTATCCTCATTTGAACATATGTTAGCCGCCGCTGATTCGAGATTTTTTCTAACTTCAATTTAATTTCTTTCTCATTTGCTATTTCCATAAACGTCGTGCATCTACTCCATAACATTATAAACGTAAGGAATAGAGGATGATTTAGTTTTGAGTTGGTAACTGAGTTAATGATGTAAATTTGTCACCGTGGGAGTCTCTAAACATGACGTTTCAACTATTAGCCATTCGTCAGAGAAAATGACAAATTTTCTACATCATCAACTTAGTCGATAAAATCAGATTATCTTGTTATAACCGCTTCCGACCCATTACTTCCGAAATAGGCTGTTTCCTAGCTTATCACCCAATTTAACATCCATGACCTAGCCCATGACTGCTGTAAACGTTATGGTGGTCATCTATTCCTTTAAAAAAGTTCTTAATAGAATTCCACCTGGACCAAAATATTAAACTCCAGAAAGTGCATCTGTTTCCACAACCTGATATGAGAAAACTATACATTTAGACTCGTAAATACTTACGTTCAGTGTTCATAATTTTCAAGCTTTTGTCTTTGTTCAGGTTATCTAAACACATTCTTCATTTGAACTGTGCCATCAACATACATTACTCTAGTCAAAAATTTATTTTTCAATCCTCGCACTCCTATGAGCACTTTCCTGACGAACTGTTATCCAATTCTTATAATTTCAACTCTGAGAATTAAGTACTAGCTTCGTTGATATTTTCTTTCCTTCTTATCTCCTCCCTGGTCGGCATTGTACCGATATTTTAAAGAGAAATTACATTTTTTGTTACGTCTGGGGGTGAATATGTTAAGGATGTCTTCAACTGTATCATCTTGCCCACTGAATTAATCAGGGGAAATTTCAGCATATTGTGTTCATGTAGGGGGGTCTCTCCATGACAGGCTTGAATGGGACAACGTTTCCGCTCTCACGCAAACAAAACAGTCACTGAATACAGGTTTAGCTCATTTCTGACTGCCTTTATATCCATCTGCTTACTAATGCTAACTGATAGCTAACATGACTGTTTATTTCTCTTCCTCCTTAACATGCCAGGAACAGAGGGTAAGTTCCATATTTTCTCGCTCATTGCATGTTTCACTTAACAGCTTTCTTTTGATGAAAATCACGCTCTATTCTGCTGTTTCATTCCTCGTGAGTTAACCGACCAAAAAAAAAGCAGGGAGGTTGAATTTCCTGTCTATTCTTTGTTTCCAGGTCAATATACCCTATCCATCAAATTGCCTCTTACTGAGATCATTCCCGTTTCTGGAAGTCCCAAATATATCTTAAAAGGGAAGTTTTGAGAAGAAGAACAGATCGACAACTTCGTTATTTTGCACCTCGAACGTCTGACAAAACAATCACTACCTCATTTCACAACACTGCTGACCCGACCAATTTGTTTTAGAACACTAACTCATATTTCAAGGCTCGGTGGTCGTTAAAAATGGGTTTTGACTTTAACTAAGATCAGGAAGTATTTGGCATATCTTCTAAATTAAACATACCACAAGGAGCCAAGCAAATGACGCCTAAGGACCCGAATCTATGGCGCTGAACATCAACGGCAAATTAGCAGTTGTTTGGTTCCTCAAATAAGAGACGAGAAAAACAAGTCATTCTCAAATTCAGTGTAAAAAGGTCAAATTCTCTTCGTTCTCTGTCAGTTCCAGTTAGGATTGTTTTCCAACCACCAACCCTTGCCTCGCATTAAGAGCTTGTCGAAGATGATAGTTCGCATACTGAACTGATCGAACGTAAAAAACAATAATGAATATAAAAATGACACAGATTATGATAATAATAATGAAATAAGCGAGATAAAAGTAACGATCTGAAATTTCAGTAAAAGGAAACGAGCCCATTAAACTAATGGTCCTTATCACTTCGTATACACAGAAAGACGAAGAGAAACCCTTTATCATCATTATACCAACGCTGAACACCTGTACCGCCAAGAACTTGACGGTATGGTTGGCTTTGATCTACGTATACAAGGGCGTTTTGCTACTGTATGGACTCTTCCTTGCTTACGAGACAAGAAACGTGGTGTATGCTCATCTCAACGACTCTCGTGTCATTGGCATCTGTGTGTATAACGTAGTTGTGTTGTCCACCATCGGGGCATTTCTGGCGCTGATTCTGAACAATCATCAATACGAGCAATTGTACGCCGCCTTGAGTGTGTGTATTATATTTCCAGCTACAGTTACCATATCCTTAATTTTCATCCCAAAGGTAAGAAGTATCTCGATCAAGAATGGTAATAGTGTTGTTGCATTTTCTAAAGGCCAAATTTCAGCTTGATCAATGGCAGAGAGGACGTCCATAAATACGCAGTCAAGAAGAAAGTTGAAAGGAAATTCATATTATAAATTACTGAGTAATCAAACGATTTCAATAGACTGCAATCTTGAAACCTATCAGCGCTCGAGATTAAAGACTAAAAGTTATATATGATTTCAAAGACTACAGATTGCACGAGCCCACATGATTATTCATGCATTGCAGTTTATTCAAAACAGCTATCAATATCATTTTGATTACTCAATCTGTTGGAAATTTTGCGCTTCAGACTAAAAATAAGGGTATTGTACAATGATTTTCATAAACAAAGCAGCTCAAATATTCTGAAGTCTACCAAATTTTCCTTTAAAAGAAACAGTTTGATTCGACAGAAGGGGATATGAATCTATTGTGTGAAGATTTTGGGCAGCTTTGAGATTTTTTTTCAGCCTCTAACACCCCCAGATTTTTGGCGAGGATCCTACCTTACAAATCATTGACTTTTTTGTTTTTTTTTTCAGCTAATACATCGGATGAAAATGAGCTCCCTTGAAGATGAGGCAGGAGAATCAACGACAAACACCAGAACCTTTAATCGGCCGTCCATTGACATAACCAGTACTTGCGGTTATGCCACTGAGATGGGTAGAGAGAGATACGTTGATGCTTCTTCAGCGAACGGCAGCGTTAACACGCTATGTGTGTATCAAAACGGAGATGCTGGACTTTCTCCTGCTCCTTCACCGAAACCACCCACGAAATTCCAAGAAATATCGCCTAAAACTCTCGAAGATTGAGGGTATAGTACGATAATAAAAAAGAAGGATTTAAACGTCACCGTGTGACAACGAAAATTCAACTCACCCTTAACTCTCGGGCTATTGGTACTTCTAGAATTTTTTAAGAGAATTATCGCGAGGAGGAAGACATGCCCACGTCCCAAAATTGCTTCGAAGTTACTCCACAAGTACGGAGGACAACCCGTCCTGGAGAAGTCGGTTGTTAGGATATTGTGTTGCCACTGAGCCTTCATGAGTGCGAAACCGTTCAAACTGATTACTGATAACAAAGCACAGTGGATACATCTCACCGAAAAAATGAATTTCGGACAGAAGTTGTGAAATCCGAAGTTGTGGGTGTGTGTCAACCTCAAGGGATGTTACGTGAAGAAAAAACTCGTAAACTTCACACGCTGGTCTCGCAATTTTAAAAACTTCTACGGTTCTTTAAGTAAATAAACGCAGGAAATTTGTGGAAATACTTTTAGATCTTTGAACTGAAGAAAGCTGAAACTGCTACGTAGAACATTTTGTCTTAGCTGTTTTTAGGTGCTGGATCTCGCTTGAAATACTCTCAATGATCTATCTTTAAAAAATTTTGAAGAATTTTAAATATTGACCGTAGTGCAACTGTATTTAAATGAAAATATACAGTTATTATTATCATCATCAACATCAGTGTCATTATTGTTATCATTATCATCATTATTATTTATTATCAGTAATTTGTGTGAATTAGAGTGCGCTACAGCTTTATAGATAACCACGGTAAGCATATCGACAAAAACAATAAGTTTGAGTCTGTTGAAAACATCGTCAAGGCGTTCACGTACACTGAAAAGCAGAGAGAGAAGGTCCTTGAGACCCTCTGCTTATTTCTGGAACTTATTCAATCGGAATTCAGTGCAGTGTGTACATTTTAAAATGTGGTTCGGCCACCATGCCGACTGAATCTTGCAAGTTCGTAGAGCCATTTCATAGCTTGTGCATCATAAAACATTAGCACATGTTACCTTTAACTAAGGGCAGGAGATGAAGCTCTTGAAGAGACGTGAGTTTTCCTTTTTACCAGGAGAGTCATTTGTAAATTGTTCTTAATAAAAACTTGAAATCAATATCTAGCTCGCGTTTACTCTCTGTCATATTCCATGCGAACCCGCCCCTTTTGTATTTATGTCCGACCAGAGAAAATTTCACAGTTCGCCCGGATACGAAGACAACAAATTACCCATGACTGACATGAGGAGTCAATTTTTTAATCTGAAAACAACCTTAAGGGCGGAAAAAGCGCGAGGGAGGGCAAGAAGCCACTGGACTCTACAAGTAGCGCCAGTTCTCCTCGAGAAAAGCCTAAAGCGAAACGGACTTGAATCAACGAAAGCTTGAGCTACTTTTGATACTCAGTCGAAAAGTTTTATAATTTAATGATTTTAGTTTTATAATTTAATGAAATTTTATTAAAAGCGATGAATTTCATTCTCTGCTCGAAATGTATCAACTGAAATATTGAGCAGTTCATGCGTAATTTTTGCGCGTTTCTCACACTTTATCCGTTGTCCTACTCGAGGTGCAATCAGTTAAAGTCATGGTCGTTTGATGCTATGGTAACGTATGTGTTTGGCTTTTAACCATCTCAAGATGAGTGTGATTCAAATTTTAGTTTCACTTTCCAAATTATACTCTTATATTAATCCTTCGACCCCAAAGAGTGACTAGTATCTAATTTCATTCTTCTCACAATATCATCCCCGATTCACACATTAAGGCTATGAGAATGAAGGATATTATCGCCAACTCAACATAAGAAGTTCTTGATTGTTAAGCAAATTCTCCTTGTCAGCTCTATAGGAAATGTATGGAGAATAGTATGGAGATTATATGCGTACTGATGTTAGGGTATAAAGGGTTATGGGACTTTAAATGGAGATGCAAGATGAGCCAAAAACGCCTTGATGATAAATACGTGTGTGTCTTTGTTCTTAGCTGAAACCCTCTTTTGAAACGCGGTAACACCACAACTATTCAGTTCTTAAACACACTAAGAGGTATGTTGCATAGGTAACTGACCCTATAGAAAATAAAAGAAATTTGACGGGGAAAGTCCCCCGCTGTAAAAAAAAATCAATTACAGTGTTGATGACGTCTTTTTCAAAATCTTCTCCCCCGATAGCGACCGCCACAGATGTTTTCTTCGATCTTTCATGAAAATGCTGTAGTCATCAGGTATGGCATAACTTCTGTTCTGCTAGGTTGTAGAGTAGTTCCTTCTGAGGTGACCTTAAAGGAGATATTAGGCTGTTGTCAACTCGTGACTTTCGCGTTTGAATTTTCTCCTCGAACAACACCAGCCAGGAGCCCCATGGTTTCAGCAGAAACTTTGTACAATTATTTTTTTGCACTTTAGAGAACAATCTTTGAAAAAGTTCGATCATTTATGACAACCTTCATTTCAAACTTAACATTTACCTCTGTATTTTAAACTAAAACTATTTTAGCGATTAACATTGAAATTACTTGATGAACTTTGACGACGAAGAAACTATTCAAGTGAAAAAAATATTTCCAAACAAATAACATTTCAGGCTTTCAAGTTATTTGGGAAAGTTCCATTTTTTGATTCAGTCGCTCGATTTTAGCCATATTGTCACAAGAGAGGTATGATGAATCACCTGTCAATATTTCATAACCATCACCAGCAGAGTGGAAAACAAAGCATGCACCATATTGCCAAATCCTACAGGTGAAGAAGAAGAACGCGATCACGTTGAATAGCAACCTCGTTCCCAGGGTCCTCCCTTTTTCTCCCGCAGGTTGCTGCTGGGGCCAGATCTCTGAAACATTAACTGACCAACTATCTAAGACATTTATCCATCACAATTAAAAATTTTCCTAGATGGTTGTCCCTCCTGTGCTCTCCTGAGTTTGTCTTTTCCATTCGAAGTATACGCCTGTGGTAGTTTTCCCTTTTTTGTTTGCTTGTCTACGGTGTGTAAAATGTTTCTCAAATAGTTATCATGACAAAGATGATGTATATTGTGATGGGAATATTTTGATGAGAACAAGTATTATACGAAGAGGATTCCAAGAGTTCGAAAGTTTTATTTAAGAGGACATAAAGGTTTAACAAAAAATAAAATGTTTAATTTCAAAAAAGGTCCAGGATCTAAAGTTAAAAAGCTTAAAAGTTAATTTGAACACAAAAGCAACACTCATCCTGTGATAAGGTATGAAGTGATTAATCAGGAGTTTCTTTCAAATTTCGATAATAAATCATTATGGGCATCGGTCTCAATAGCTAATTTTGCTGTATGTCCCAGTCTTTCTCCATATTATGTTCTTAGAGTAATATCCTTACCTCGCGTTGTGGCGATGCACTCAGTTCCATGTGTTTTTGTAATTTCTATTTTACACTTCCACATTTTCACTGCAACAATGCAGCTAAATATTATATATTTCTAATATCATTGTCTAACTACTTTACAGAGAGCTTAACTGAACGCCCGTTTTCAGTGTGATGGAGAGCTCAAGTGTGTCTGTTTTGTCGATATTCTGTTGTCGAAGGAAAAATGTTCTTATCATTCAAGAAAATGAAGAGTAAGTAAATCTCCTCGGTTTCTTTTTTGTGTTCGAAGTCTTAAAGAATGCCTAGTTCTTTAAAAATACCCACAGTCATTCTTTATCGTCTGTCTGTGTGTGCGTGTGTGTGGGGGAGGGGGGGGGGGGGGCGTCCGAGGATTTTTGATGTCAGCGGCGAAATGGCGGGCAGTCGTAATTTTCTCGGCTCCGCCATAGTCACTTATCTATATCTGTTCTGTTGTTTAAGTCGCTCTTTAATTTATCTAAATACGCTCATTTTCTGTCCATCTTATGCCCTTGATGATTCTGGAGTTACAAAGACCACTAATGAAGTGGATTTATACCGTGCAAGTTGCTCGTCGTCGATGCGTTTGTTCCGCCATCTTGGATTTTCATCTTCAACAAGATCGCATCGCTACTTCACTGCTCGGATATCTCATACTCGAACTCCGTTTCCTCCTTTAACCTAACGCGTCTTCGCTTAACAACGAGTGGCGACATCAGCCCGAACCCTGGTCCACTAATTACGTCTTTTACAACAAATCGTCGAGCAGTTAAACATCGAAGCCATCATCATAGCCACCGCTCCAACGTTGTGCAGGTAAACCGCGTATCTGATCTCCATTTGAGTACATCGAACACTCAGCTGACCATGTGCACGTTAAATGCTCGCTCTATTTCAAACAAATCTGCACTGTTTGTTGATTATGTCAGCGAATGCAAAGCCGACCTAGTTGCAATAACTGAAACTTGGTTATCAGACAACGACTCCGCTGTGTGCTACGAGATAACTCCTGCTGGCTATAAACTGTTACACTGCCCTAGGGGTGATCGTAGAGGTGGAGGTACGGCCCTCTTGTTCAGAGATAACATCAATGTTTCCAAGCTCGAAACTGTTTCAAGGATTTCCTTTGAATCTTCTGAATACCTTGTCTGCACTGGCTCCCTACGCTTTCGATTGGCAATCATCTATCGACCGCCGTACTCTGTTAATCATCCTGTGACTGTGAACAGTTTTATTGACGAATTTTCTGAGTACCTTGAATCTGTTATCCTATCTAACGATGTCCTGTGTTTAACTGGCGATTTTAACATCCATGTTGATGATCACAATGATTCAGCTGCTTGTCGCTTTTTGGATTTATTGGAGTCAATGTCTTTAACTCAACATGTGACAGAACCAACGCATGAACTTGGTCATACACTAGATCTGGTAATTACTCGAAAGTCAGACAACCTTATTAGCGGTCGACCAGCGCCTGACATTCTATTTTCGGATCATCTAGCGTTACTTTTCAAATTGAAAACACCTCGACCACCTCTCAAAGTTGGGCGTGTCTCATTTAGGAAGTTGCGATCAATTGATAAGTCTGCTTTTGCGGATGAAATCTGTAACAGCGAGCTTCTTCAAACGGATACTGAAGATCCTGACGAGCTGGCCGCCTTATTCAACAACACATTGCGTTCCCTGCTGGATCGGCACGCTCCTGTTAAGCAAAAGAATGTTACTATTAGATCTCGTGTTCCATGGATGAATGATGAAATTATATTGGCTAAACGTCAACGGAGGAAAGCTGAAAGGAAATGGAGGGCTTCTAAAGCACACATCGATTTACTATCCTATCGCGCAATGAGAAATCGAGTGACGTTTTTGAGTAACGAGGCTCGTTGTGCATACTATACAAACTTCATAACTGAGAACAGCACGGACCAGAGAAGGTTATTTAGAGCAAGTAAGTCCCTGCTGAATTTATCAAATGGTCCTGGCCTCCCACTGTCGACTAATGATTATCAGTTGGCTAATGATTTTGGAAAATTCTTTGCTCAAAAAATTGCTGATATCAAGTCTGTTATTGCAAACCAGAGCCGCCTTCCTGTCACCATCGACGCTGCCAGTACTGTGACTGCTTCCTGTTTTTCAGAATTTACTCTCCTGTCCGAATCAGAGGTTTTGATTTAATCAAAGCTTCATCAAAGAAATCTTGTCTTCTTGATCCTATTCCAACCAAACTTCTTACGGACTTCGCCGATGTGCTACTACCTCCGATCACGAAAATAATAAATCTTTCGCTTGATTCTGGTTATTTTCCACGCACCTGGAAAAGTGCTCTAGTAAGGCCGCTGTTGAAGAAGGATGGATTACCTCTTGTTTTTAAGAACTACAGACCCGTGAGTAATTTGGCATTTATCTCAAAGCTGGTTGAGACTGTTGTTGCCAAGCAGCTACAGCATTATCTGAATGGCAACAATCTGTTCCCAGTGTTTCAATCCGCCTATCGACAGAACCACAGCACAGAAACTGCACTCCTTAAGGTTATGAATGATATTCTCCTTAACATGAACAGTCAACGTGTTACTCTGCTTATTCTGCTCGATTTAAGTGCTGCCTTCGACACAGTTGATCACGACACCATGCTACGTCGACTTGAGTCATCATTTGGTATACATGGGAAAGCCCTCTCCTGGTTTACGTCCTATTTGTCTGGTAGAACTCAACGGATAATGATTAACGATTCGCTGTCGGAACCTTTTAAATTAGAATGCGGTGTGCCTCAAGGTTCCTGTCTGGGTCCGTTATTGTTTTCGTTGTATACGAGCAAGCTTTTTGAGATCATTGAATATCATTTGCCCACGATTCATTGTTACGCTGACGACTCTCAAGTTTACATCTCATTCAGTCCCAACGACAGAGCTGAGCAACTTGCTGTAGTGAGGAGTATGGAGGACTGCATCAGAGACATTCGTCTTTGGATGTTGAATAATGATCTTAAATTAAATGACGACAAGACTGAATTCCTTATCATTGGCACATCACAACAGCTGGGAAAGCTCGACAATATCAGTATACGTGTGGGCGACTCAGACATACATCCCGTGCCAATTGCGAGAAATCTTGGTTCCTGGTTTGATTCAAGGCTCTCCATGGCAACACACATCACGAAAATTTGTGCCTCTTCATTTTACTACATTTATAATATTCGTCGGATCAGAAAGTACCTTTCACAGCAGTCAACGGAAACTCTTGTCCATGCATTTATAACGAGCCGCCTGGACTATTGCAATGGCCTATTATATGGACTACCGGACTGCTTGTTGAATAAGCTGCAACGAGTACAGAATGCTTGTGCCAGATTGATTCTTAAAGAACAGAGATTTTGTCATATTACGCCCTTAATTTTTAAGTTACACTGGTTACCAATTAGATATAGAATTGAGTTTAAAATATTGTTAATTACTTTTAAGATTCTTAATTTTTTAGCCCCTTCTTATCTATCCTCTCTTATTTCCCTTAGACCCCCCTCCAAATATAATTTAAGAAATTCCAGTGATAAGCTTTTACTTAGCCATCCATCATTTAAATCGAAAGCTACACTGGGGGACCGTTCTTTTACCTGTGCTGCTCCGAAACTATGGAACGAACTACCGCTGGATATTAGGAGCGCAAGAACAGTAAATATTTTTAAAGCTAAACTGAAGACTCACCTTTTTCGTAGTGCATTTCTATAGCTTTTTTTTTTTTTTTTTTTTTTTTTTTTTTTTTTTTTTTTTTTTTTTTTTTTTTTTTATCTCGTTTCTTAAAATTATTGTAAGTCTATTTTAATGATAATTTTTAATCTTGTAATGCGCATTTGAACATTTTATGGAATTTGCGCACTATAAATTTTTAATATTATTATTTAATATTATTATGTGTCACGAATAAATTTACCTCATTCTCCCATAATGCTCTGAAATATCCTTATGATCCTCGCCTCACTGGCCGATAATTTGCAGTCGATTTTCCATAGTCTTCCCTTTATACTCTGTTAGTGACGACTTATCCCTACCCCGTTGCCCTTGAAAACCATGTGATCCTGGAAAATCTTTCCCGACCCCTCCATGTGATAAATAATAACTATTCAGAATGCCGCCTCACGCAAAACACTTTTAGGGTTGCGTGACAAAACCAAACACAAGCTTCGTTGATACTTGAGGTTTGAAACGGAGGGAGTTTTACTAGCTGAGGAGCGGATAAGCGCGAGAGGGATCTGTTATGCGTGATTGCTAAAAAAATAAAAAAAGGTATTTCTGCATAACGAGTTACCAACCAAAGTACAATTGTAGTGGTGTACTTTTTATGTTATCATATGACATTGAGAAGGCTAGCTACGGATAATTATAAATTTTGGGTCCAGTCTGCCTGGTAATTGAGCTATAAACAAAGAACTGAGATTAGGAAGTCGTCATAACCTTTATACAAAATATCACTTCATAAAATTTATGAGAGCACGTACGCATGACTATCAAATTCGTCGGTACGGTGATATTGGAGAAAAACTCACAACCGGTAATCCTTTTTTGGTGTTGTTGGTGTCTAAATCTTGGGAAATTATAAGGAATGCAAATTTCCGTGACTTTCGAAAGAAAATACCACAGGAAATGCGCTAGGTAGTCTCGTTAATGTCCTCAATGTGTTAATGTAAAACACCTCCGCTTTATTATGAATTGAAAATCAATGCCTAATCGTGTATGGAAAACACAAAGTGCTTTTTTTAAGTTGCGACTGATTGAGTACAGATATTTAAAGCTTTTAGGGCGTTTTGCACGGTTGTATGTTTGATCAGTAAGCGATTTTCGGTAACTACGGTATTAAGGGCTTTTTGAGGGGAGAACGTTCTTCATTAGCAAAAAAGAGACTGGGTCTGGAAGACACACTGTTGGGCTCAACATGGCCGCCGACCGAAAATTTTGTAAGGAAATTAGCCCTTTGTGTTTTCTCCATTCATGTGCGTGAAAGTAGTAAACAACCCCGTTGCCACAAGCAACGTGATATTAAAATGCTAAACAAAACTTGGTCTTGAAAACAATAGCGCAATTTTATGAAAATTTATGATAAGGACAGTGTTGCGTGGTCGACGATGGCTGATTTTGGATACTGCTTCGGAACCTTTAGGTTTTGGTGTTAATTCAATACCTCGCGGGTACCTAATCCTGACCTTGTTTGTATTAATAGTTCTATGGGTTGCGGAACCTCGAAGCCTCCAGTTGTAAGCACTGCACATCAAACACGAGCACCTTTGCCCTCCAAAACTCACGACGGTAAACCGGGGCAGCATCGAAGCATCCAACAGGATAGTCGCAAACCGGAGAATCCGCGCATCGAACAGAACGAAACTGAAAACCAGCACGAGTTTATCGAAAGTAGTGAATTTCACCCACTCTCCTACGAAGAAGTCGCAGCTTTACGTCCAAGCGATCCTGAAAATATGTGGGCGATTGTGAAGAAGACATGTGACAGAAACAGGGAATGGAGGCTGGACTCGGTGAAGAATCGACGAGGTTGGAAAACGATAAGACTCTTTGTATCTTCAACTTTCCGTGATTTTCACGCCGAGAGGGAAGCTCTTGTGAAAGAGGTGGGTTGTATTATACACGACAGAATACAATCGATAGAAAATAATCTATCCGCTGAACCAAAAACGGTGCTTACGAAGAAGTCTCGCAGTAGACGAAAGAAAGAGGTTTTAAGCTGATTGCTTACAGCGTTTGATTTTCGTGTGCTTCATTCCTCTTGTAAGATGTAAAAACCCTACTTGAGAGCGTTTTCTGTATAAAATTTCTGCTTTATTTTCATGTATAACCTTAAACGATAACTCAAAGTTCTGTCCCGTTCTAAATACCAGTAATAGACAACAGTTAAATATATAATGACTGTTGACAAGAACGGTTTGATCAGAACCATTTTCTTACTCATAAAGATTAGATCGTCGTATGAGAGGAGAATAACGACTCTAGAGTCTGGACTCTTAAAGACCACAATGAAAGGACATTCTTACTCAGATCGTCTTATGAGGAGAAAAACAACTCTAGACTCTAGACTCTAGACTCTAGACTCTTTGAGACCACAGTGAGAGGACAAATTTTCTTTTACCAAGATTGTGTTGTGTTATTTAATTAGTAATCAAAACAAGATGGCGAATTTCTATCAAGCTACCTTGCTGTAATCTGACCTACAAATTAATTTATTGCCCAAATCTTAAATTTACAAGATATTGGCATCTTAATACCATGTTCTAAGTTTTGCATATTGATAAAATATGAGTATATTTGCATGTTAAACTGTAGGGAATGGATTAGGTACTTTTGTCAATTGCTTTGACAACATGTTATCATCAAGTCTCAGCGAACAAGAAATGCCATCTGCTGTTGCCATGGAAAAGCTTACTTCATTTTGACAAGTACAAATTCACTAAGGAAATGAGTAATTCATGTAGCAACTCTTATTTCTCTTCATCTTGATGCTCTTGTTTGTAACTTGAAAAAGTGTTGGTTAATGGCTGAGAAATGATTTTCATGATTTACATGCAAAATTGTTTGCACTTATTTAGAATTTAATGTACTCATTTGCAACAGTGTAAATGAGATCAAAGACTTGAATGGTGAAATGTTACACCTAAATCAATATGTATATCACTTTTTTACATGTACTTTTTCAAATGAATTTCATGTTGAAATAATTTCAAACTAGTCTAATTTGTATTTCCTTTGTTTGAGAGATTAATTGGTAATGATTTTTTAACAAAGAACAGTACAAACAAGCAAGTTTGAAATCATTTAAGAAATATTTTTTACAAATATTATTTCTCACATCATTACAGTATAAAAGTTGATCACAGAGAGATGTATCTTAGAAGCAGGTTTATAACATAGTTTTGAGAAATTTTTATCATGCTGTTTCAAAAATTTGTCCCTAGGTTTTCCCAGACCTGCGTCTTTGGTGTGAACAAAGAAAACTTCACCTTGTGGAGTGTGACTTAAGATGGGTGAGTGTTAATCTACCATGAGAATTATTTGACTAGCTGAACAATGGAGAGTTAAATTAACCCAAAGATGGCAAAAGCTTTTAGAATTTTGTTAAACGAAGGGCTCAATGCAAAATATGCAAACTACATGTTGTTACAAGATACTACAAAATAACTCCATGAAAACTTCTGAAACAAAAGTTAGTGAAATTACTAGAGTTGCTCAAAAACCTTTTCAGACTTAAAGGCATATTTTTGCCAAACCTAATGAACTGACGCTATATATTCTATTCCATGCAATGACTATGATAACAAGTATATCAGACAGACCTAACATTAGTTTGGTACATGTTTGAAAGAGCATCAAAAAGCAGGCCTCTTTTGCAAAAAAGAAAATTCAGCTTTGCTATGCCTAACTAACCATACAGGATAAGTTTAAAATTATCACCACTATCAATGTTACCATCAGCCCCTTTGTTTGGAAGCCTGGCATATTAACTCCACCTAAGTTCCTTTAAAATTGTGATGATGGCAGCTTACTATCTGACATCTATTTACATCTTGTCAGAAAAAAGGGCAGTTAATTAGTGAACATATAAAAGGACCTCTTGCTGCAGCAATTAGATCACTCCCTGCACATGACTGGTGTTGAATAGAAATGGATTAAAGGTTGTTCTGTTTCCAATTTAGGGAGTTCCTAAAGATAGTTCAACTGAACAGACTATCAAGATCTGTCTTGGCGAGCTTGATCGTTGCTATGAAGATAACATTGTGCCATATTTTCTTAATCTCAACTGGTAAGCTTGCCTTATTATTGCTGCTCATGGGCAAGTTGTTAGCTATAACACCAAAGAATGTCTTGTGCATGGTAGAGCCGATTACTTGTTATTTCACAAACCAATTATATTTAACCCTTCAACTACCATAAATGAATAAGACTAAATTTCCCCTTACAACATCAATACAATATCAAACAGACAAGTGATGAGGGTAAATAAAAATATCAATTACGATTTAACTGATTTTATCCAATACTAAGTTCTCTGAATTGACATTATAAGAATTGTTTGGCAGACAGTAAAGAGAGTTTTTTAATGTAATTTTTAATTTTCTAATTTTCTTTTTACAAAGGTATTCTAACATATCACATATTACTTTAAAATGAAATACCTTATAGGAATGCAAGTTAAAAATTTTAAGAATTATGGATTTTCAAACTTACATACATGTATTGTACTGATGCTTATTATTAACTAACCCTGTGACTTACTTGGTTAATTCATGCATGATTTACCTAAAAGTATTATAATTTATTACAGCTATCTGGTAATGTATCCTTTTTCTTAATGAAGTGCATGTCAATCTAATCAACAGTTCATGTTGTTAAAATGGATTTCCTAAGGAATATATCGACCTGAATCCCTATGATACAAAGATTATGCTTACAAGACCTTTTACTGACGGATACAAGCCATTGTGGCATGAAATTTAAAATAGAGAAGGAGTATCCTATTCTCCATGTGAGAAGGATTGTATTCCAGTCAAACCAACCCCTCCCTTTAAAGACTTCTTTCCAAGTTCCCTTAAAAGTTCTTTGGTGGAGTGTGACATCGTCCGAAGCAAATATCTTCTACCAGTCTAGATTGTGACATGTTCACCCTAATTTACCCTGACAAGGATAAAACAATCACAAGATATTTTTTTTATTAATAGTTTTTTTTTTATTAATAGTGCTCGTGCAGGCTGGATACCAACATTTGGTGACCTAACATATAATTTAGCTGTGCAGTATGGCTGGGTTTATGGCTTGTCTCTTACAGAAATGGAAATTGTACATGGCGCGTTTCGCAAGTGCAACCCTAATGGTGAGTAATTGGTTTAAAAACTACTTGTACAATTTATTTTGGGGATTCCAATAACCTTTTCATTTCTAAAAGTGATAGTGTAATTTCTTTGCACTGTTCTAAAACATATTCATACAATGAATGTATTGCAATTGGTGAAATGAGGCTTGTGGGTGCAAATTCTTATTCAAGGTACCATGATCTCATTTATTGGTCACTGACATGAATAAAATCTAGTTTCTCTTTAAAAACCATGTCTTTTCTTCCAATAGGAGCACAAAAATGAGAGTACCATTTATTTCTACTTTCCCAGGGTTGTTAAAATAAGCTGGCAACTGGTGCATTTCATAGTCATCTCTGAAAAATCAAAGTCCCTGTACTCAAAATCTTTGTGACAACTCTGTTTCCGTTTCTTTTTCTTCTCCTAAATGGGGATGAGAGGTGATAAGATGGTGGGTAGAGAGAAGCCTGGTGATGAACAAGTAACCTTGCAATCACTTTACCTGTGTATTTGGTGTCTTCTTTTTCTTTGGTGTGAAGGGTAAGAAGTACACCAAAGTCTGTCACCACCCCACACCTTTTTGCTCTTTGCCCTTCACCTTCCACTGACCCCCCCCCTTAATAGTCTTTTTACTCACCCTTATATTTGACCTGTGGCCTATTGTTTGTTTATTGGCATCCAACCAGCCCCATACAGGTGTTTCACATTAGTTACTCACAACTAACATGTGCTCTTGAATCATGATAAAACGGTAAATTCTGTACTGGAGCTAAGTGGCTCATATGCATATCCTGGTTTCCATAGGATGAGGGGAGTAGATATTACTGCTCCCACTCTCAGGGATACCTGTCCATTGCAAAGTTATTTTCCCCCTAGACCCCAAGTCCACACACAAAAATCAATGAGCCACTTTGTTTATCTGGTGAATCATGACTGATTATCAACCCTGATTCCATTTCAGCTCTATTCCTGATCAGAGATGATGAGTTCACAGAAACCCTACCTAATGAAATCAAAGATGCCTTTGTAGATGACAATGCCCTGTGCTCGGAAAAAATGAAGAAACTTAAAGAAATGCTAAAGGAACATTTCCCTGTAAGTTTGCTCTTAAACAAGGGGAGAAATACATATCACTTGAATCTTTCTTCAAGAGTAGAGGGCAACTTGAAAAGTGATTTGAACAATTTTGAGAGGCTGGAGTGTTTTGATCCTTTCTAGTATCATGAAAAATTACCCTTTATGGCCCCAAGCCCATTTTTTCAAATATAAAGTGTAAAATTCAACTGTAAAATAGTCGGCAGTAAAAAGAATTGGGTTCCCCCCTCCAACCGAAAAAATCCCTAATATCAATGGGAGGTCATTTCACGTGCAGTACATGAATTCTAGTGAGCTGAACGATACTCCTGTAACACTTTCGTTTACCACATTGGTGCGATCACTTATTTGCCGATGAAAAGATTGTAAAAAACGATCAAGAGACAGAGAATGAAGAGACTCATATGTCTGCTGGTAGAAACGATTTACGAAAAAGTTGTTGTGACGGGGTAACAAAATTGGTGCTGTGTGTGTTGTGTTTAAGGCTGAGAACATTGTTCACTACAAAGTTGATTGTGACGCTAGCAGCGTAAAAAAGAGTGCACAGCTACAGGATGAGAGGGAAGTGAAGCTGAATGGAATAAACGGCTCAGAATCAGTCTTTTACAAAACAGTGAGTTTGATTGTATTACTCTTGGTTTTGGAGTTTCTTTAACTTTGTCTGTTGTGCTTGTAACGTGCATTCAGATGTTAATGTCGATCTCCTGTTCTTCTTTAGGTTTTTGATTTCTTCAAAAGTCGTATTGAACACCAGTATCCTCTCGATCCAACCCCAGAAGATCCGCTTGAAGCTCAAAAGACAGCACATGAGGTTTGACTTTGGTTTTCCTGTACGCCCTCATATAAATAACTTGGGGCTGCATTAAAACACTCAGAATAACAGATGGTTTGCAGACTGAAGAAAAAATCCCTTTCCTGGATATGTAGGCTGTGTTTTCAGAACCTCACAATTTTTTTATGCATCAGTTAAACACTTAAAGACAGGCTGTTATTTGAAAGATTGTGTTGCTATCATAAATCTCCTTTGCTCCCTATTTTTTGTTGTAGTCATTTTTGGACACTCGAGGACAAGTGGTTCTTGGAAGAGACAAGATTCTTGACGAGGTAGGTACAAAGGAGTTTTATGAATTAATTTAAGTATAATATGGAGAGGGAATCCTTCAAAACTTTCCACGTTTTATCTCGTACGTCCTGTTTACTGAGTGAGTGCCTGAATAGTGCTATGATAAGACTTCCTCTTACGCTGTGCGAATGTTTTGTTTTTCTAGATAGCGAACTACATTGTGAACGACTCTTCCAATGCACCGTTGCTGCTTATTGGTAACGCAGGCTCAGGAAAGTCAGCCATTATGGCCAAGAGTGCCAGTGATGCTTTAGCTAAGGCTGAAAGAGGAGAACTGCCTGGGGCCAAGTAAGAAATGAAACTAAACTTATGAAAGAAATGATTAAAATCCATGCCATTGAGGTTGATATTGCTTACATTTTAGGGTTCAATTTACACCTCTTAACGTACAGATGCTACTTATCCTCATTCATTTTTACAAATTCAATGAATTTAATCATAATTCGCCGAGTGGACGATATATGAAGATAAAGATCATCCTCTCAGGCGAACTGAAAAATTCAGGTTTCGACGGGATTCGAACCTCTGCCTCCCTGATACTTCTAGGACGCCACGAGCGACTGAGCTACAAAACTGCATGCTTGGAGCAAGGCAAATTTTAGTGAATTCGTCGTTCCCGTATGATCATAAAGAAAAGACAGAAATCATATTTTGTCTAGCGGACGATATACAGTACCTTTTTTAGGAATATCTGTAACCTTTTACGCTTTAACACTTGTATGCATATTCATTATACTATTCTCTATACATAGAATTGGTTGAGCAATCAAGCGCCTTTTTAATTGATGGTCATTTCATTTATTCTCTTGACCTTAATTGTGTAATTCAGGGGTGATATTGTAAGGAGAAATTAGTTGCTTATCACTCTTGGGATTCAAAGGGTCCAGTTCAGCTTATCTTCAACGATCGTTTTTACTTGAATAGATTGCCACTACTTTGACAATTACTTTAGACCCGAATGTCTTGAAGATAGAAGTATTTGTTCATTTTATTTTTCAGGGGATCGCCGTGCAAAGTGTTTTTTCATTTTGTTGGAGCCACACCTGGTTCCACTGATCTGGCTTTCTTCTTGCAGAGATTGTCAAGGGAGATTAATGTTTCCAAGGTGACAAACGTGGCTTTGCATTACTCTCTTACATAATTGATGTATTTTTTGGTTAGGTGATTCTGTAGAGTGCTCGTCGGAATCCAAGCCAGGTTAGTCTCGAGCGGGAGTCACAAAGGGAAACTACGACAAAATGCAGCTGGTATTTTTTAATTCCGCTGAAGTTTTGCTTGGGTTGAAAAAACAATTAAAATTGGCATTACCATTTCTTTTCTTTTTGCAATCGCTTTTATCAAAAAAACAATCTCGGCGATGTCCGCTATTATTTTACTCACTTCACTCTTAACATCAAATCGAGATTAGCCATCATGCGGACGTCTTGGAAAACAGACTTCCGCTCGAGAGATAATCTAAGAAATTTGGATAATTTGGTGTTATCAACTGAGAATGGAATTCCATTCGCTCTGACCAAAGGAAACGTCAGCTTTGAAACTCTCTACGGTGGCCAATTTACGTTATCAACTCAGTTGATAAACCAAATTATCTTGTTACACTCCTCAGCCGACCACTGACATTTTCTTTAGAAGCTTACCGTTCTAAGAATAGTGTTGGTGGAATTGACATATTTTCTCGAAGTTTTGTATCAAAAGCCTTTTAAAACAAATAAACTGCTGGGGATTACCACATTGGGGGGGGTGTGGGGATGGGGATAAGCGGTATTCTAGTATCTCCATATCACAAAGACCGTACCACAGTACTCTGTCCGTAGATTTCCCCGTCCAATTTTGTGTGTTTTTATCTTGTAGCGAGATGTAGTCAGTGACTTGGACTCTTTAGTACAACTGACCAACAGTCTTTTGTCAAATAAGAACACAAAGCCTTGTGTTGTGTTTGTGGATGCTATTAACCAGGTGCGCTGCTTCACTATCTTCGTACTTATTTTTTCCCACCATAAAGACTTGCTTTTATGAAGAAGGAAACCCAAAATTAAAAGAGCGCTTTTGAATTTACTGTCGTAAAAACTGAACCAAAGCAATCACAACAGATAATCCTAGCAGGAAAAATATCTCTTTTAGTCAATGAGAACTCGAAGTAAAAACAAGCAAACTGCCTGAAGCGCGGGGTTTTAAACTTACCAACTGTAGCTTGGTTTAACTCAAGATTTGCTTTACTTTTTTAACACTTACGCTCCAAAGATCTCATCAGTAATTCCCCTTACTGTCTGCCATACAATTCTTTTTACATACTTTTTCAGTTGGGAGAATGTTAATCGGCTCTACTAATAATCCTATAATCCTAAATTGTTATTTTCCTTTATTCTCATCACCTGTCTGCTTGATTTTGTATTGAAATTGCAAGGAGAAATTATGTCTCGGTCACTCATGAGAGTTAAAGGGTTCTTTGTTGATCTGCAGCAAAGGCAAAGTAAAGGGTTTGCTTCTTTCAAAAAGGGTTTAACGGAGAGGTGACGTCTTTCTTTGTTTAGATGGACGATGATAAGATCCAGTATTTAACCAGGTGGCTACCGGAAAACCTTTCACCGAATGTTAAGGTGGTGCTGTCCATGATCAATGACACAGAATGTCACAGACTCCTGAGATCCTATAAGTCTGGACCGAGAGAGATCACTTGTGGTCAGCTTGATTACCAGTCTAGAAAGGTATGAAAGAACTGCTGAAATTTTTCACAATCCCTTGAAACTTGGTCACTGATTCTCAAGAATCTCCAGGATAGAGACTCGAGTCAAACTAAAAACTCGATTATTGATATTCGATTCTCAAAACTAGATTCAGGTGTCGCGAAACATCGATTCTCGATCCTCGATCCTCGATCCCTATGAAAAGCTCTTTTAGCGTTTCTTAACTTGAGTTTATGGAACTGGTTAAGGCTTATTACTTTTTCTTTTATTTCTTTAGCTTATCGTTGAGAACATTCTAAGACTGTACAACAAACGGTTGGATGACAGACAGATGTCCATGTTGTTGGAGAAGCAGGGTTCAGCAAATCCTTTATGGTTAACACTGGCGTGTGAGGAACTCAGGGTGTACGGAGTGTTCAATCTAATGGACGAAAAGATCGCAAGTTTGTCTGATGATCTGATTAGGTGAGTAACTGCCACGGCATCAGCTGTAGCAATGAAGGGTAGCAGTAGTTCAACCTGTTTTGGCAAACGTCAAATATGTTTGTTGTATTACTTTTAGTTTGGAAGAACAAGTTCTGACTCGGTTTGAAGAAGAAAACGGCGGTCAAGTTGTAGTAGCCACAGTATGTCTATTGGAGACGTCACGACACGGTCTGCTGGAAACAGAACTGCTCCAGATGCTGGCTGAAGAATCCACACTTACCCCACCCCCCTACGTCGAGGGTGAATCAGATCAGATCACAACAACAGAAGCAACAACGACTGGCTCAGGTGAGCTGAAGTCGTTTGTCTCCCTACAGGCTCCTCATACCAAATATTCAAGTTGCAGGTCAAAGATTCGATCAATTATTGAACCACTTCACGTAGATGACGGAGGGATTTATGTAAATAATTTCATTATATCCTTAGTCCTATTTTGGTATTATGATCCATCACCATATCTCAAACACAGTAAAACAGAAGTTATGCCAAGAATCGAATTGAAACAAAGTATTCTAAGGATTTTTCCAAAGGGGGAGGGGTGTCACTCTGTGTCAAACTGAGGATACTTACGAGATTGTCATGTCAACCTCCATACACCGCGTTTTACTTAATGTGACAAAAAGAAGCTTACAAAGGAGGGGGGGGATTCCCAGATCCCAAGATTCCCCTCCCATCCTAGTTACGCCCTTGGTTTTGAACTAAAGAGTTTGTTCACCTCGCTTAACCGAAAAAGAAAACTGACAATGATTCATTCTTAACACAAAATCATTTTACTGATTGAAGTTATTTATAAATACAGAAGTGAGAAAAATAGGGAAAAAATATTTAGTGTTATCATCAAATCATTGTTAAGCGCCCCGCTTTTATGAAAATGTCTTCCTTTGACGTTCCTTTGATTCTTGCTGAGAGGTAAAATTACAATGGAACAAATTTGCGGAAAGAGTAAAGCAATTATTTAGATATCTGTAATGCAATAACTGCGCACGAATATGTTTGTAAACGAGGTAAATTTTCAAGTAGTGTTGTTATTCACAGTTTATTAATACCTGTATCACAAGTTTCATGTGGGTGATGCCTGACGATGGACTCACGTTCGAAACGTCAGCTTTCGAAATTCTTTGCGGTGGCCAATTTACATTTTGAACTCGGTTGATAAAACCAAAGTGTCTTGTAAAACCCCGCAGCGACGCAGCACCACAGTTTCTCTAGAAACTTACATCCCAATTATTTATTTATGTTAATTACTGTTTTTGATTCGTTCGTTTGTTTTCAACTTTTAGCTCCAGATCATAATCTAACAGTAGCAGACAAACTGGCCAAGCAGGTGGACGAGACATACATACAGAAAGACGAGGACAAAGGAGAAAAGGAAGATGAAGCGAAAAAAGCTACTGGCCGGAAACAAAAGAACGAAAAGAAATTTCTGCCGGCTGTCAAATGGGCGTTGGTGTACCGAGCCTTGAAACCGCTGCTTCGACCGTGTGGAGACTTGGGCGAGGGAAGATTGGATTTCTATCACAGATCTATCAGTAAAGCTGTTAGGAGAAAGTGAGTATCGGGTATTTTTCCAACGACATTTTTCCTCTCCTCTTCTTACCGCTCGTAACTCTGTATGTGTTTGTTTCAATAAGGGAGGAGTTGTTGTCCTTCTGTTACGCGACAGTAGGTTTCTCCCTCACCCCAGTAATAAGAGCCTCTGTGTCCCTTACTAAACATTTGGAGTCAACCCTTTACCGAGTAGATGTAGATAGGAAGACTCTCGGAGGAAGTTTCCTCGTCTAAGACCCAATTAAAACAGAGCTTTGACAATCTTAATGTTTTACGTCAAACATCCGCTCACATGTATTGTACTTGCTTGAAACACTACCTTTTTCCAAAGATAGTGTTTTTCGATGATTACCGCTTGGAGAAGGTGATGGTCACCTTAGTTTACCAGTATTTCCACCAAACACTGAAGAAGGAAAAAAATTCAAATAATTGTGCATGGTTTGAATTGATTGTACAATAAATAATAGCATGACTCTGATTTCAATTTAATTTTTTTTTCATCAAGTATGACTGTGTCAAATTCTCTCCATGCAAAGGTATTTCTCAGGATCAGAGGGATATACAAAACATCAGTATACTTTCTGGCATGGAAAACACGCGGAGTTCTTCGAAGGAAGTGAAGATTTTGATCGCAAATCAGAGGTAAACTTCTGTAGAAAGAGCCCTGTTCTGAATGCTGATTAGTCATTCGCCTAATTTCATTGGTAACTTGATAACAGTTTTTTTTAATCGCGCTTGGGAAATGTCACCCTGTAGTACTATCCCGCTTCCTTTTGGTAATACTTTTTTGTCTCACCAAAATTAAGAATTGAAAGGATATGAGATTGAATATGAAGCTGATTACAGAGTGTCCATGCGCTGACTAGCTCAGAAGAAATTCATGTCAGTTATATCTTCCGCGGACCACTCTGAGTTCTTAGAGAAAAGTAATAAATAAAATTCTTTGGCTTTCGAAGTTTTGCTTCTGAATGGTTAAATCAAATTTTTTTATCAAGATGGTTTTTCTTCGATATTCGCTTATAGCTTTTATTCGACCCCACCCCTCCACACCGTAACTTCAGGTTACATCTTCCCCATACTGTTCCCTATACATTTTTATGGTACTGACTAAGAGAATTTGTTTTAGCAATCAAGGTATTCCTTTACAGGTGATCATTTCCTTTATTCTCTCATGTTTGATTGAGCAATAATACTGTAAGTAGAACTTAGATGCTTGTCACTCGAAGGAGTTGAAGGATTAAGGTTGCTGATTGTACATCCTCAGGTGTGGTGTGTAACTATCTTTTTGATATCCTGGTTAGGAACTACCTTATCACCTTGAGCAGCTATTGGACAACAACAGATTAACAAGGTGCTTATTAGAATGGGAGGTATTTGGACGGCTTTTTAACGATGACTTCAGTATAGACCTTCTCAGATCGTGGCAAAAGGTAACTGATAAAAATATTTATTTAATGTACTTGTATATAAACCCAGGGTGTATATTCTGCTTTAAAACGCTGACTGAAATCATGCAGAAGTGCTCAACATAGAACTGTACAGGAAAATTAATAACAGCGTCGTGAGTGACATACCGGCTGTTGCCTTCCAAACGCTTTCTCCATAAACGTCAATTAACCAGAATAGCGTTGGGAAACAATGCCTTGTTTCCAAATCAGTATTAGAATCTTTTCGCTTATGACAAAATTCCTATTTCGGTCGCCACCTTTCATCCTGAGTGCAGTGAGCAAGTAAACATTTAATGAAGTGTATGCGTTGTGTAACAGGCTGGTGGATATGCTACAGCGTCCGCTCTATATAAAGAATCGTTAGTGGTGTTACGTGACTCGAATGCCCCTAATGAAGAAATAGCCAAGAGAAGTGAAATGGTTGTCATGTTCTTGTAAGTAAACGATCCTTAATGAATATTTGTTATCCAGATGGCTTTTGTTATAAATAAAACCCTGGTGTGTGAGAATTCCTATAAAAGTTACGGATAAGTTCTTTCACGGTTTTACAGTCTGTAGGGTTGTGCAAGCCTGGCCCTGGGGAGGGGGAATACTCCGTCAATTTGCTCAGAAGTGCGTGTGCCTTCACACAGTGTTTGTTCGATCTTGAATCTCCATGTAGCTTAGTACACACACCCTCCCCACCCAGGCTTCCCCCCTCCCTCCACCCTGAAGTACAAGTTAGTACCGTAAAGTCTGTGAATGAAATCTTGAATTATGGTTTGGGGAAGACAAGAAAAAAGTTTCCTCGTCTCGTCTAGTGTCGTTCTTCACACTAAACTGTTCATCTTAAAAATAAAGGGGTAAGTTTCTAATGAAACTGTGGTGCTGCGTCGGTGGGAGAGTATAGCAGGTAATTTAGTGTTAACAACTGAGTTAAAACGTAAATTAGCCACCGTAAAGGGTAAAAAAGCTGACGTTTCGAGCGTTAGCCCTTCGTCAGACGAACTCATAGGAATTTTTTATAGGAATTATCAATCGTTCTGATCACCTGGAACAGGCTCAAGCACTCCGTGCTTATTCTTTTTCATTATGTGATTCTAATTTACAAGTCATAAACCTGTGATCATGTCAATGAAAGCCACTAATATATTTTTTAGAATCTGTCTGATGTCGCATATCGTTAGTCGCTCCTTTCCAGTCCCTTTCAGCGATACAAACGGACATGCATGTCCAACATGAAGAGCGACGATTGTTTCTTTTTTTTTCAATACAGGATCCAAGCAGGGCAATATGAAGACGCACACTTGCTGCTGAATGATTTGCTTAAACTAGAAGAGGAAAGTCTTGGTGCGCGAACCGACAAACTGGCTGACATCTATCAACTTATGTCCAAGACCAAAAGTGAGGTACGCGTAACTCGTAGTATTTGTGAACTGATGATTGCTTGACATTTGTCGCGATTGCATGACGTTGTAACATGTTGTGTTGAGTTCAGAGATTTCTTTGATTGCGGAACAATGATGTTGCATTACTTGGCGTGAACATTGCGGCTTTTATTTTCAGGTTGTAAAGAACTTCAACTTCGTGACAATGGATCAACTGGAACAGGACAAGGAAATCGTTGAATTCTGTAAAAGGTCCCTGAGTTATCGCAAAAAGCTTAGTGGTGAGGAACACGAGGTATGCAACCAAACATTTTTCTTTTCTAATCTGCAAATGTTTCCGATAAGTATAAAAAATCTCTCATTCACAACAAACGCAAATCTTGTCACGTTATTACTGTTCGCTTTAACGTTGTTCGAAAGCTTGCTATTCTATCTTGCATGATAAACCTTCAACACAAACGCGTCCAATTTTTGCCTTTGCCATTATATACTGCTCTCAAATTTTCTTATCCTTCCCCCCCCCCCTCCCTTTTTACTTGGCCTGAACGGGGCATGCCATCATTCGGCTTATGGTTTTCGTGTCTTTATTCCTAAGAAGGGTACAACGTTTCAAGATTTATTCTTGCTAGTCAGGGCTAGATCAGATCGATGTGTCATTTTCTATCAAATGTTTCGTCTCAAACAAGTTAAAGAGATTCGTAAACAACTTTGCATCAAGCAGGGTCAGGGTTTTAAAGCCGAAAAATTACCTCGAGTACCCACTTCCTCCCTCTCGGGGAATTCTACACGGTGTTGTTTATTGTCTTTTGTTTATTGTCAGCTCATAATCATTCACTTGTTGTTCACACAGCACAAGACAGCTATGATTGACATACTCATTGCTCATCATCTGAGTATCGTGGCCGACTTGGAGCCACAAAACTCTGAACAAACTCGAAGAGATTGTTTCAAATATATAGATGAGGCCATCGACATCTTCATGAGGGTAAGATATCATTTTTTTCTACTTTGTAATTTTCTCCTTATAATTTTGAGAGATGTGACATAAACACTCTCTGTGTTAGAGATAACTTCCTCATTAAATCATGCAGAGAATGGCATCTTGGGATTGTGACGACAATACCTGCTTCAATTCACTTTGGTAGTATTCTTGCTTTGTAAACCTGTTCTGTCTCTTTTCCTTTGTAGCATGGAGACATGGGACACATGGCAGAGGCGATCATGACCAAGTCATTCATTAATCCACGTCATCGAAAACATTTCAAGGAAAAAGAAGAGGTATTTGAAGTTTCAATCTCATCAGCCCTTCCTTTGATTTTATCTTTGTTTTCTTTTTTGTTTTGTCCTCTCCTGGTCGTATAAGAAGTAGTTTCTCAGTCTTCAAAATTTCATGGAAATACACTTTTCGTGTACTTTCTTCATAGCTGTTAGTTGAACTTCGTATGTTAGTAATAGAGTGGGTTACAAATTGGTGTTTAGACGACGGGTAACCCTTCTTTCCTTGCGTAGTCAGTCGCGCGCGAGTCAAGAGAGAGCGTCGAGAGTCAGTAAGTTTGTTTCTTATTTCTGGCGTGGCCCGGACTTCTCGCTGAGTGCTCCCTAAGAAATTTCGGACATCTCGAACCGCGAACAGCGAGAAGATTTGGGAAGATTGCCTTTCTTTCCTTTCAATGTGTTGTTCACGTTGTTCATGAATGGAGAATCCCAATAATCAGTCATCTCGAACCGCAAAAATTTGTTCCCTTGAAACACAGATTATCGCTAATGAAACTTGAAAATATTGAATGCTAAACGGTCGGTGTTTCCTTTCCCCTCTTAAGTTTACATTCAAGCCCTTCGTTTATTTTAACATTTGTTTTGTGCAGATGCTTAACAGATCCTTTGAGTTATGTCTCAAAACTTACGGTGAGAAGCATATGTTGACACTGAGGCTTTATCTAAACATTGGCATCCTATACGAAGACAACAGAGATTTTCAGAAGGCCTATGATTACTTTGTTAAGTGGCATGAAACGTGTCAAGAGGTGAGAGAATCGTTGAAATGACATTTGATTCGGTCAGAAATGAAAGGGACTGTAGCGCTAGCTTGTTTTAAGTGTTCAGTTAGTAAAACAGAGCGTCACAGTAAACGGTGCGATAGTAGCGGCAGTGCGAAAATGAGGGAGGCTTGGGTCGAGTCGCACATTATGCGACCCGACCCAAACCTCCCTCTTTTTTTCACTTCGTCCCCAGTATCACGCCGTTTTCTGCCGCGCTACGTTTTACTGATTAAACTAACTGAACTCCTGGAACAGGCTACTCTAGGGCGGGGTAATATTGCGGCCTAAACCTACACAAAACGGTGATGATGGTCCAGCTTGTTCGACGGAAAAGTTTATTTAAAATTGCCCTGTTTTACACTTCACATTGTCCAAGAAACTTCTACGCGGCCCAGAAATCCTGTATTAACCTTTGACCCCCTAGAGCGACCAGCATCTAATTTCTCCTTACAATATCACCCCCGAATCAAACACCAAGGAAAAGTGAATATTGGAATGATCACAAACTAGAGAGGCCCTTGATCGTCAATCAAATTCTCCATGTCAGCACGTTAGGAAATGTATTTAGAACAGTATGAAGAATATGTATACTGATCAGTGTTTAGGTGTAAAGGGATTTTACTTGCCGTTTTTTAAATCCTTCTCATCCTTAGCCGTCCAGGTTCGTTCTTGGGCTATGATTGCCTCTTCTGAATTTTCTTTCTAGTCAAAAAGTACCTTTTGTTAGTATTTACTTAAATCTTTTGTTGATCGCAAAATCTTGTCTTTGTCAAGTATGGAGGTGAAAGTGGCCGCTTTACTCCAAAATTGTATCTTTTTCTTAGAATATATGAAGTTCTCATTTGTGATGTGCTTTTCAAGGAAGATTAAGCTACAGCTTTTGCTGACATTTATTTTAACGCTTTATGTTCAGGTGCTGGGACCTTCACACCCAAAAACAGGGCGCGCCCGCGATACTTTGAACGAAGCGACGTACGTTCGCATCCGAGAACAGAGAGAACGACAGGCCGCTGGCACGGCTTAAGGGATAACTAGTGTCAGTCACTCACTTAATACATTCACTACGTACCTATAATTTGAAAGCAGCACTAAGGCCACTATTAAAATAAGTGGTAGTTGATTAGGGACTCAGACAAGACTGTCCTTTGTGTCCTTTGGTCACTGCTATTATGATGACCCTGGGTCTAAAGTAATGTAGAAAAACCAACTTTGATTTCGTCTACTTATCGCTCTAGGCGTTTAAATTAGCTGCCACTTTTCCTTCCGCGTCAAACGCCGCCCTTCGATTCTTTTAATAAGCCCTTCTTCTCTCTAGGAAGCCCTCTCCTACTCCCACCCGGCTGGACGCGTTAGATATCACTAAACCTCACGTTTTTGAAACATAAATTACCCGTTCTGGTAACGGGTATGGCGTGTAGTCACTTTTCTACCTAATAAGTAACGTTCTTAAGTGATGTTTGTGAAGTTGAAGTTAACGTCTTGGAACACAGAGGATACTCAAAATAATGACCTGAGTATCAAAAACATTATGTCAGGCCGAAACAAAATATAACATGTTTTCGCCAACATGGTTTTCTGTTTGTCTCGACCCAGCTCTCGAGCGATGTAAAGCACAGAGGAAACTAGGGGAAAATGTACTGGTTTGACCTCAATATCTTATTATTGTATACAAGCAGCAGCAATAGGAAAAGGAGAAAAAACTCCATACCAGTGAATCACGATTGCGAAGTTGGTAATGATTTTTGCAACGACGCAGAAAGCCTCAATTGCTCTCTGTGATTGTGTTGTACAAATAACGAGTGCAACATTTCTTGATAGTTACCTGAGGTACACAATAGTCTTCAAGGAATTTTTTGTACTTGGATATAGGCACCAAGATGTCTGAGTTATTAATTTAGACGAATCATAATAAAATACTGAAAGGTATTCCTTGCTTTACAGTTCAGTCAATACGAGGTGCGTGTAAGTTTTTTTTTTCCATCTGGGGTCCCATGATAAATTTATGCATATTAAGGAAGAGGAAAACTTTCCTTAAGCTTGGATTCGGAAACCAGGACATTTCTAGGGTTTCTACAATAAAAGGTTTGCCACATTTTTCTTGCTCCTTGCATCATTACAGTTCTACGGGCAAGTCAACAGCGGCGAACGACTTCCCTCCCCTTTTTCTTCTGGCAATTTTCTTCCTACAAAATGGTTATTGCTTTTGCAACTGAATTTAAGTTCCTTTAGAATCGAGAGATTTTCTTTCGTCACGAACGAGTACTGAAGAAAATCGGAGTTCCCTGGACTCTACTGGAACATTTTGCAGAGCACCTTTGGAAATCTTTTGCCGGTACAGTTCAGAGGTTCTTACATGTGGTAGATACTTGCAAAACGTGGAGACTTTGTTGTCTCGTGTAGTCTTCCATCGACACTTTAGAATCTAGAAAATCTTATCCCAATTTTGGTCATCTGGGTTTTTAATTATCATCATTCCTACTCTTTTGACGCTTTGTTGTCGTTAAAGGTATTTGATTCTCATCTTTGCGCCGAAAAAGAGTATTCTTCGGAACTTTTGCCAACTCAGTTATTTTCTGCAAACGAGCTGGGTACGTCGTAAATAGTTAACGGTTCATTCAAGGGCAACGAGGAATAAGAATGGAAAATCCACCGAATCAAACGATCTACATAAACAACCTCAACGAGAAGGTCAAGAAGGAGGGTGAGTTTATCATACCGAAATAGCTAGCTACAGTACGTAGTTGTTTGAAACGTTCCTCAGCTGAATGCACTACACACAAGTAGCGTTATATGGCCTTTTTATTGTTGTCTCTTTCACGTTTAAGTGCACAGCCTCTGAGAGAACTACAGCCAAGGTTTCTTAGTGACATACGTATGCGCTTAAAACTAGAATTACTCAGAATTTAAGGCTGTGGACATCTGTGTACTTACTTTTTAATGCCGGCCTACACTTGAAGCTATTCGTGTTATTTACGGTTCAAAACTTAAGATTCGCTTTCTGTGTTAGTTGAACCTGTTATTCCAACATCTTTTATTTAAATACGTCAGCAACAAATTTTAATTTGATTTCTACCTTTGGTTTCATTATGCTGTCAAAGACTGCTAACACTGACTGAACCCACTCGTCTCCTCAATCAGCTAGCCGCTTAGACCGCGCAGTCAACGTCCTTCAAAGGGTAGAGGGATAGAAACGAGACATTGCTCTGAGAGCATGCATGCATTTTTCTGTTGGAAGAATAACTATCATCCGAATCACCTGTATTCTCCTGTGGAAAGAGAAAAGGACTTAAGAGACAAGTCAAACAGCTTTATGGCTTCCTTAATGGTAGCCAGAACTATTTCTCTCTCACCAACAAACTCATGTTTCACACAACATCTCCCTTGACTCTGTTAGTGACTTCCACTCAGTTGTCATAATGTCAATCAGCAACAAAATTCCTTGTAAGAACTACACTCTCCCAGACAAACAGATGGCAAAATCAATAGGAATTTTTCAACCCATATGTAAACAAGAGCTGCAAATTTGTTAAAAATTCTGAATTCTGAGAGCTCTTTTGACCACATGAATCGCCGTGCTTGATCCCCACTTGAGAGTACTTTTTCTACAATTACTTCACAACTTCGAGAATTATCAGAGACCCAAGTTCCCTTTCCAATACACTACAATCACTTAAGACGTCCTGTTTGTCTTACATGGCACCAGGTATATTACCATATGATCTAAATGTCTGTCATTTGAACATGATTGAATCCTATATGTTGTTTACCTTATTCTGCCATTTTTCTCTCATCCTTAGAATTGAAGAAGTCGCTGTATGCCATATTTTCACAGTTTGGTCCAATTTTAGACATTGTAGCACTGAAAACTCTCAAAATGAGGGGTCAGGCTTTTGTAGTATTTAGAGACTTGCCGAGCGCCACCAATGCTCTGCGCTCTATGCAAGGGTTTCCATTTTATGACAAACCAATGGTAAGTTTTTGTCTTTTAAAGCCTGCAAACTCTTCAGCTGTCTCGGTATGTATGTTGTGGTTTGATCATAACGAGGCGCTTATGGTTTTTAACCCATTAACTTTCAAGATCTAATTGCTAATTCTTTCCTCTTTGTAATTCTCCCCTACAAACTCTTCAGCTGTCTTGGTATACATGTTGTAGTTTGATCATAAGAAGGTAGTTATGCCTTTGAACACTTAAACCTTCAAGATCTGATTGTTAATTTTCCCCTTTAGCTGCTACACATTTCCTTTTAAATTTGTTACAATGGTTTGGTGTAAGATCAAGATAACTATCTGATAAGTTTGGGTTTTCCCATTACCTGTTTGCTGGATTACGCATGGATATTTTAAGGAGAAGTTACAAGTTAATCACTTCTAGGAGTGAAAGTGGTAAGAGTGCTGACACAAGAGAAGCATCTAATAGAAAAATAAGCCATTCCTAGCAAACAGTATTATGTATTAAAATGTCTCCCACAGTGAAGTTGTTAAAAAAATAAACCCTGGATTCTCATTAACGAGAATTGCTTTTACATGCTCTCTCTCTCTCTCTCTCTCTCTCTCTCTTTCTTTTTTTTTTTAGACTTACAAATTTTTTCTTTAGTAAGAAGAAATTGCTTTTAGGGTTAAAGATTCAGTGGTTAATTTCATGAGCATCAAAATATCTCTCAAATAATTAATAAGAGAAAATTTGACTGGAAAATCTTCATCCAAAATTTTCTGTAAGTCAATTCACTGGAAAGGGTTAATTTTTCAAATATCAAATGTTTGAGCTTTGAAATTATAGCTAGTTAAGAACTTTGTGTGTGCCAAGCAAGCAAGTAATACAATTTTGATAAATTAGGGTTTTTATTGGTCTACAGAAAATTTTACCACCACTGATATATTGTTAGTATGCTAATGAAATTTCTTTTTACTTATCAATATGGAAAAATTACACAGTATGAATTTTCTGCCTTTGATTGGAGTGTGGGATGTGTTGATTTTGAACGACTAAAATTTTTTACTGATTTGAAGAACATGTTTCACCTGTTATTTGTAAGTATTTTTTGAAATATTTCTAAAAAATAGAGATGAAGTATTCTTCAGAGTGCTATTTTCAGTGTTCAAAGGGCTCATAAAAGTAATGAATTTCTGATTTCTCCAGTATAATTTTTATGTAAACAATATTTAGCAAAGAAAAAATTGGTTACCTCAAGGCGTTAAACCAACAGTAGTTAACAGCTTTTACATGTTGTGTAATGGAAAGGTGAAATCTAGGAAAGTTTTCTATCAAAGTAAAGGTGCAATTTTTAACAATAGAACTCTCTTCAGATTAACTGTGTAAATTTGATTAATTGTTTTTGGTCATGTTGCTTACATTAGAGAATACAGTATGCCAAAAGCAAGTCTGATGCTGTCGCAAAAAAAGATGGAACATTTGTGCAGAGGGAGAAAAAACCCAGAGAGAAGAGAAAGGCTCCAGAACAAGGTATAGAGTACATTTGACAACACTCTTTGAATTCATCTTTGACGTGAGAGAGCTAATTTAGCCAGATCAGCAAATGGAAAAAACAAAACATTTGCTATCTAATTTTCAGCACTTTTTGTTATGATATGAAAATGTTTAGCAACAGTAGTGGACAGGAGAAGTTTTCCTATTTAGTTGTTTGAGAGATTGGAAGAAAGATATTGAGTAGAATCAGATGTTTGTGTTTGAGGAAAACCAGGTTTTGAATGTATTTAGTATTTCAATGAGTGATAGGCAGTTTAAAAATAGATTTTTTTAGAAATCCCTTATTAATCAAGCATAGCAATCAACATACTCTGTGTTTTATAGCTCTAATTTTTTTATTGGTGAAATGTTTTCACTTTATTTTGGTGGAAGGGTATTGAAGAATTATGGTCAAGTCGCCAACAGTTCAACTCGCCAACACTAAGAACCGAGTCATTTGCATCTAAAGCTTTTTTGGTCATTGGCAATGTTCACCTTGCTTTATTCTCCTTGAGATCCTCATAAACTTTGTTGGAAATAAAAAGAATTGCTTTTTACTAAAGATCTTGTCTAGAAAGCCAAGTTTTCTTAAAAAAATCTGACCAATTGACATGCTGAGTCTTTACAGTGTTGTTGTCACAATAACTTGTTCACATCTAAAGCTTTTATGGTCATTGGCGAAGTTCACCTTGCTTTATTCACCATGAGATCCTTATAAACTTTGTTGGAAATAACAAGAATTGTTTTTTGCTAAAGATCTTGTCTAGAAGGCCAAGTTTTCTTAAAAAATCTGACTAATTGACATGATGAGTCTTTAAAGTGTTGTTGTCACACAATAACTTGTTTGCATCTGAAGCTTTTATAGTCATTGGCGATGTTTACCTTGCTTGATTTGCCATGAGATCCTTTTAAACTTTGTTGGAAGAAACAAAATTGTTTTTTCACCAAAGAACTTTTACTTTTCTATATGTTTAACTTCTAATAAGTTGTACTGGATAGAGGACCAACTCGCCAATGTCTCTACTCGATTTTATACATTGGTGAGTTGGCGTTGGTGAGTTGAACCATCGGCAACTTGACTGGATACTGTATTGAAAGGCAAAAATAACTTTGACATTAATGGGAAACAAAACTGTTAGCAACAAATACTGGATATCTGCATATACATGTATGCTGTACAAAATACAGGGAATCAAACATTGTATTGAACAGTCTGTAAACCAGGGTGATATTTCTATTCCTTAGCTAAGGCCTGTTTCTAATAAGAAAGTTATTAATTGCAACCATCAACATGTTTGGGAATGTTTTTCTTTTTGTGTGACTCTGACAACAGCTAAGCCTGCCAAGCGACAGCCAGCAGCCCAAGCAACTCCAACAGCTGTGGTTCAGCCTTTAGTTGCCCCAGTTGCAGCAAATGGTAATACTGTCTTCAGTAATATCTTTACAATGACTGTATTTTTGGGAAATCCAGAAGAAATTTTTACTGAAATTTGTCTTACTCCCAAGATGTGGCTTCATAGTTCAGTCAGTTATAGCACTTAACTATTATCTAGGAGGCACAGGTTTGAATCCCATTGAAGTATGGCTTTTTTTGGATTTACAGTGTATGTCAGTCTCTGAGCAACTGCACACTTAACCCTCCCCTAACCCAATAACAGTCAACTGAAACAAGTCAGGGTTAAAGGTTTCTTTTTGCTGTGTCTTTATTTACAGCTTGCCTGCAAGGAGCATTTATTTACTTGTTCGTGCTAGTAAATCACTGAAGCAAGTTCTTATCATCAGATGTAATATCTTTTGTTTAATGTGCCTAACTGTCTGTATAGTAGTTACTAGTCAGGTTTCGATAGTTTTGATTGTTAATACTCTGTTGATTTTGTTTTGGTTCCACAGCCATCCCAACTCCAGTGCAGGCTGCTGTGGCAGCACCCGAACAGCCCAACAGTATTTTGTTCTTGACGAACCTGCCCATGGAGACAACAGAAATTATGTTGTCTATGTTGTTCAACCAGTACCATTTCCAGACTATAGCCTTCTTGATTATTATACAGCCATTATTACTTAGCCCTTTACACCTTAATGTCAGTATGCAAGCTCTCCATACTGTTCTCTACACATTTCCTATAGTGTTGACAAGGAGAATTTGTATAACAATCAAGAGCTCCTTTAGTTGGTAATTATTTCCTTGTATTCTCTTGATCTCAATGTTTGAATCAGGGGTGATATTGTAGGGAGAAATCAGATGCCAGTCGCTCTTGGGGGGTTCTTGATTGTGAAACAAATTCTCCTTGTCAGCTTCTTAGAAAATGTATTGAGAACAGTATAGAGAATATGTATATCTATGTCAGGGTGTGGAAGATAAAAGGACATGAAACATCCAAATGGTTGGTGATTCAATTAATGGCATTCACGTAAATTCAATTGAAAAGTATCAGCCTGACATTATATATTTATATCTGTTTATTTAAAAAGGTCTCCATTGTTTTCAAAGTTAAACCTTTTAATGTGGGGGCAAGAGTACCTGTTTCTCTGGCAATCCCTCTTAAGTTCAGATTTCTCTTACCTAGCCTGGATAAACATAGTTGCCTCTAAAATTACCATGGGAACCTTCCTTTAATTCTCTTGCTGTTTGTGCTAGAGAGGGTGCCATAAAGTACATTACAATTTGGGTTAGCCTGTTGAAGTTTTGATGAAAAATTGTTTCAATGGTTTAAATGACAGTATTCTTGCTATTTTGTGTTTCTTTGTCCGTACTCTTTATTGTCACAGGTTTCCGGGATTCAAAGAAGTTCGCTTGGTACCAGGACGTTCAGATATTGCTTTTGTAGAGTTTGAGAATGAAGTGCAATCTGGAACAGCTAAAGGTGCTTTGCAGGGATTCAGAATTACTCCATCAAATGCCATGAGGATTACCTATGCTAAGAAGTAATTGGCATTAAACTCAGTTCTTTTAACGTATTCCATGAGAATGCCAATGTATACAGCCTTTTTATTGTCAGAATTTTTTGTTGTCATTAAACCTGGTTCAACTTGTGTTAGGACATGTTGTTCGGGTTAAGTGTCACAGTATGTATGTGCTTGCTCTTTTAAATCTGAACTACATCATGGTTAAAGATTGTGACAAAGACTTCTTAATCCTATTGTGAAATTTTAATCCTGATCTTTATTATAAGCTCATTACAGTTAGTGGAACATAAGAGACTTCATGAATGATAAGAGTAATTATCTAGTATTAGTGGCATTGCACCTTACTGCTGCGATAGTTAGATTGTATTAGCAGCATTGCACACAGCTGCATTTTACTTTTTCTGTTCTTATTCAGATTGCAGCATTGCACATAGCTGCATTTACTTTTTCTGTTCTTATTCAGATTGCAGCATTGCACATAGCTGCATTATTGTATGATAAATTTGTATTGTCATCATTTCAACATTTTTCTATGGAATTAACCTTGTTTTTCTTTTTAGAGCAGAAGATAGGGTTTTCTTGTTTGGCTTTGTTTTAGATTGCAGCATTGCACAAAGCTGCATTATCTCTACTAAATATAGTATATTGAGCTGATTCACTGTTAGCATTGCACTTAAGCTGAAGTGATAGAACATGATACGTTGTCTCAGCATTGCACTTGGCTGGGGGCCAGTCAATGATGTTACACTACCGTGCCTTTTCTGTTGCAACCCATCCAGGGCTAGTAGGAAGCGATAAAGTAGTCAATGGTTGTTTTAGCAAAAACTTTGTCTCCATTAAAATGACTTTTCTTGGCAAGCCTTGTATTGCATTTTTTTAACTGGGATACATGTCTTTGCAAATTGTTATCTGATTTGGCACAGTGTCAGTCTTGGGTTCACAATGATGTTATAGCAGAAGGGAATAAATTTGCAAGTGGGAAACACTTTGCCGAGAGTAGTATTTTGTTACCAGTTACTGATGAACTGAAATCCTCTTGAGTATTGGTGCTTCGTTTAGAAATCAAGGGTGCTTACCCAGCATTTTACTACTTTTAGTAAGGATAATATCTTGATTACCATCACATAATTTATAACAGGACTGCACCACAACATTGCCCAGGTTTACTGGTCCTAATCTATCTGCATGGATAATTCTCAGAAATTAATCATATTTTCATCAGTTGAAAGACTAGGTGAGCATAGCAATTGTTAGGAACAATTTCCTTCAGAGTTTAAGTTACTGCAAATAGTTTGCTCTCTGCCAATCTGATGGGCTTAGTGGATTCTCATGCTTGGACTTTAAGGGTGCACAAATTCTGACAATCACAGGGAAGGTGAAGGGTCAGAGAAAAGAAAATTTGTGAAGTGAAACATTTTCTGATTTGTTTTCACCAGGTCAGTTAAAGGTTAAGGTACCAATCACACTTCCTCAAAATCAATGGCAATTCTTGGACCCTGAATTGTAAACACCAGTTCAACCTTTGTCAGTGAAATCACTTTCAGCTGAATTTAGTACCCACGTAATTCCTTTTACTAGTGGATAAACAGTTCATTCAAGTCTTGGAAAACCTGTAAAGTCATGAATAAAGACTAGAGGACTAGGAAGTCCTGGAAATCTTAACTCAAGCAATTAAGTTTCAAGAATTTATGTGGAAAGAAATTCATGTAAACCATAAGGAGAGTTGATTTTGAAATATTGGGAATGAAAGGGTGCAAGGCGAAATTTGGAGTCGTGGAAAAATCCATCTGAGTCCTGAAGGAGTCCATGAAATTTGTTTCTGAAAAAGGGTACAAACCCTGTGAATAGAAAAACAATGTATTCACCAAATGCCAGCTACTACAACAAACGCATCTGAGGAACAGAGCCTCCTTAAGAAATGACCCCTTGGTACCTAGTGCCCTCCCTGGTTTTAAGAGATAAGACATCAGTGTATGAAATGATAAGGACAGTAAACAACAACTTGGTTGATGGTTTGAATATTTTATTTTCTTTTTTATTCTTTATTGAGAACCAAGGTTTATTCCTCCTTAAAAAAAAAGAAAAGAAAACAGAATGAATGAGAATGAAAATATTCCTTGAAATTTCATGATGATAAGGGTGGTGTTTAGACAATGACATTACTTCGTTAGCTCCTAACTGCACCTGTATTCAATCAATATAAGGTTGTCAACCAATTAAACTTGGTTATAAACACCTACTACCAAGTATGCTATGACCAAGTTCAAGTTTACATCCAATTTGGCCCGTGTAATACAAATAAAGACCTTGGGAATTGCATTCAAGTCCAAATTTATAGTTTGATGGCATCCTAACTGAGCTACAGGCAAGTACATGTTTGCTGGTACAAATTACCTGTGAACTGATTGAAAATAGAATTTGACCATCATTTATTAGCTGCAACTGACTTTGGATATTAACATGAATCAACCAGAAAGAAAACTGCAAGTCAGCAGAGACAAGGACATGCATTGACATCCTGATATGGCTCTGGAAATGGAAATTCATGCTCAAAACAATTAAAATATAATTGATTAAGAGCAGCTTAATACCTACCGGAATTTCGATTTCATTGTCATCTATCTTGTCAATGATATCATGAGGAGGCTGTCCATCTACTGTGCAGCCAACTGATTGACATGTTCCCAGGATCTCCTTGACAGTACCTGACAGTAATCGAGCCATTGATCGTGGCCTCATGGTTTTGGCAATCTCAATAATTTGATCCAAGGTCAAATTACCATTGTGTTTGACTGTTCAATAAAAAAATTCATTTGGATATCAGAACACAATGTTTTAGTGCCAAGTTCTTTATCAGAACCAAAAAAAGATTGTCATAAAGGGTTATGGAAACTTCACATAATGTTAAGATAAACTCAGCTGAACAAGCATTCCAGCCAGGCAAAACTCAAACATAATTCTTACACCAATACCCTGAGGTTGTTTTTGGACCAAGACCAAATTCTGAAAAAGTGTTGAGGAATGCTTAGCCTGCAATGGTATGGCATTGCATCTAGGCAGGGGGAAATTAAACCATATTTCAACCTCACAAAAACTTACTTAGTTACATGTATGCTCAAGCCACTCAGTTTGAGTACATGGTTCCCTTTTCTTGTTACTGATCATTAATCAATAGAATAGTTTGGTATTTACAGATGACATAAACCCTGACTTCCATAAAAGACCAAGACAGAATTGCTCCTCACAACATCAATAGAAAATCAATCAAATAAGTGATGAGAATGATGAGGATTATTAGTTGATCTGATACCGAATTCTCCCAATGAACATCCTAACAATTGTATGGCAGATGGTAAGGAGAAGTACTAACAAGATCATGGGAGTAAACAGGTTAGAGCCAAATCAGCATTTCACCCTGAGTTTTGCCAATCTTACTCCTACTGCAGAAACAAAAGTCAGTGTATTACTCCAGGTAATCTCAACTTGAACAATTTGGCAAATTCCCACAGAATTCAGAATTAGAACAAGCCTGTAAATGTTGTTGGTCTTAGTTGTTTGAGTGGTCCAAATTACCAATTTAAGCAAAAGACTGCACCCTATATTTAATGTCCTAGCATACATGTAATAACCCACAGAGATGTTAGAAGAACACTTGGAACAATTATAACCAATGAGCTGAATGCTAGTTCATCAACATAGAGTGACTAAGGCTAAGGATTTAACATATAATAAATGAAAGTTTGCTAACCAATCAGAGTGCATCATGTGACATCATTTAATTCAGTATTTTAAAGAATTCCATGCAATTTTAGTAAATTATGCTGGTTACCACATGAATGGGAGAATACTGTTCTTCATATAAATGGATAACCCTTTACACCCTAAAACCAGTAACCATATCTTCTACACTCTTCTCTGTACACTTCCTTTGATACTGACGAGGGGAAAGCATTTAGTAATCAAAGCTTCTTGGGTTTGCAATCATTTTTTAATATTCTCATGATATTGATAGATGATTTAGCATTACAATTGTGAGGAGAACTTAGATGCTGATCACTCTTAGGGTTTAAAGGGTTAAACTAAAGGATGGTATCAATCACCCATTACACCACTGAGAACACAGAAGTAGATTACTAACTATTTTTGACTTTCTTGCGATCCCTTTGTGGTTCTTTCAGAGCTCTGATGATGAGTGATGATGCACTTGGTACAACTGACACCTTGGCCTGCCTGTTCTGGATTGTCAACTGGACAGTGATACGTAACCCCTTCCAGTCCCCTGTTGCCTTGGCGATGTCATCTCCAACTTTTTTGGGTGACTGAAAGTTGAATAACAAATGATGCAGTTACAAAAAAATAGTATAATGTTTACATGTGAGGTATAATTATCTATTTTTATTAAAATGTTCTGTTGACTAATGAACCTTGGTTTGCATTCCTGAGACTTAATCAGGTTTAAGTAAGGATGTACGTTATTGATCAATTCAGGAATTTTACACATGTGCTACCTGCAAGAAGATTCGTCCTCACAAGTCTACTACTACCACAAATAAACGAGAAAAAAATTCATCAGAACCAGGTAAAATAAAACAAAAATATTGTATTTCTCACCAAACCAAGAGGACCGATCTTAGGTGCTAGAGCAGATGTGGCACCAACCTCTCCACCGGTTGCTCTGAGGTAGACTAACAAAAAAAGAAGCTTTTATAACACGACACCAAGAGAAACTCAAGTCGAAATTGTAGGATTTAATTCCATGTGGTTTACTTACTGATTTTGATCTCATTAGGATCGAACTTAGGAGGCATTTTTCTAACGGATGGAGGTGTGATTTAGGTTTGATGGCTGTGTGGATGAGTTTTTTTCAAACCCGACCAATTTCTCGATTAGATTGAGTGTTGCACAGCCACTACGAAAGAGGAAGGAGAGAGGGGGTACATCCGGGATATCCAGAGTGACGCTCACAGAGAGGCCTGGGTCTTTGTTATTCTGGTCAGCGGTTATTCCCTTAAGGCGTCGTTGTTCTCAACACAACGCATTCCAAAACAGCTTGAAGGGGGCTGGGAGCGTGCAGATTTTCGTGTTAGTGATATTTCCAACTCTTTAGAGCTTTAAGTAAAGAACCTGTTGTTTATATTTTCCACTCTTGGTGGCACTTACGGTCATTGAAACCATCTGGAGCAAACGGTATCGTCAAAAGACACTACGGAAGCCACGGTAAGCGATTTCACACAGTGGTCTTATTCAAATCATTCAGAATGATGCCTCCTACACTTGACTTGCTTCGTTGAATACTTGCAGGAAGGGCGTTCATTGAACATTTTTGGATTGTTTAAGAAATCGCTCACAGTGGAACATGATAAATCTTAGAAAAGCTGGTTGGATTGGTAAGAAACTTACATTAAACCTCAGAGTATAAAAGTTCACATTGCTCTTGTAGCTATACGTTCAGCGTGAAATTCTTCATTAGAACACGAAATTTATTATTTAAGAAAAAGCATAACTTTCTTACTGATAAAACTTTCTCTAAATTTGAACTTGTTCTCGTTTTTATCTTCATTTCTTACCTAGAGTTCTTTCCCAACTTTGATCTCTCTAAGTATACTGTCAATAGTGGTCACATTTTAGCTACATAAATGTAAGACCTAGTTAATGTACACTCGTACAATTAATTTTGTCTTAAATACAAAATCTTTTTTGAATGGATCGTACAGAAATATACTTACTTATACTTGAGCACAGTTAATATGAGAAATGTGAGGGGATAAATTTTATTCATTTTAAGTTGTATTTTCATGAGCAAGTTCTCCAAAAAAAGTCTTGTGGCAAAACGTGAAAATTTTTAGACTTAAGATCACCTCATATAACCTCACAGTATCCATAATCCTGCAAAAAGTGATATCCTTCATTAAGGATATTGCATTCGCACATGCTCATCTAATATCTTTTTTACAGGTGTTCTGTTGATGTGCATGCAATTATGTGTAGCAGTCAATATCACTGTTGATGCTACAGTTGGAATATTTCTTCAAAAAGAACTTCTTTTCCAAGGTTTTAGTTCAAGTCCTTGTAAGTGTTCACAATTTCATGGTAGAATGATGGTAAAATTTTTTTTCAGGTCTGAGGAAAAGTAAGATTATTGTCACAAAATCGATGTGATGTATTTAACTTTAGTACGCTATACTTGTATGTTGCTTGAGATAAAAAGTAGAGCTTTTTGTTGATTACTACAAAATGCAATTATTATCCATCTTGACTCTATCATTAATAATTTTGTTCACATTTATGTACAAAAGAGTTTACAAGCTCAGTCCTTCAAACTATAATTTAGCTAATTGGTTCAATGTTTTGGGTTGACTAAGGAATAGTGGCAGTCTAGTGAAAACCCTTAAATACTCTGTGCTTGAGAGGGGTACTCTTGGACAGTTGCCTTTGGTGTTTTTTCACAGGGCAATGACCACTCTACAGAAATGGTCCATTTAGTCCAATTACAAAATTATTGATATAGTTTTCCTTAGATTTTTCACACTTTCCATTACGTGATGTCACTTCAATTGACAGCTCTCTTATGGTGTTGAATCACTTGATTTTACACTGATTATTTTTTTTATATAATTTTTATAGAGTATCATCCTGTTAACTGGCAGTGTTGGTCTCAGTATTACTGCTGTATGACTTCTATTCTGGTATAACCAGAAAAGGGGCGCTGTGAGAAATGTTGACTCTACCAAACACTTTGTCACTGTGGTCTTGGCTGAAACTAGGATTTCCATTTCAAAGTCTAGCACATAAATTAGTTAATTATCAAGTTTTCAAACAAGTTCACAGAATAGAACAATGATGCTTTTTCATAAAGAAACCCTAAACTGTCCACTAAAAAAACAACTGATATTGTGTAAGGACTCCTAACAAAAATGAGAAAATGACCAAGTTGTTCGTTATAAAGTGGATAACAGTAAATCCTCCTGTTGCTGTACTGAATTTTCTGACTAAATTTTGACAACTTGAACTATTCTTTAATCAGACATGGAGAATACTCTCTCATAACATGATACTGTTTTTCTGTTTCTACAGTTCTTCAGGAGTCAACCCTGAATGACATTGATTTATTGTTTGAACATCTTCTTTCAACTAAAGTAATACTCATAGTTAGATGAACTGATTGATGATCATCTTTTACTTACAGCTGATCCTGTAAAGTTTATAGCTTCCAAATCAGGATCTCCTGACCTTCCCACTTGGTTACGCCTTGAACAGCGTGAGCCTTCAGACAGAGCATTTATCTATGGTACTCCTGGGCGTGATGTGTCCATTCAAGTTGTTTTGGAGGTAAGACAATTTCAGTAGTTAGAGTGAAAAAGAATGTGTGGTGTTTTTATTGTCAAGATTGAGTTTGTTAGATTACCTTTTACTCTAACAAGCCCCTCTTTCCAAAGAGCCCTTGGTCACCCAACATGTGCCCTGTAACACACCCCTTACTGTCCCCTCTCTCCACTCATAAGTTAATGTGCTCTTCTCTCTCAGGAATTTCTTGCCTGGAGGTCTTGAAAATGTGTAAGTTATTCTGGGGAGTGGAGTTGGAGAGTTTGGCTCTGAGCATTAAATTTATGGGACTTTGATTTTAAATTTTCTTCCTATAACTAGGGTCATTGTTCCATTGAAAATTTATAATTATATTATTGTTATTTGCACTAATAATTGTTGGTGACCTGCAAGGGTGATCATTACGTAGTTCGTATGTTAACACTGACATTTATTTTTTACCACTTTTCCTTTAGGTTACTGCATGGAATAAAACAGACTACACAACCAAAAGACAAGATGTTGTTATTAACATTGATAAATCAAAAGGTTTGCACTACTTATGCCACTTTCAAATTAAAATTTACTTATTATAATGACTAAGTGTAGAACAATAAGGATTAGTAGTTTGGATGCTCTACCATTTAGCTATAGGAGATTTGTGGCAAGCTAGGCAGTTTGACTAGGTCTATGGGGACAAACTACCTGCATACTGCTAAGATAGGAATGAAGCTCTTTGAGTAAAAAACTTAACCTACATATCAAGAAACAAATTCTCGCAACCCTAAATGATTTAAATACAGAGCCTTTCTTAACACTCAAAGGCTAATCATTGTAATCTATGAATTTAAATTACAGATATTCCACGTTACCAGGCAGAGTTTCTTGTAAAAAACAGCAGTATTGATGAATTCCTGGAGAGAAAGGAAAGTGTAAACTTTGTGGAAAAGGTGAAGCAGATTTGGCAGCCACAACCTGGTGGAGTGAAAGTTACAGCTGTGGAGTCAAAACTGGACAGAAAAGGCAGGGTGCCAATTCCACCACAGAAAGAGGGGTAGGACTTTTAGGAAATGGCCATCCAAAAATAAAATATTTAGGAGTCTTCATTTGGGAATATAAAAAAAGGAGCAAGAGAATAGCCTGAAGGTACAGGAGAATAATCTTTGTGTCTGAATGAAAAATAGTGCCATGGATCAAAATTTAGCCTGAAATTTCGTGTAATGGAGAGAGAATTCTCTGACTTATTCAGTTTTTTCTAGATAAATCTGGATAAAATTTGAATGCCACAGCTATGAGCATCATATAAATTGAAAAATTTGATAACCTGGTTCTATTCTACCAAATGAAAATAATGTTTGTTAGATTTAGAGAGTAAACATGGAAAGAATTCTGAATTTTTTGTTATGGAGAAATAAAATGGTATGAGACCAAAATGAAATTTTTTGTGACCTATTCAAATTTTAATCAGAATATACACTCATAGAAAAAAATAACTGTCTTGTTTGCAGAGTCTATATCACAGTTGGGGGTGCATCAACTTATGAAGTGCTTAAACAAGAATACAGAGGCTGTGCAGGTTTACGGGATTCATCCAACAGCAAGTTCCCACCCTTTGAAATTGACTGGTGTGAATTTAAATTGGTGAGGTTTGATACTTTTTTTGACCAAAATTTATTGTTTAGTAAAAGATTTCCATTCTATTCACATGCTCTAGAACATTGAAAATTATAAGAAACTTCAAGTGAGAAATTCCCTAGTGCAAAACTGAGATTTTCTTTTAATTGAAGGCTTGTGAGAAATGAAACAAAACACTCCTACAATTGTATTTCCTTACAGATGGATAAGGATGACACAGCTGTTGTTGTCAGTAATACCACCACAACAGAGGTCAGCGGAGAAGGATTTGATGAATCAACATATGTGGCACCTGTGTTTGACTCTTCTATCAGGGACTTTGGAAGTGATTTTCTCCTTTTACTAATCTTGCCTCTTGCCGTTGTTGTTATCATAGCAATCATTCTAGCCATCATCATGTTTTGCTTTCGTGAAGGAAGGTGAGCTTAAGTTTGGGTAGCCACAATGATTTCTGTTACTTGACTGTATTAGAGTCTTTTCTTATCATTTTTCATGAGAAAAAACCTTTGTTGTTGTATCCAAGCAGTTTAATCCATTTCCAAAACCATTACATCTCCAAAGTAAAAAAAAACACATGCTGGAACATCCTGATAACCAAAAAAAAGTTTTTGTATTTTGTTCATGTAAAAAACTCAGTGTCCTGTTCAGGAAACAATAATTAAAGTAATGTTCTGCAGTGGTAAAATAAGTGATCACAACAGAAAGTCAGCACAGAGAAAAATGCCACCAGGAGTGAATGAGAACTCAAAGTAAAAACACGCAAACTTGTTAAAGCTAAGGAAAAGGCTCTTAGTGACCAAGTTGCAAGGGGTTTTAGTTTTGAACCTGATTTGTTGAGAAGGAGACTGAAGTCTACTGGACCAATCACAGAGCAAAGTTAAGCAAAACCAATTTGATACAATCCTGAATTTACTTTCAGCATTCAGTATAAAATTGCTCTATTATTTTGGATGATTTTGTAAACTTTAGTTCGATATGATTCACAATACCTTAAGTCTTATTCATTTTTCATGTTGAAGAGAATTTTCTTTCACCTACATATGGTACAGGCCATTGTTTGCTATTCACAAGAAAGGCCAAGTTTTTTCTCTTATACAATAAATTTCATACTTAAATGTTTTATTAAATGGTAAATTTTAAATTGCCACTTTGTTAGCTACATTTTATTTTCATCATTATTTTTTAGGCCAAAGAGGGATTCTGAAACTCCAAGGTTTGTGTTAAAGTGATTTTTGACCAATTAAGGTGTTGCTGTGTCATTATCAAATGTACATTGAAATATAAGTTATAAATGAAAGCTATAAAACAGTGTACCATGAAAAATAATCAAGTAATGTCACCTTATAAGCAGATGATTTTAGATTACAGTACTGTTGTATCCATCTTTGCCTCTCATTCCTTTTTCCATCTGGTTTAAGTGATACCTTACTCAATATTTAACACAACCATGTACAGCTTGAATTGCGATTTGTCATATTTCGTGACAATGCCATCCATAGATATGAGAAAAATTACTCATCTGACAATGTTCTTTCTCACTTACACCACTGACTCAGCTACAATTATGACACATTTTCATTTCCTTTGTTTCTCCATCCTTGGTAGTCTGTTTTTACTTAAAGTGTTAAGCTATGAAACATGTACATCGCAACATCCACTCACAATCCAGATCAGACATTCTTTAAAAGTTTGTTAGAAATGACTCAGGGCTAAGGGTAAATTTTACAATAATTTTAAAATGTGTTTCTTTGCAGACCACAGCTGTCTCATCATGACTCCATTCTGAGAGCAACTTTCCGTTTGAGACAGTTGTCCCATCAAAATGGTGATGCTGTAAATGACGGTTCAGATCATGTTCCACAGCCCAAGGAGACATCCACACCTTACAAGCAGTAAGTGAAGCTTTAATTTGTTGGTTATCATGAATCAGAATAACACCATTGCTTTTTGCTCCATCAGATTTATTAACTTTACTTTAGGAGAGGTCTGGAATTGCAGGTCAACATCTGTAAAGTTTAAGGCTGTTATCATGTATGCTACATTGTTTAGTCAGATTACAGGTGTAAACATGCCCAGGATTATGGAATAATTTCATGCATCTTAACCTGTCCTTTGTAAGTTAAGCATTCAGTTCCACTTAAAACTTATTGGCAACCCTGTAAGGCTCTCCATGTTTCCTCTTCAGGAAACCCCCTCCGGGTCAGCGTGAATATGAACCAGAACCAGAACCACCCATGGGAGCACCTCCTCCTTACCGCCTTCCACCACAGCCAGGTGTTAGTGTGTCAGCACCTAATGGGAACAACCAATATTACCCAGGCTCTGCTCAAGGTGACTGAAGGTGGCTTTGTGAGTAAGATTTTTGATTTGATAAGTCTGAGAACAGAGGAGTGGAAAACAGGTTGGACAGCCCAGTTCCTGCAGGAAGAGCAAATTCTGATTACAGCTAAGAAAATTGTTTTTAATAGCAAATTTGTCAGTTGTAAGGCGTAAACCAGTGGTTTTTGTTTTAAAAGACATTTCTACTTTTAAATTTAAAATAGGCTGAAATCATATGATCTGCTGAAACATGAAAGTTTCACTTACATTCTATGAATATTCCCGAGTTTTTAGTTGTGATAAACAGAATAATTTCATCAAGTTTTGCAAAAATTCATTTCAGAAAATCATTCTGACTAATCATAATTTCATTTAGTGTATATTGTAGGACAGTGAATCACTGTCAGAATAATTTTCCAGACATGGGACTTGCATTAGTTAATCTTCACTCACATGTTGTTGGAATTTTTTTAAATGGATGTCATACATATTTGAACCTTATTTGAGTTGATCATTCACCAACAGAAAGTGTTCTATTTATTGTTTCAACTCCTGTGTATGAAATCACCTTGTAATTGGAAATTACTTAATGATTTATATTTGAATTTTAACCTGAATCCATCCACAATCATGTTTTCAACTTGGTCAGAGAATACATCCATGTTAGACTAAGAGCTACATTGTGTTGTTGAGTTCATCTCATGCTATAGTATAGTTTTTATTTCCTTTCATTCACCCCAGTTTTCTAATGAGTAATTTTCTGGTAAAGTACTTGAAAAAAGAAACAATGATAAGGAGATTGAATAAAGAATGAACCCATAGAAAATTGGGCACTAAGTTCTTGATCTCAGGCCATTTTATTGGACTGGTTTTAAGCAAAACCTCTACATTTTCAAGAAGCCAGAGAGAATGATGATGTCCTCTCTAGGCTAAAGTTATTTAATGTCTCCAGGAAAAAAATTTTAACTTGTCTTATGTATACCATGCCCAAAATAGGAATCATTTTTCTAGTTTTTTTCCTTGTCTTATGGCAAAGTAGTTTGAATCAGTTCTAACATAATTGTTGATCACAAAGTTCACTTCAAGTTATCATTGTTTTTCATTCATGGTGTTCTCCTGTTTTCCACTCTCATTGCTCAGGCCAATGCATAACACAACACAGCTCATTTACATTAACTACTACAATTTAACAACCAGAACTAACACTTTTGTTCTTAATCCTTTACATCCTAACAACAGTGTCCATAGACTCCATACTCTCCTCTATATAGAACCTATCAATCGGTATTTTACTCTCCTGACAAGGAGAGTTCATTTATCAGTCAATTGAAAGCTTCTTAAGTTGGCAAACATTTTTTTTCTTATTCTCATGATCTTAATGAAAGATTCAGTGGTATTACTAAGAGGAGGAAGCACATCAGTGGTATTACTAAGAGGAGGATGCACATGCTGGTCATTCTTAGAGTTTAAAGGGTTAACTAATAATAATTAGTCGTCCACAATTATTAATTGTCACTCATTTGCCATACATCAGAACCTGACAGTGATGAATTATACTGTGCAGTTTACATTGATTGTCTTCCTTCCGTCTCCATTAAGTTTGGTGTATACACTTGATTGCAGAAAAAGTTGACATCCTTGATACTTTTATCATGGGCAGTGAGGCCTAATGCACCAATCAATTTAAGATTTCAACATCCTCTTCCTCCCCCCTCAGCAACCCATGGGCACTTGACTGTTATTGGTGCCTGAGGATGAGAAGAATTTGAACCTTGCCTGCTACAGTGGGTGACTGGTAGTGTCAACTCTTTTCAGTAGATCCAGCACTTAGATGGGGTATTTGCCATGGGGGGCAGAATGTTAATAAACCAATCTTCAAAAGTTCAAACACCTACCCTCAAATATCCCCTGCCCCTTGGCAGGGGGATGTTGAAGCATCAAATTCTTGTTGGATGAATATCAGAAAGACAATTTTATGATAACCACAACACTTGCACTCAGTGAATGATAGAAACTGTCTAAGCATTTTGGAAATGAAAGAACTTTCAAAAAGAATTTTTTCACTCTAAACAAGGACTAAAATGAATCACTGATTCAGTAAATATACATAAACTGCCCATATAGTCTATGGGTGTCATAATTTGTGGTTCAAGCTCTTTAGGTGTTAAGGCCTTTGCAATCAAGTGTCTACGTTCTAATTGTTATTCTAAGAAAAAATAATGGATTTTAAGCTCAGCAACACACTAAACATGTCTATTCTCCAAACTAGATATCAAATTAAAAGCTGTCCATGTATAAAAATTCATTTTATGTCCAACATGTTTCAGTTTTATCCATAGGGTTATTTATTTGTTATTTTTGTTACAATATTTGGTAATTAAATATTTATTATCTTCATTTTCAGATGTGTCAAGGCATGAGAGGCCACCTCCATTTATGAGCAGTGGAAATGTACACTGATCATGAAACCTTTTTGAGAAAAATTAATTTGGTTAATTAATGGCTCAAACTTTGTTAATATTGTGTATTTGTTAGCTTTTTTATACCTTTTGTAATGATGGAAATTTTGAGGTAAATTCAGAGTAAACATTTAAAAGACTTGGAAAAGCACAGTGACTGAAGATGGGTTGATGGATGTTTAATGGACTGTAGTGTACTGTTGCCATTGTAAAGTTGGTGTTTTGGTTTTTTTAATATGTCAGTCTGTCTTGTTTTCAGGGTGATGTAGTTCATCTCTTCTGTATGAAGTAACTTTGCTAACCTGAAAGTGTTTATTTGATATGAAACAAGGGTATCTTGTTAGTTTGGTGTGTTAGTTTATAATAAACAGCTTATGTTTGTATCTTCTGGGGTCTCTATTTCTTTTCTTCAGGTAATGCCAAGTGGCTCATCCTGCCAGACCTTATTCTAATCTCTGTGGCTTAAAGGGACTAGAAGTATTGCTATCCATTAACACTTTGAAATACCTTGATAGGTAGAAAGTCTCATGCATATGGAACAATTTGAAATATAATATGTGGGAAAATCATGCAAAGTTAAATGACATTGATTCAAAACGTTCTTGAGTCATTCCATTCATGGTCATAATAATTTGCATCCTCAAGTAACAGACTTCATGCATGTTTGTGGCTTTGTCTTTTTTTCCCTTCAAAGAATTTTTTTCATCTCCCCAATTTAAAGTGGATACCAACAATTTGTACAGCAAATTTATGCCATAAAAAATGTGGGTCACTGTGCTCTTGTAAGAAAGGCCATCATACCTGTTGATTGAAAACCAGTACCATGTTCTCAGAATGTGCACCTGTGTCTTAGCCTGATTACATTATTTCTATGGGCAGGACAAGATGTGCAGTGCAATACTGAGGAATCACCTTTCAGTCCAAACACTTTCTAAAGACTTAAATCTGAATATATTGTAAAATATTGTAAAGCCAGTGTTTCCAAGTTCATCTTATTTCAAGAGCAGTTTCTCAAGCCCTTTTTTGGGTTGACAATTTATTTGGTTTTGTGTTGATTGTAGGCCTTACCATAGAAATAAATTTTAATTAATCGTGACAAACTAGTTTGTCACAATCAGGATGACAGCTCAGGCACAGAAACAAAAAATTACCATTTCTTCAACTGGTGAATATAATTGCAGATATGAGAATTGAACAACACATTGCTGCTGTGATTGTTGCTTTATTTCATGAAAGGAAAAGTTATAAATATCATTACCACTTGGCCAGGTTTCTTTTGTAATTTCACCATGGTTAGCTAGTCTAAGAAGGGTGATTGATATTTCATTTTTCCTTTCCATCTTCAATTTTTTTTAAAGAAAAGATCAAGTGTTAGGTAAAGAATCTTTTTACCCCTAGTTTCTCATGCATGGGGGCTTCTCAAAGTGATTCCTCAATGTTATCTAGCAAACTTTCGATACATGTTTCCTAATGAGGTCTGTTTTGAAAAAATACAATAAAACAGATAGGTCACCTTGCATGTTTAAGAAACATGATGGGCCAATCTTACCCCATTTATGTCTGTACTAACACTAAGGATGCATGTCATTTCATCAAGTTACGGTACATTTTGAAGTAACTGGAAGCAATGTTTTCAATGTAAAAACTTGAGCATATGGAACAACTTGGTACATAACTTGTGGAAAGATCACGCAATTTTAAACAACATAGACTCAGAATGTTCACATCATTCTTTCTAGGGGATTATTTGCATCCTCGAGAAACAGGCTTCAGCGGGCACACTTTTAGCTGTATCTTTTTTCTCCTTGATGACTTTTTCAAATTCTCCAATTTGGAGAGGACAAAAGTATAGGTCACCATGCTTGGTCAAGAGCTAAAGACCATCTTTCCTCTTTTCCTATTACACTGATTGAAAACCAATACTGTATTCTCAGAATGCACACATGCTTATTCATCTGATTACATCATTTTTAAGCGCAGTACAGGATGCACTGAGCAATACTGAGAAATCACCTTAGGAGGCCTGAGTTCAAAATTCTGCATTAGATTGGCCACAAATTGCTATCCAGGCTTTAAAGTGAATGGTCTGCAGAGTTAGGCTTGGAGAACCAATTGAAAAACATATGAAACATTGTGTGAGAGGGCTAACATTTTTCACATACTTTTCAGATGCTTTACTTGTTTAAATGAATCCTAACTATCTTACAGAAAAGCTCACAAAACCCCTCCCACCCCTCCCTTGAAATCCTGCTCCCCTCATCATCCCCCCACGAACCATGCCCCTTCCCCGAGCACCAGGCCCTCCCCTTGTGGCCACATTACCACCCCCACGTCCTCCAGCATCTCCCTTGTGTTTTCCTGTGGGAGATTTAGGTCTAAGAGTCTCAATTTCTTGTGTGCTGCCCACAATAAGGTCTTCTGGTCCACTGGAAAAATATGAGTTGTACAAATCAGCAGAGAAGTTTGAACTTGAAAGACTGGGGCCCACAGATAGCCAGCCTAGCAAACACAAAATAGAAACAGAAAATTAGTCATCAAAACTCCGAATTTTTTCCTTTTCCCATGCCTGTCACAAGATAAAGAAACATTTTATGTATTTCATTACCAAGCTAAGAAATTACCATATTTCTTAACTCCATTGAGTGCCTAAGAAAGAATTTCTCCTAACAATATCATAACAGTAACAAGCACACAAGTGACAAGAATAGGGAAAAAAATCAATTAGGGCATTATAACTTGATCTAAAACCAAATTCTCAGAAGTAACATCATAAGAATCATAGGGCAGACAGTAATGAGAATTACTAAAGAGATCTTGGGAGTGAAAGGGTTAATATCTTTACACACAAGGTAATGTATTAACCTAGCTCACCACAGATTCTCTGTGGCTCAGTGGTAGAGCAATGAGCATGGAATCCCAAGGTCTGAAAATCACTTCCTCATGAGGACTCAAAATTTTTCTTTGTCTCACACTCACGACAAACCAAAAAAATTTCTGTTCCTTAATCATAAAATTGGTGTAAACTACAATGTAGTCAGTGTAGAGGCTTGTGGTTTCTTTTAAATCCAATAAATATTGCAGCTGTATTTAGAAAAAAAACATTAGTACAAGTATTGGAAAAAGATTATTGAAATGTTACCTGGTCTTAGGGTATCATCAACAGCAAACAGGTGAAGCCGACGTCTTCCTAGGCAGAAATGCTCCATTATGTGAAATATCTCAGTTGGTTTTTCTGTGCTCCCAAGTTCAGGCTGGAAATGGATGGTACAATTAATTATTTCCTTCAAGAACTCTCAACTTACACTACTTAATAAATAATTAAATTATTACTAATAATAGTAATAATATGCTTCAAGAAAAATTTAAAAGGGGATAGGGGTGTCATCATGATTATGTTAGTCTCCATCTTACTGCATATGTTTATGTGGAACACATGCCATTCCATTCTCTAAGAGCAGTTAATAATGAACAGTGAATAGTGAACAAAAATATGAAATTATAACATCCCAGCTTTTCATATCACAGTCCAAATGCAAGAAATTAATGTACTTTTCATTTCATGCCAAATCCTATTTGAGTTTTTCATTCTTGTTATTCAGCAATAAGAGCTAAACAAATAGGTGAATGTAACATTTATCAGCCCAAAAGAATTCCGAGACAACCAGACTGAATCAACTCTATGCTACATCAAGATATTTTCCATGTAGGCCCACAGCTTGCAAGATTTTCACCACTCTATTTTATAATCTAATGACAATTTACCTCTTCAGTGATAATAAGATCAATATCCACATTTGCATGAATGAAGTCTCCATCAGTACTTCTTCTCACAGTTCCTTTTATCCCCATCAGACAGTGTTCTTTAGTGTGTTGAAAGATGGCATCAGGTTCAAGGTATTTTGTGTTTCCAGGATTGGTTTTATTTGTTTTAATCCAACAAATGTCCTCGCAACGACGAAAGCCCCATTTCTTTAGGCACTGTTAACAAAGACATACTAAGGGGGTTGGAACAGGTTTAAAGAAAACCCCCAATGGAAGAACAATGAAAATACCTGGTCATCAATCAAGTCAATTAAAAAAAACCTTAAATACCTATTGTTTTTTTAATATTTAAACATTTTATCTTTCACTCTTTGACTTGATTATGACATTAGCAAAATGTTGAAATGTTGTCAACATATTTTTAATATGCTTTTACGAAATGTTTTATCGCAAAAAGACAACAATTGATCATTTTCTACATATTTTTATATTTTACCTTTCTCCCTTCATTAAGTCCTTCATGTGAGCCACACCAAAGAAACAGGAATGAGCGCTGAGCAGCTACTTTTTCTATTTCTAGCTTAAGAATCTGCAACAAGGCAACCAGAATATCAACTGAAGTAGCCATTAAAACCCTTTCACAAAAGAAACAAGAACATACCATTTTCCATTCCACACCTGGTGTCCAGCTAATGTAGTGGGATCAGTTGTTTGAAGGCCAATTAGTGCTGCCCCAAGATTAAATTCTAATCCAGGTTTCTTTCATTTTATGTTCAAAAGCCTTTAGGGATAATTTTATCTATTCTTTTTAGAGCATCCAATCATCAAATAGTGGACAAAAAAATTCTACTGAATTTTCCTTCAAAGTTTTAAGATCTGAAATCAGATTTCACACTAACCCTGGGTTATTTCATGGCCCTTTTCATGGCTAACAAATTCCCACAGCTCATGTTTCATATCAGATTGTAAACAATTGATGAGCCACTGATTGCTTCCAGAAAAATAATGAAAAGTCGCTTACTCATGTACTGGCTTACCAGTAACTATAAGAACATGGTCTTTTCTGCTTTTCACAACAAATGCAAGCTTTTATTTTTTAATGAAAGGTTAAATGCTAAGTGTTCATTTTCTGTTTTGTTACTCTCTAGATGCAGCTGAGCCTTGGGTGAGCGTTTTTAATGCAAACTCTTAAAACCTCTTAGTTTTCAAAAAAGTTCCAAATTTGATCTGTGTTTTATCAATAAGTATGCTATTTGACAATTTTGATTTTCAATTTTTTTCTAACTAACAGTCGAGAAAAAGTATTGTACAGTTGTTTTATTTGTCCAAAAATACTTGATGATTTAAGTTCAGCTCAAAATTGCTTGAAAATTATTTTAAGCAGCCAACAATGTGTACATCTACTTCACGCATGATGAATTAACATATATGTAGAACACGCAAAACAAGCAGAAAAAGAAAACTGCCAGCAAAAGAATGAACCTACATGTAACCATCAAAGACCACAGAATTTGACAAATACATAAGGTGAATACTACAAATGCTAATTAAAATTTACTATTATTTTTTAAGTTTTTTACTTTTTGGTTCTGAAAATTTGACTTGAATACTTGAATAAGTATACGCAGCAATTCTCAACAGAATTCCCAACAGAGCCCCGACAGGTGGCAGGTCTTATTGAAAGCACTGTCTTCAAAAGTGTACCAATGAACTGACTGAGAAGCTTAACATAATTCTGAGGGAGGGGGGCAAGTTTCTAAAAATGTGGTGCTGCATCAGTGGAAGTCATAACAAGATGGTTTGGTTTCATTACTTGAGTTGATGATAGAAATTGGCTACTGCATTAGAGTTTTTAACCTTTTAACTCCCATGAGTAACCAAGACAGAATTTCTCCTTACAATATCAATACAATATCAATCAGATAAGTGATGAGAATAAAGAAAAATAATAATTTGGGCCTGGGATAATTAGTTGATCCAATACTCAATTCTCTGAGCTAACATTATAAGAATTGTATGGTTGGCAGTAAGGAGAATTACAAATGTGATCTGGGAGTTAAAGGGTTAAGCTGACTGTTAGTGCTCTATAGGTGGGAGCTATTACAAGAGAGTTTGGTTTTATTTACTGCATAATGTAAATGGGCCATTGTAAAGAGTTTCTAATACTGACATTTTAAGCCTTTAGTTAGCCTTTTGTCCAAGCAAATGACCAAGGGCTAATGCCCAAATAATTTGGGGGGGGGGGGGTTACTGCCATCTAAGGTAGAATACAGACACCTCATAACATTACGCCACAGAAGTTGTAATGAGCTTCCTGATCAGCATCAGTTCACTCAGCTTCAAACACTGAGCCCTTAAAGTTTTACAAACGTAGGCATACAACTGACCTCATCCCAGGTCCACGGTTTCCAGTTGAAGGTAGTACCAGCAGCACGTCGTTGATATTCCTCCAGGGGTGGGTCAATGTACAACACGTCAAACTTACATTCAAGGTCATCAAGATCAAACATATCCAAGTCACACTGAAGATACCTTAAAATATATAATCAAAAACTGGCACATGAATTAAAAAAAACAAGAAAAAAAAAAGATTCATCTCTTTGCAAATAATTAACAAGAAAAGGATTCAGTAAGGAGAACAATTACTAGTAGATGAATAAAGGGAGTAAGTTTCTAAAGAAAACTGAGGTGCTACGTCAGTGCGAGAGTATAAAAGGGTGATTATATATTATTAACTGAGTTGACCATTAAACCTAAATTGGCCACAATAAAGAGGAACAAAAGTGACATTTTGCGCATTAGGCCTTCATCACAGCACTCTAATTAAATGTCAGCTTTGAAACTCTTTAAAGTGGCCAATTTATGTCATCAACTCAGTCAATAAGACCAATTACCCACTACTAGCAGATCATGGGAGGTAAAAGTTGGACTTCAATTCACCCACTTGCAACCTTGATTCCTAACCACAAAAACTTCCCCTTGTGTCTATAAGTCACACCATAAACCATGCCTCTGTTATGATGATATAACACCATTACTTACATTGGGGGAGTAGCTCTTTCTGAAATGATCTCATCCTAAAAGATGATTAAATGACATATAATTACAAAAACATCAACACCCTAAAAAATTGATCCACTACAGAAATCCAAATCTATAAACCCTAGTTATGATGTAGAACTTAACCCTTTAACTCCCTGAAGTGATTAACATGTAACTTCTCCCTATAATATCCATACATTATTCAGCAAACAGGTAATGAGAATACTCAAACTTATCAAGTTGAAGTTGTCATCTTGATCTATTACCAAGTTCTCAAAACTTATTTATAAATTGACAGTAAGTTTCACTAAAAGCAGGGAAAGATGAAAAAAAATAATAATCAGAGCAATTCAAGCATTTTAATCGCCACACCCATTGATTCATACGATTTTTTTTTCTTTTTAAAAGAATTAAGTGTGGTACATCTGAATATACTTAGGAAAAAGTCAACCCAATAGCACTCATAGTGTTACCTTAAGTCTGATAAGTTCCCTGAGTTTAGGATATTCTTCAAACCTATCAGCAAGTCCTAAAACACAGAACATAACACCATTTGTTCTTGACAACACCACGCCTTTTTCATGTATTCGTGTATGTTTACAGTCCTGCATCATCTACAAACCTCCCCCAAACCAGTCACATAAAAACTGTACTTGGTCATGAAAAGTGTTTAGCCAGCGCTGCTCAAAATGAGTTATTAAGGTCTGTGACTCTTCAGAAAGGGGTTGGAACACTGGGCCTGCCATCCTTCAAGCTCCAACCATTTTTGTTATCATCTGTTCCCTAGTCCTGTTGCAAGTTGGAATGTTTTTATTCCTTGTTTTGATGGCCATAAATGCACCTCACATAGAAATTTATGTTTAAAACATTTAATTACATGTACCATTGTTTACTTTGAATAAATATTTCCCTTTTTTCTTTACTGTAAGAGTCAGTCAGCATTTTTTCTAACAAGTTAACCTCTATTTCTAGAAAGGTTACCAAATAGTGAGTTTTAAATCAGTAGTCTTGCCACCGTACTAAGGCAAAATCAGACATTTCATTCAAAAAAACTACCCACCCACATCTCGGATGAAATTATGAGGCCTCTGTCCTGTATCAACAAAGTGCTGACAGTAATCATTGTGAGGGTTGGCACTTTGTGTTCCCTGAAATTTGAAAAAAAGTTTATTACAATCAGGCAAAAACTTCTGATAAATACATCAAAATAAATTTACCCATGTCAAGAGGGTCAATGTCATTTGAATGAGCCAAACTGTAAAAAAATTCAACTTGTCCCACTTGTTCAAGATTAAGTTTTTTTTACACTTAAGGTTATGAGTTTAATAACACCTCTATGTAACCAAGTCTGCAAAGTGAACATTTTCAAAAACATTACTTTCAAGTTAAAAAAAAGTTAATTTGTAAGTTTGCACACCTTTTCATATACATGTATTCTACAGTTTTGTTCAATCTAATATCCACAGAGCTTGAAGATATGCATCTAAGTACACTTCTTCTCTTGTTTAAGAGTCTAAAAGTAATATCCATTATGTACCTTCAAGAAGTGGCTGGAATCTTTGTACACAACTTCCTCAACATCTTCCCCTTCATAGTCGTCTTTATTCTAAATAGATGAAGGTTAAAAGGATTGAGCTATCAACTTCACACTGCACAACTACACAACAAAAAAAGCCCTAAGGTAATTTTCATAGAACACCATAGAAACATTTTAACTGACTTTTGTAGACTTGTAATATCATGTGATGTGATTGTATTATAATTCAGGGGACAGTTTTGGAGAGCACAAGAAGTGTCCCTTGATTAACCTCTTTTAAATGCACATACCATGACAGATACTAGCTGCAGTTGTGTAAATAGAGGATAACACTATCCACTAGATAAATCTCTATCAGTTGGATAGTGTAGTAAATTCTGTTAACACTTATCCACTGGATAGTGATTTATCCTTGGGATAGAGTTATCTGCCCTTCAAACAACCAGGAAGTGGAGCATTTTTTCAGCTGCAATCAAAGCCTGTTCATTTCGAAAGAAACAGGCTGACAGAAGGCTAAGCAATCCTTTTTACTTTTCCCAAAACAATATTCTTTACTAAAGTAAATTTTTAGTCATCAAAAATATTTTTCCATTAGCAATGGTTCCACATTCATAAAGAAACCAGTTATGTCTCCTGTAGACTATAGTTCACCCTTCAATTCCCAGAAGTGATTAACTCGTAAATTGTCCTTACCATTACAATATGTTATCTTGCAAACAGGTAAGGAGAAAAGACAAGTTTATCAGCAAGAGGGAATTCTATTGTTCTAACACCAAATTCCCTTGTCCAATATACAAGGAACTGTATTGCAGTCAGAAATGAGAAATATGGGACTGAAAGGGTCAAACAATCTAAGCATGACTTACGTTTTCTGAGTCTTCAGTATTCTCTTGTGCAATGCTTTTACCTTCTCTTTTCTTTTCTCTTGATATCAACACCTGGAAAATCAAAATCTAATCTTGACCATTTTTGGAAATGTGTACTACATGAGGAAGACATTGAAACCATGCATGTTTCTGTTTGACGTAATATCTACAAGAGATTCATTGTGAGTGATTTGGTAGATATAATTTAAAAAATGAATGCCCCCTGCTAATAATACTTTTTCCTTTTTTTAAGAGCTCCTAGTCATATGTAAAATATTCCAATAACCAACCTTGGTTGGACCCGCAGGGACACCAGGCAAAGCAATGTCTGAGGCTTTTGGATAACCTCCAGATTGATGTGTGTCATCCTTCTGTTCTCCTGTGAACTTGAGCCGTTTGCTTTCTTGTTCCTCTCTACTGGTCAGTAGTTCTCCAATGGAATCACCTCCTGATGCACCAAGCTAAATCACCAGAATGTACATTTCATGATTGACAGCACAGATAAGAAGGAGTACCAAGATGCATGGTACTCCCCTGGATGCAGCACTCCATGCTGTGACAACTTTGGTTGCCATAGACATAAGAAGTATTCATAGCTTAAATTGGCAAGAAAGTTGCCCTTCTGGGTGACCTATCTTTCCAAGTCACATGGCTGGTTTACAGTCAAGTTGCCATTCCAAGTGAAATGACTTCTGGCAAGATGACTTTCATGTGACTTGACCAGTTATCATGTGACTAGCTGTGATGTTTTAGCTATAGTCTTACAGCATGTCTAGTCTTGGTCTTCAGTTGGAGTGAGATATACATATCTGTGAGACTATTCTCCTTCTGCTTTCTTTAAAGTTATAAATTTGCTCTCTTCCCATGACACATGAACCTTCAAAATGGCTTCCACAGTTTAAGTTGGGTTTAGAGGTAGCAATTTTGCTCATTAAAATGAAGAGAGATGTGGCCAGCAGTATAGCATATGTCGTTTATACATCACAAGAGTGATGCACAGTATTTTTCTTGGTTTGTTTAACATCAAAAAGGTTTTTTCCATTCTTGTCCTGAACTTGGGTGAAAATAAAGGATCTCATTTAATTCTACACAGGATAGTTTTAATTTAAAGTATTTGGACTCAATGGAGTCAGTGTTTCCAGTTCTCCAAAACAAACACATCAAAGTATGGCATAAGTTCCCCTCCTAACCCAGCCTATTCCGGGATGTCACCACATTGCAAGAAAAGGCAACCCAGCATGCTCCAAAATGTAAGGAGTGTAACATTTTAACAAAATCGCGCAAGAAAGATTAACACATTGTCCAACAGCACAAAGTAGAGTACAAATATCCTGCGATATTATATGTTTATTTGAACAGTTAGTCGTTTTGTACTGCAAAAGACCTGTTTAACCAGTCGACTGCGTGCGCTACGCTTCTCTATCCGCTTTACATTTCCCGCCTAATGAGAAATGTATTGTTGTTTGTATTTTGACGAGCCCTAAGGGCTCGTCAAAATACGGCACAACTCGTAAAGATACTCAGCGAATATCACCACTAATAACACACACCAATACGTCTAATAGGATATAGACACAAAATTTCTCGCCAGCGATCCCCAAAGTTTGACTAACTTTAGCACACTCGATTTGCGTTTCAGCCCAGGACGGATATGAAATGATTAATTGCATGCACGACTGATCTTTCCTTGATCCCTCGCCACTTAAAACTTAGACAGTAGCTTTCCCATTTTTTGCAATAATTAAATGACCTTATTTCACAATTTCGCCGGGAAAAGTTGAGCACATTTTACCTGTTGCGCAAGAAGTTGTCGTCGAAGCTTCGACTTTTCTTTCATCTTCTTCAATCTATCATCCATGTTTTTTTTCTCTTCGTATAATTTTTCGGCCAAAATCCTTCTCAAGAAGCCGCCATTTTGAACAACTTAATCAGGGCGCTTGGTAACCAGGTCTCTCATGGCAAACACTTAGTATCCAGGCCAAGAAGGCATTGACCGACAGAGGAGAGTTTAGTTTTTTCGGGTACAAGTTTCGGATTTTGTGTTATTTGTTCTTGAATTCCTTGAAAATTATGCCTTGACAGCGAACCATATCAACTATTCCCTACTCTTCATGCATTGGAGCCCTAGTAGGAATAATGAGCATTAAGTTCGATGCAGATCGAAAGCGTAAACGGCTCAAACAAACCAGCATCGAGGAGAGTTTCAAACGACATCGGACCATGATGTCAAAGATGCCCCTTCACCTCCCAGGTAGATCTTAACTCTGATCGATGTAAATCCAGATAATTTTTCTCAGGATCTCTACTCTAAGATTTGCTTTTGTTGATCTGAATAATCCTTTTCTTTTCGTTACAAACATCATAATTGCAATCAGATGTTTTCGAGAGTATTTGGATTTTTTTTCTTTTTTGTAGTGTACTTAACTGTTTTCAAAACGAACCTAAACGTGTCCTGAAGGTATTGAATGCAACAATGAATGATTAATGACTTACAATCAATGTTCACTCTCTTCTTTCCGTGCTTCTGATGGCGACATGAAGTATAGTGATTTTAAAACAAAGTCTGGTTGGTACGTACAGAAATGAACAGAAATCGTCAAATTGAATTCTTGTACAGGAATCCATTTGTTGGAAGGCAAAATGAACTCAATGAAGATCAGTGGAATAAATGATCAAACAAATATCTTGTTCGTGACAGCTATTATCAGTCTTTTAATTAAGTTAAAATTGTATCTTTTTGAGCTTTCACGGCCATCAAATGGCCTTCGTGTAAGCTTACGTTTTAGGAGGCTTTCATTCGTGTCAGTCAGTGTTATCTTGGCGAGGGTCTCCTCGCAAATTTGTCAGGGAAACTGTATTTAATTTACTAGTTTTTAGACTCTTTCACGAGTTTTTTCACTATTTGTGTTATTTATATTCTTTGGCACCCAAATTGCGCCTTATGTGCTGTTCACATGACTAACCTTACATTTCATCACTTTTCTGCCCTTGAAAGATGAGAAAGAAGAGCTTCCAATGCAAAACTTCCAACACAGTTCATCTCCATTGGAGATGGTTAGTGATCAGGAAGAAGATCTTAGAAAGAAAAGGGCTCTTTTGGCTGATGCTGCAGAAAAAAGGAGGTATGTCTGTTAAATGCCTTAACCCTTCACATCCTAACATCAGTATCCATATTCTCCATAATCTTTTCTTTACATTTCCTCTGGTACTGACAAAGAGAATTCCTTGATTCGTTATTTTCTTAACCCATTTGATCTTAATGAATGATTCAGCAGTATATCTGTAAGGAGAAATTAGGTGCTGGTCACTCTATAAGTTCTTCTTTTTGTCTAGTTTTCATCTCTGTGTAATTTAGTTCTGAGATTTTGGTTTTTCTTAAGCAGATGTGTTCAATTACTATATATTTCCTTGAATAATTGCCCCCCCCCCCCAGCTGAAAGGGGAGGTGCTTGTTGGAAGTAGGGCACTCAATCAAGTATTAAGTTAGCACAGCTTTAAAGATAACAAATATCAAGGAAAAGAAAAAGCACACCAAGGAACTCTGCAAGCACATGGAGATAGAAATAACTGGAACAAACAAGAAGCTATTCTCCTGTACTGACTTCACCTTAGTTGAAGCTTAAAAAGTTGTGAATTAAGTGACAATAAGAACAGGTTTTCCTTATAACCCTACTATTTAAGAAAATGCAGAAGGAGGGTGCTTGTTCAAATTTTTGGCTTAGGGGGTGGGCAGATATTTGGTGGGGGGGGTGCTCATTAGAGCTTGAGCACTTATTTGAGGAGATATGGTAAACCAGAGCAGAGCAATTAAGAGAAATGGGCTCAAGGCAGGAGACACATAAAAATTTGTCTGCCTTTTTTACTGATTTTGGAGTTTCCAGCGTACTCCCAAAGAACAGGTGCTTATAAAGGCGATGCAGTGATTTTAGTTTCATTCTTTTCCTCAGGTATATATGTATTTGCTTGTCTAGAAATATTCAGCAATTTACTTGCTATGTTTGATAATGAACTACTATCCCTATCTTTTCAGGGGTGCTTCAAACACACCCTGTGCGTCAGCAACATCTACAGCAAGTTCAGACATGGTCGTTGAAGGTGGAAGTAAAGATGAATTAAGTGATAATGATGACAACCTTGTCAGCTTTGATGATTCTCCTATAATATTCACAGAGTTAGTATTGTAACAGTCAAATTTTATCGTAGTTTTAGTGCCTCTCTTATACCAAGAAATAAATACATGAACATTAAATGGTATAGCTAACTTTTCCGGCAACTTGCCAAAATATTGAAAAAGTATTCTGAAGATTTATCCTAGCCACTCATACCCCAACATCAGTATGCATATTCTCCTTGCTGTTCTCCCTACATTTCTTACAACGATGAAAAGGAGACTTGTTTAAAAATTAGTTGGTGATCATATCCTTGATTCTGCTGACCTTAATGTGTAATTCATGGGTGATATTGTCATAACGAATTAGATATTAGTCACTCTCAGGGGTTAAAGAGTTAAATCCCTACTGTGTCAACTCTAACCACGGATTTGCTTTCAATTTCTAAATACCCTTGTTTAAGAAAATGCACTGTATGTGCAAGTACACCACTTAATCCATTCATTGAAAATGTTTAATACATAAGTTTCTTTTTTTTCAGTTCACCTAGTCCTGTGCCTGTTCCACTTGAGGTACCATCCATTCAGACCACAGAAAGATTTGTCTCAGGGGTAAATTTATGACTGTGTATATAGGTGTGCTCTGAATGGTTGGAATTCGTTTAATAAGTATTACTTTTTTTATGACATTCAGCATAAATGCCATTTTTTATTATTTTAAAGAGGAATTTGCTCCAGAAAAAGCATTTTGGTTTTTATTTTGGCCATCAAAAATAATTTTACAATAAAACAATTGACAGCTTACTACAGTTTGTGATTTGAAGAGTAATTCAAGCATATGTCTCTTTTAATAAATCATTCCTCTGCCCATAATTTTTTACTCTTTGAGCTCTTTTTTGTGAGTTTAGTTTTTCCAGCATGATCCAGTCATTGCAACTTACTCTTACCAATACTTCTATAGCAGTGACTAAAACATGGTTATTTATAGTAGCTGTGATTACAATATACACGGCAGCTAGTATGTTTGTAGGGTTTCCAGTAAGGATGCTCTGTATTAACTGGATAATTCTTTATCTCAGATGAAATTTAGGAATAATCCTTGTATATAAAAACAGATTTAATTTCAATTTCAATTTTCTTTTTAACTTTTTCATGAAGATTATCGTGACATCCAAGTTTGCTGTTTTAATCTCACTTGCAGGGATGTTCTCTTCAAAGCCTGAACAGAATTCCTTCATGTTCCCCTCCATTACCGCCACTAGATCCACAACCTGGCCACACAGTATTAGTCAGAGTAAGTGGACTCATTCTTGCCTTAAATGAATTGAATATGAAATGTGGTTGCTTGAAGATATGGAATTTCTCTTGAAGTGTGTAACTTGATATCACAAAAGAAAGAAATTCTACATGCATAAGCAACCATGTATTATATATTGTTTATTGTATAAACACCATAGGCCTTAACTGACAAGAAAAGTCAACATTGTCAATGATCGAAAAAAAGGGTCCACAATCCACAAATAAAATTGTAATGCATGTGGGCAATATGGCTCAAGATGAAAAAACATTTTTGAATTAGGTATAGCACAAACAAACAATGGGCATAACTTTTAACTCATAGAGTGCCTTAATATGAGAAAATTTGTGGTGCAAAAGGCAAGTGACTTGTCAGCAACTTATTAGTGATATCAAAACCCTCAAAAAATTAGCAAATTAAGTTACACAAATTCAGTCACAGCCATCCTCAGAGCTGGTAAGCCTTGTAAAACACTGCAATTTACATCATGATGATAAAAAAGACTTTTGATGCTGCAAGTGCATGTGTGTGAGGGAGATTTTTTAATTTATTTTCGATCCTAACTTATGTTTGTGTTCATGTTTTTTTTTTTCAGCCTTCCCTTTCAAATGATTTTGCTGAACCTCCAAAACCCTCTCACAAAAACTACAGGTAAATTTTTTTTATTTGATATGAGAAATCTGGTCTCCATTCTCAAATTATTTTACAGTTAAGCTTTGTTATCTTAAGTGAAGGGATGAGAACAAAGAAAAATACCAATTTGGGGATATATAATTAGTTGATCCAATACTAAATTCTCTGATCTAACATTACAAAAATTGTATGGTTGACAGTAAGGAGAATTACAAATTTGATATGGGAATTAAAGGGTTAACTAATAGTTCTAACTATTTGTTTGCCTCAAATTTTTAAGATGACAGCTGGTCTAAAACTTTTTTTCTTCATAGGAATTGAATTAAAGTTTTTTTTTTTGGATTTTAATTTTCTTTATTCAGCCTGCTTAATGTATATCCCTCTTTGAGACAATCTGTAATACTCCTGACTAGTTTCTGCACTTATAACATTTAAACCTTTTACTCACATGGTTGACCAAGGCAGAATTTCTCCTTACAATATCAATACAAGATCAAGCAAACAAGTGTTAAGAATCAAGAAAAATATCAATTAGGGGATTATTAGTTAATCCAATACTAATTTTCTGACCTAACATGATAGGAATTTTGCAGAAAGTAAGGAGAATTACTAATGAGATCTGTGGGAGTGAAAGGGTTAATAATCAAGTTGTTTCTGTGATTTCCTTCTAGAGACAAATGGGATAAGAACCATGTACGGATGCCTTGCTCAAGAGAAAACCTTTACCCAGGACAGGTGATCATTGTCTAATTTCTTCTCACAGCATTAGTTTATAGCCAAGCAGACAAGTAAAAGAGAGTTAGGGTAGTGATTAATTAAGATGCAAATATTGTCAAAGAAAACTATCAGAGCAAATAATTCTTCTTTATAACTGGGAAATCAGTAGTGATCAGTCAGTTTCTTTGAGCTTCAGTCTGCAAACTAGTATTTTCAACTTTAAACTCCCATAAAGGACCAAGACAGAATTTTTCTTAACAATATCAACACAATTTCAACACGATGTCAAGCAGACAAGTGATGAGAATAAAAAAAATACCAACAAGGAGATTAAAAATTGATCCAATACCACATTCTCTGATTTAACATCATAAGAACTGTATGGCAAACAGGAAGGAGAATTTCTAGTGAGATCTTGGGAGTGAAACAGTTGAAAAACCTCAATGTAATTAGTATTTGAGATATAGGTAGTTTGGGTAACCTGTGTTGGACTAACACTTTATTCTTGCAATTACTAATGGCTTGTTCTGAACAGCATTATTCTATGGTATCCAAAGGAAGAGAATGAAAAAAAGAAAATTATTATTTGTCCTTGGCTAAGCAGTAGCCATGATACTAGATAAATGGTAAGAATGAAGAAATTTGTTAACCTGAGTGGAAGAGGGATTCAACACCAAATTTGCAAAACCTTCACTTGGGCAGAAGGAATTGCTGAACATTCAGGTTGCCATTTGTAAGGAAAATAAGATGTTAGATCAAAGGGGTGAAAGGTTTAATGATTCTCAGTTTATAAAAGGAACCCAGATTTAAACATTACCTTCAACTTTTTTGTCTGTATTTTCAGAATTGTGAAAAGAAAATTATTCAAAATAGATGGGAACTGATAGAAGCAACTTTGTTAGGATCAATCACAAACTCAGTTGAGCTACAGGTAATCTCTTAGAATAAAGTAAATGTTCAAGAAAAGGAAATTTTGCATAAATTTAGTGATTTGTTCAGGGTCAGTAAAACAAGTTTATCCAGAAAAGCCAAAAAAGTGTCAGAAATTTTCCAGGTATATTGACCCAGCTCTGAGATACATATAGGAAATTTCTGACATTTCTTTGGGTCTCTGAACACCTTTGTAATGTAAAAATGATCCACCTTTAAATCTTTGTAGTCATTCTTTAAAAGAAACATAAAGTAGTCTGCACCCTTCCTCTGCATCTATTCAGTTTGGAAAACTGTGAAACTCTAGAATGAAAATTTTAAATCAGCATTCTTAATCCCCACAGTATCAACAAATGCTTACACAATACCTCTCTTCTCTCTGACAAGAGGCTCATGCTTGAAAAACATCAGCTTTTAATAAGAAACTTGTTATGGTGGCTAATTAAAATTATGGCCTTGGTTGATTAAACAAAATTATCTTGCGATACCTCACACACTGACCCAGCATTGCAGTTCCAGTAGAAACTTTTAAGAGGCAGTTCGATCTATAAGTAGTTGATATTTTTTCTTGTAATTACCTCTTCTTTTTTTTGCCTTAGGATGCAATTTTAAAGTACAATGCTCATTACTCCAAGAGGTGGAACTTTGAAGCTCTACACAGCTACTTTAATGAGGTACGTGTCAATAAAAACCAGACTAGACTGGGCCCTGGTTATCACCTTGCGCTACATGTAGCTTCAGTTGTCTGAAAGAGAGGAAAGAAGACAAATATTTCCACTCACTACATTTTTGATGGAAAACAGTATTAATCCTGTGGAGACTGTCATTTAGCTTCCATACATAGAGCTGCAAGCCCAAAATTTTTCGAAAGGTCACCTTAAATATTAAAATAGTACCAAGAAATCAAAATTCAGTCATCAGGAGGAAAAAAAAGAACTAGTTGGCTATCATTTTGCCACTTTCCATGAAGTCTCAGGGCTCAACTGAGAAGAAATCATTATTGCTGTAAAACTTTACACTTCAGAATTTTTTGATAGGTCACCTTAAATATCAAAATGGTACCAAGAAATCAAAACTCAGTCATCAGAAGGAAAAAAAAGAATTAGTTGGCTATCATTTTGCAAATTTTCGTGAAGTTTCAGGGCTCAACTGAGAAGAAATCATTATCTCAGTATAACTTTACACCATGAACATAAAGTAATCAAATTATCACAATTTGTTCAATGACAGACATGTGCAGGTAGCTAATTTGGTGTCTCAAATTCAAATTTAGTTGCCAAAATGCTTTCCTACATGCTGTGGCAACCAAAATTAGTTGAAGCCTAGAGTGCTGAGAGAAACAACGCACCAAGACCATGTTAATCACAGTCTGATGACAAAATAGGTCTTTTTTTCTGTGTTTTCTCTGTTTCACTCTTGTGAATGTTTGTTTCAGGTACTAGATATCAGCCAAAGACATGAATTTTTCAGCAAGACATTACCAGGAATGGTGTCTCTTACTCTTCAACTTCCCACTTTGTGCACTCAGGTATGAAATATTTTTTTGGTGGAAAATCTGATGAAATGTAGTCAAAGATAGATTTTTTTCACCAATTAACAATGTCACCCACAAAATATTTCAGTTTTCTGTGTCTCTGTTGGTTAGAAACAGACTCCACAACAGTTTTAGAACCCTATACTGTTTCAATCAAAACTTCCACTCTGAGAGTAACTGGGTCATTCAGATTTCTTTTAAGAGCTCTAGTTATTATCCAACATCGTTTTCCTTTTAACATTTTATTTGCAGGCCATTCCTCTTTTAAAACGGCAACAAAATCACAGCATAACAATGAGCCAAGAGCAGGTCAGAATAATTTTTCATGGAAGAATTTTGAAGATATTTATTACCGTGATTGATATTTTTTCGGTTAGAGTAAAAGTACGTTTGTTGTTTCTTCTAACAAATGACATGCAATTAACTGTAATGTTGCAGGCTGCCTGTCTGTTGGCCAATGCATTCTTTTGTACATTTCCAAGACGTAACTCTTACAAACACTCAGAATATTCATCATTTCCAGACGTAAATTTTAATAGGTAAGTTGTTCCTTTGTCATTTTGAAAAGAAAGAAAATGCCATTTGACTTTTGGTGCAGATTTAAGGAAACCATTTTTTTTTTGAGGTGCAGTAAGCTTTTCACTGAAATAGTTAGTGTATTTATTCCTTTGGAAAGAGGAAAGCTTGAAAAAAAATTCAACTGTGATATATGCTACTCTCAAGATGGTTGGTTAAAAGTAGAGTTTTCAAGAAATTTAAAGAGAAAGGAAGCGTCGTGCACCTTCTTCCCAACCCCTCCCCCCATAAAAATTTCCTTGCACTCAGCTCATCACAAGCGAGACGATCTAACCACCACTACCCAGCTGCAATTGAAACCCCTTGATAGAAAAAGATAAAAAACATTTGTGTGATACATCTCTTTGTCTGTCTTTAAAGATTATTTCAAGGCGGTAAAGGAGGAACAAATTCAGTTAAAACAGAAAAACTTCAGGCCATCTTTCATTATTTCAAGAGAGTTATAAGGGAGAGTAAGTAATTGTTACTACCACCTTTATAAACAGTTATCTTTTTTTTTCTTATTTATGTATTCAGTATTTAGGAAACACAACAGACTTAGGGTTGGCAATTTTACACTTGAGTCCTTGTTTTGCTCTCACGGCAACCCACGGGGGTTAAAATGCTAAACGGAAGACCTTGACGTCGATACATTGGCGTCCAGTCGCGTCAGAATTAGTTTTATTCTTCTTCCGGTTTGCCGTCCGTGTCTCTTAAACGTCTCTGCGTAAGTTCTGTAATGTCTAGGGCTTGAAATTACAAATTGTGATCAGTGATTTATTGGGGTCTTGGTTTTTTTTGGTTTGTTTTGTGCCATTATCTGTTTTTTTGTTGATGTTTTTGTGCCCAGCAAATACGTCGTTAGCCTAAATAGTAATGACAAGAAATGTATAAAGATTACCAGTTGCCCGAAATAACCATAAGGAGCTGTAAAAACAAGGCAGTCATTCTGCATATGGGTTCTTAAGCCATACCTTATAGATGAATTAGTATTTTTTGTTATCAGCTTAAATTTCCCTTCAAGTGTTAGTATTACTTTCTCTTCCACAGTGCCAAAGGGAACTGTTACTTTTCAAAGACAGGTTGTGGAATCTTCTGACATGCCTGACTGGGAAAGGTAAAGATTTTCAATGAGCCAAGCATTCTACTAACCAACCTGCAGTGCAAGTGTCTTTTTGAGAAGAGTCAGCGTTATGTGCTCGTGATCGTTTATCCTGCTGGCTATCTTTGATTTAGCGTTAAACTGGACGGTGGGGGAGGGGGCCGGAAAGACGAGAATATGGCTATATCCCCAACTCCTCTCCTTCCCTTTAACCGTCGCTCACCCTCCGCTGCTAAGCTTCAAAGATGTGAGCTGTAATTTTCACCGAGAAAATACTAAGAAATCACTCGTTAATATCTCCTTACCGGTGACCATAGATTTCTTTTTTGACTAGTTCTGAGAATTTGGTTTTGTTTCCAAGGAAGTAATATCGTTTATGATCTAACACTGGTAATCAACACTGTCTTTGTGCTAAAAAAAAATGGAAAAGGATTTTTCGAGCAAGACTTCGAACAATGGATAGTCATGGCAGTTACAAAATTTCTTGTGGAAAAGAAATGTTAGAGCAACTCACACTAGTTTGTAAAGATTACTCGTAAGCTGAATTAAGTACGCAGTAAAACTTATCAGTGTGTCTGAAAGGTAGCAATTTGATGCCTTTATGAACAACTAGCAGAAAGTTTACAACTTTGCAAGATTGTTGCTCATTTTTGCACTGGATGGCAAAAATACCTTCTGTCTGCACAGTGCTTCCGAATACTGTTGCTTGTGGTTTCAGAAACACGTAAACCTTCCTAAAATATCGTGCAGACGTTGCGTTGTACATGTTCCAAATTAACTGTGGTGGATCTGAAATTTGTTTACGCCAAGATTTTCAAGGCGCCTTCAGTTTTTTATTTTATTTTTGGTCACTAGACAAAATTAACGTGAGTTCAAATCGTCAGATTTTTTACCATTGTAAAACTGTATGCGTCCTGTTATTATTGACTAACTTCCATAAATATTGGTTTCAGATGTACTACGCTGTTTGGGAAACTTCATGTCTCCACTGGTGGTACAATTGAAGACAACGGAACAGGATTTCTTCAGGTTAGTGCGAGTAAACCGCACCTAACTACAAACCACTGATGACGTCCACTCAGTTTTTATGTCCCGAACTGTGTTTATATGCACTTTCATTAAAATTATCTACACCGGACACAACTTTAGAAACGGAATGGTCACCAAGGTTCGTCCTAAGTAGCGAACCGTTACTTAACTACTTCAACTGACGAACTGTGTAGCAACATTTGCCTTAAAAACCAAGTTTGTTTTGTTTCTTTATCCACGTATCTTGAGAATGTCGTTACTTTGACGCTCTTTGAGAGATTAGAAAAAAAACAAAGGTTTTACCCTTGATCGTAAAATACGTGCAGGTGTCTTTAAACATCGCCATTCCCGCTTCTCATACGGCCACGCCTCTACAACGACCATTCCCGTCTTGTTCAAGATAACTGTTGAGGAAAGATGCAACTGTTGACGTTCCTGCTCTCTATTACCGTCTTTGACGATCAACAACTAACTAGGTGTACCTCTTTTCATTTTGTTTCAGGTTGATTTTGCAAACAAGTACATTGGTGGAGGTGTTATAGGAGAGGTGAGTTTTTACTTGTTGACTTGAATACTAAGCAACATACATGTATCCTTCAAAATTAGTCACTGTCGACCATTTTTTTATTTCTAATTCAAAGTGATCCGGTTTCATTACAGGGTTGTGTCCAAGAAGAAATACGGTTTCTTATATGTCCTGAACTGATCCTTTCAAGGCTGTTCTGTGAGCGGCTTGATAACAATGAGTGTTTAATGATAACAGGTGAATTAAAAATTCTGCGCGATAATATAGCGGACCTCTTATATACCTACCCGTCTCATGAACTTGGTTCTGCTGTTCCAATAAACATTGTACTTTGGGTTGTGAATCTGATTACTTACGCATCCTGTGGTTTGTTGTGGGGTAAAAGTGCGACAATTTGAATTTATTGTCGTTAAGTCAGAACAAAAGAAATCCCAAAGACCAGTGGGGGAGTAAGAAAGTACAACGAGGAGCCAGTGCCAACTCTAATTTAAAACAAGCGTACTGCCATAAACGCGGGAAAACATGAGTGACCAATTTTATTTTGGTTTTCAGTTTGCGTTCAATCGGAAAGGAGGGTGGGGCAAGTTATCACTGTACAAAGTAAGGCAAAACCAACAAAACCCCGGAGTATAGAGCAATTTTCAATCAGGTGTCAATCAGTTGTTGTGGTTTTGCTTTAATTCGCTCTGTGATTGATCTACAAAACTCGTGCCACTTTCAACCAATCAGATGCAAAACGTAAACCAATCACACACTTGGTCACGCGCGTTTTCCCGCGCTTTCGGCAGGTTGATTGTTTAAACTTTAAGCTGTCATTGGCTCTTAATGGTATTTTCCATTTCTCTGATTGGCCGTTGTGGTTACTTTGGTTTTCATTTTACGACCCTTAATCGAAAAGCACTTTATGTGACACTCAATTCAAACTTGGTCTGGCGCCTTGCGCCTTGTGAGCAGTGATTTAGAGAATCAAAAAATCTTCTGTTGTAGTATACGTGTATCCTTAACCTGACGCCATTCTGACTTCATTCAACAAATGAGCCCTTTTTATTTCAGGCGCGGAGCGTTACAGTGATTACACAGGATATGCGCACACGTTTAGATGGGCTGGTAACCATAGCGATAGAACAACAAGGTACCTGAGTGCCGTTGAAGATCTCAAGACACAAGAATCTGAAATTTTTCATATTTCTTCCATAGCTCGCTACTGTTGCTCGAGAATCTCGGGCAAACGGTAGCTAGAGGTGCTCAAAATTGTGATGTGGGCCAAGAAAGGCTATGTGTCATCGTTGTCGCTTGAAAATAAATTGCAACGTAAAAGCTGATGTATCCCCCCTGGAAAAAAAAGAAAAGCGCAACACAAAATACTGCCACTTGAACGCAACATCCAGTCGTCATCAACACCTTGTAATAATCAGTAACAATAAAGAGACTAGATCTAGATCTTCCGGCAAATAAGGGGGCCAGGCGTTTTGCGAGTCTAATATTTCACCCCTCACAACTTTGGAACAAAAAAAGACAGATCAACTAGCACTCACACCCATGTTTCGCATTCTAGAGTTCAAACTGTACTTGAATTTGTTTTCCTTTGACTTTTAAGTTATTTTATTTTGACCTATTTTTCTCTATCTCCTTTTTTTCCAGGGATTCTTGGGGAAGACGGCACTCTAAGATCGTGGCCATAGATGCACAAGTATTTCGCTGTTATACAGATCAGTTTCAAGTTGGCCTGCTCAAAAGAGAACTTGACAAGGTACAATTTCCCAGACAGGACTCGAACTAGGACCACTCGACCACCTTCCCTGCAAGTTTGCCTCCATCGAGAGAAAATTGTCTTTCCAGAGTCTTCAGGTCATTATTAACCTATAAATGAATGCTTTTCTCTTGCAGGCATACTGTGGGTTTTACTCCCCCGTAGAACCGAAATATCTTCCAGCAATTGCCACAGGTGAGACCAATACAACTAGACCAGCCGTGTTTGTTGGTTCAGAAATATCTCGAGGCTTTCGACCCGTAGATTTACTCCATAAAAGTTGTAACGGACCATTTGAGACTCTTTTCGCATGAATGTCGCAAAATGTCAACTTAAGTACCCACGACTACAAATTAGAACAGAGGAAAAAACCATTGGGAGCCAATGAGAACTCGAAGTGAAAAAGCGCGGGAAACCGCCATTGCCCAAGTCACTGATTGGTTGAGAGGATGGCGCGAGTTTTCTTGACCAATGGCACAGAGCATGTTAAATACAAACCATTAGTATCACGTTCTACTTTCAATACTCAAAAGGAAATCATTTTCATAGCGCAGTCAGCTCAGTGGCTGAAAAACTTACGTTCTTTCTCTTTTGGTAGGAAACTGGGGCTGTGGCGCATTTGGAGGCGATCCAAGAGTGAAGGGTTTGTTCAGTTACTTATTTTTTTAGATTTATTAACTCTTTCAATCTTAGATATGACCAATCAGTAATTTCTCCTCACAACTTCACTGTTATTGAGAATAACATTATCAAGGTGCTACAGCATTTCCTTTTGTTATGTTTGTCAGGTTTAATTCAAATGATGGCGTGTGCTGCTGGGTCCAGGGACATTGTGTATTTCACGTTTGGAGATGCTGTAAGTTGTAACTCGAAGAATGGCAACGATATGACAAATTCATTGTGAAAATCACTGAAAATGATAGCAGACCATATAATTTCACTTGTCAGTCGTGTGTTTAGTGATCTGCTTGGACTCACTGAGAAAAAATAACTTGTGAACTAATCTCGATTCACGTTTTAGGGTTAGTCTCTGTTTGACTCGATTTTTGACCAACGTTTGGGTGTCACGACAAAGATTTAAGGAAATGTCAGTATTGCTTATCAGCAGTAAGGAGATTTTAAAAGAGTTATTGAGTACCATGGATTTAGTCTTAAAGTTACCTACGAAAGTGGGAGACAAAGCTGGAGAGGGAAATGTTGAGTAGTATAGACAATTTGTGCCTGCACTTCTCGTATTTGATGCTCAGAAAGATAGTTTGACGCTTCTCCATTTCTTTCAGGAATTAGCGGAAGATCTTCTCAACATCCATTCATTTATCACAGAACGAAAACTAACAGTTGGTAAGTAGGAATCAGTTTCAAGTTTGGGTTGCTTTGTATAATATAAAAAATTCCTTTCGCCTGGTAAGAAATTGAAGTTTGTATTGCAAGAAGTGTCAGTCTTAAACTGTTGTCGCTAAACCTAGTCGTAAACGTCGTAGAAAGCGAGTCCCAGAGTAATGTCCAATAGCGCGATGGAACCTTCATTTAGGGGACAAATACGGATCTAGAGAAAGTGTTACCTAAATAGAGCACTCTTCACCTGCTCCTTACAGGGAAAATAGCCTAGTGATATAAGTACTGTGTCGTTGCGTCACTGAAATACCGCACGTAATGAATGCATTTCCTTTTTAAATTTTTTCTTCATCATTTTCGGTTTTTAAATGTATTAATTTGTTCCCAGGTGGTGTTTGGAAGCTGATGCAGCGATACGGAAAAGAAATTCGAGCGGCCAGCTCCGTGACAATAAAACTGTATCCATTTATCCGCCAGCTGCAGAATAATTACGAAGATGATACTGATGATGAACAACCTGCGAATAATGGAGAAAATGCTGCCACCTTGAGTTACAATCTTGAAGATAATTCTGAATCTTGTAAATCCAAGAGCCAAGATATCGTGTGATGACAAGTCCACCGGACGGTTGCGTGACTCTTATACAATTATGTGGTAAAGAACTGAAAAAGGGCAGCAACTGTTTTGTAAACTCAAGTATTGCGTGACGACACGGCCTCAGCCGATTGTTGCGTGACACTAAGCCGATTAAGTGTCGCGAAAGTCGCGAAACTGACAAACATGCGGCGAACCCATCGTTCATTACGAAGGCAACGCCAAAGGCATAAGAAGTGTTATGTTACATTATGGTCTCCTAATAGTGCGTGACTCTTAGACAAAACGGTCATCGCCGATGGTAGATTGTCCGTTGATACAAAGTGGAAGCGAAGTCCAAAAGCAGAGAGTTGTAACAGTTGCGTAATCAAGTGCCACGAAAATGGAATGGCTACTAAACGTACCGTGTTTATTCGATCAAGCGCCCAACCTCGAATAAGCGCCTACCCGCAAGCTCCAAAAGTTTAATAAGCACACAGGGCACTTGATCGAATAAATGCGAGAGGGAGTTTTAGCGCATCGTTTACAATTACTCGTCTGAATGTTATTTATCGGATTTTGTCAGCAAAATCTAGTTGTTAAATAAAGGTATATAATTTCTTATCTGTTTATTGTAAAAATTAAAAGAAAAAGGACTTTATATCAAGCATTTGAAAAGTTGTGCAGTGTTGAAGCACTTCTTTGATAAACAGTTTAATCGCACGGTCAACGATCAAATGGCAGATATTTTCATGTTTGCTTCCAATGAATGTCGGGCAGATATAATGAGAATTACTATATCGACGTTAGAAATTAAATATTTTAAACAAAACGCGACGCGTTTCGTAATTAATACGCGACCTGTGCCTATGTCGTTACGTGCCATCGTTTCTAATCGCGTGACAAGTGTTACGTGACAAGTTGATAACTGAGCCGCAATCGAGGCTTGGCAAGACAAAAATCAAAGTACGGGTCAAATAAGTCTTTGGCAAGTCCTAATTTTTAGAATTTTTATTCATCTTTGTCGCCTCTTGAGGATACCAAAAGATTAGCATCTGAAAGACTTAAACACAGGTTTGTTTCTCTTCTGCTCAGATAAGCGAGATTGATACTCAGAACCTTCTGTCACTCACAATGTATCTGGAAAACTTTTTTTAACTTCACTGCGCAATAAGTTCATTTTTCTTATTTCAAGACTCGATGAAGCGTGTTAAAGCGATATCGATCTGTTAAAAGGGTGTTGAAGGATTTTTCTCGATCATTCTAGCAAAACAGGTTTGTTGGGAAATCGAGAATGAATGAAGGTCAACTTTTACAGGATATCAAACAGCTTTGTTTTTTTTCTGAGCTTATGAAACCCTCGTGTTCTGTCTCGCAAAATATCCAACACTTATTACTTTCCTTTTCCTGTTACCGGGAGAGGAAGTTTAATTTTTAGAATGAAGAACCCTTTTCCTTTTCCTTTTCCTTCGGCCAGTGACGTAACAGTCAAAACTAGATTGACCTGTTATTTGTAAACAAGTCTCGTGACAACACGCGGCGAAAATTTTATCGAAGAGATCTCAACTCGCCGGCGAAACAAAAAATTCCGCTTTCCTGTTGATTCGAAAGTGAGGTTTGAATCTTGCCAGGAAGAGCTTTTCCAGAGGACTTTATTAACATGAGCGTTGCAAAGAGAGCAAAGCTTGATGTACCGACGAACAAAACTCAAGAGAAGCTCACAAATGGCTACCATTGTACGAATGGAACTGAAGGCGAAAAGAAATGTCACGGACTCTCTAAGGAAGAGATTATGGGACTGCGAACTGCCTACATCGGGTAAGTTTCGAGGGTTAATAAGTTCCTTATTAAAACAGTAGGTTCATTCACTAAAGGTGCATTTAGTGTTTGGTTAATGTTACATTCATACTCGGAACGACTGAAAATGATTTTTTCTTCAGTAACCGTAAGACTTTAATTGGCACACCAAAGTTGAGAACAATCATTAAAATGATAGTATTTCCTTAAAAAGACAACGTGGATTTTTTTCTAATGTGGTAGCAAAGGTTGCAGGAGCAATGCAATTCGTACCGTCGATCGACTAAGGCGGTTACGACGTTTTCTGACGGCATTTGTAAGCTTACATTTCTCGACGTTCTCGATCGTAGCCGTTATAATCGAAATATTTCCAGTTTAGGAACTGACTTTGCACAACAGAAGAAACAGCGATTGTTGGCGATTTGCTCTGCAACTGGTCTTAAGCATGGTTGTGGGAACCCATTACACAAGTGATTACCGCGTGCGGGTCGACCTCTGCCAGTGAAAAGAAATGCGATAGGGCGATTGACGGTATTTATAGAGCTGAGTAACCAAAGTCGAAAGTTAATTTACATACTTTGCCACGTACCTTGCCACTTGACTGGGCAAAAAGTGTCTCGTGAGGTCAATTCACATCCGGTTCCACGTGAATAATTTTTTCCATATCCAAGTTCTTTTCGCATCCACTGACCAATGGCAATTTTCAATTTTGAAGTGATTAGCTGTAAATCAGGAGGCTTGTTATGGACAGGTCTTATTCAAACTGCGGTTTTACGCAAGAAATGAGCCTTACGCATTCTCTATGAGAGAGTTGCTTTCATGAAATAACTGTCCTTCCAGTGCTAGCTTTTGGCCCTCCTGACACTGTATATTGTTCAGATTAAAGATTGAGCTAAGTCATGATAGTTTAGGAAGTGGTTTTGTTAAACAATGGCTCAACTTTGTTTAAATAGCCGGCCAAGATGTTTTATGATAAAATTGTTGACACAAGGAGCCAGGGAACATAAAGGTCCTTATTTTCTCACCCCTCCCCTAAAATAACCAAACAGCAATGAAAGAACTCTCAAACCATTTGGAGGCAGGGAAGGTCATTGTGGTCAACTGAGCTCAGGTGGTTGACATTGCCATAGGCTTCCAAACAGATTATTGGATTAATCAAAACTATAGCAAAATTCTTGGACACAATTGTTTATCACTGTGGAGATATGAGCATGAATAGGATAGTATATGCATCATGCTTGTAATTGAATGGTGTAATAGGACAGTTAAAGGGACAGTGAACATGTCATGCCTGTGTTGGTGGACAGATTGCATCATGTACATGTGTTGTTGTCTCACATTTTGCTGAGTTAACTGTTGTTGTTGTTTTTTTTCTATGAAAACGTATAACCGACGTCTAGTTTCTATCTCAAATTTTGTCATAGTTTTGATTTATTGGTGACGGGACTTGGGTGTCATCCAATTCTGTTTGTAATCATATGAGTGATTAACAAATTGGACTCCCACCTCACGATTATCTGATTTGTGAATCACTCGTATGATTACAGACTGAATTGGACAACACAAAGTCCTATTACCATTATTTATCCTTTAGTCCCAAAATCAGGATCATAATTATGAGTTGTAGTTTTGCCCTCTTGCTAATAATGTTAAGTTGTATTAGTGAGACAGGATTTGGTTGACTTTTTTTAATTTTAAACCCTTTTACCACTAAGAGTGACTAGCATCTAAATCCCCCTCACATTACCACCCTGTGTCAAACATTAGGTTAGGAGATAAGAGAAAACAATCACCATACAAATTAAAGGAGCTCCTGACTGTTAAATAAATTCTCCTCATCAGCACCTCAAGAAATCTACAGAGAACAGTTTGGAGAAATTGCATACTGATGCTCATTTGTAAAGAGTCAACCCTCTTCTCTAACTGTTTAAGTTTAAGAAAAGAGAAAACTAACCCCTTTTTCACTTTTTTAGGAAGGTTGTAGGGTTTAAGAGTTTTGGCTCTGAGGCTTGATCATGTTGGAGAGTAAATGGTCCAGCAATAATTTTTTTTTAAACTAAGTTCAACTAATATGGTGGTTAGGGCTTTTTTATCGTAATATCTTCCTCTTAAGCCGTCCAATTACCTCAAGTATCCAGTGTAAAATCCAAGGCTAAAGACATATTGTTGCTAAAGAGACTAATTAAATACACCAAATCTTTCTGTAAACCACACTAAATAATACTTTTCATTTTCCATGTATTTGTAATAAAGAAAACATTAGAATTTTTTCTTGTTTCATACAGGAAAGCCTGTGAGGTCCATTTCAAAGAGAATCCAATTAAAATTTCATATGCAAGAGGACAGTACATGTATGATGAGGAGGATAACCAATATCTAGATTGCGTCAATAATGTCACCCATGGTATGTCCATCTTATGTTGCTTTTGAGTTTGTGAAATGTTTGTTTTGGTGAGGGATTAGAAATTACCTTCAATGAAATATCAGTTCTAAAAAAGTGGAACAAGACAATTCTGTTTGGCAAGTTTTAACAAAAATTTAGTACCTTAGCAGCCATTTTGGGTTTTTGTTATGATGAAAAATTTAGTCAAGGCTGCAGGTCTTTTACAGGAAAATGTTTTTGTGTTTACTCAACCACAGTTTGCTTAAAATTGAACAGTAAGCCTGAATAAATTTTTACATGTAACTATTGATGCAAAAGGTAAAATAGACGGACTACTGTAGCTGGAGAGAGAAATGTCATTGGCTATTTTTATCCTAAAAATATGAAGAGGTATGATAGAAAACTAAATTACTTATGAGTTTTGTTGGCCATTTTACAGCCACTAATTTGGACTTTCGTTTAATTAATTTTCATGATGAATGTAACAATTGACAGCAGAATTATCATGGTGGTGTTAGTCAAATTTTTTTATGCTTTTGAATAACTCCTCCTTCTCTCTACAGTTGGTCACTGCCACCCCCATGTTGTTAAAGTTTGTCATGAACAGATGGCCACTCTTAATACCAACAACCGTTTTTTGTATGACATCATTGTTAAGTATGCACAAAGGCTGACTGCTACATTCCCACCTGAATTGAGCCAATGTCATTTTGTATGCACTGGGTAAGTTCACAACTGGCATGGAACCATGATCTGCCAGCACTGACCTCAACCCTATAAAAGTGGATTTGGGTTTGTCAACTGGGTTGATAAAATAAATTGGCAATCAAGGAGAGTTTTAGCCTTTGAGGTAACACTTGAAACCTCAGTTTCAGTAACTCTCCAAGGTGACTAATTAGGTTTTCAACTCAGTGGGCAAAACAAAGTACACAGTCACAGGTTTGAGTCAGTGCCAGTGGACTTGCATGGTGAGGGAAAGATAGTAGTTACCTATTATGTCACCAGTAAACTGTTCATAACATCCCCATTCCAGTTTTTGTTACCTTCAAAAATGAAAAAATGTCTCTTTCAAGCCTCTCACAAAAGGTAATTGTTATAATTCTCATTCCTGAACTTTTCTTTACATGATGTGTTGATAAATATAGAAGAGATACAAAGAATAATACATGGATACACATAGATATGGAATTTCTCTTCAAGTGTTTAACTTGATAGCTCAGGAGTGAGCGCAGTGAACAAGTGATATGTCAAGTTGAAGATGAGAAGACAACATTTCATATCAGTTTACAAGCAATCATGTATTATTTTGTTTATCATATAAACACAATAGCCCTTTACTGACAAGAAAAGTCAACTTTATTAATGAATGAAAATAAAAGGATCAACCTGACTAAGTGGTGCAAAAGGCAAGTGACATGTCAGCAGCTGATTGGCAATATTAAACACACATGAAAAAATATTGTATTTTTACATATTATTATACAATGACCTATTGCTTTTCCCTTTGGTGATATGTAATTCATCTTTCTCAGTATCTGTGTAGAAATTAACTATATTTGTCAAATCGTTTACAGGTCAGAAGCAAATGATCTTGCTCTGCGAATAGCGAGACAACACACCGGTGCAGATGATATTGTCATTGTAGACAGGTATTCAGAACTTTCTTTGTTCAATTTTGTTTGCTTGTTGTTGTTGTTTTTTTAATGCCACCTTATTCATGGTATTGGTAAGAGAACAAAAGGTACATGTCAAAGGGTTGAAATTTCAAAAAGCAAGTACTTTTTTTTTCAACCAGAGCCTATCATGGTCATACCACAGCATTGATTGACATCAGTCCATACAAGTTCAGAAAACTGGGTGAAAAGGGGAAGAAAGATTACGTTCATGTTTCTCCTACTCCTGATCCATATCGTGGGATATTCCAAGGAGAAGCCACACCTGAACTGGGGGAGAAGTATGCCTTAGAAGTCAAGAAACTCATAGATCAAGCACACAGAGATGGAAGAAAGGTACCTACAGTTTGGAATCTGAAAGAAGTCTTTGTTAATGTGCCATTTGCTTGTTGGTGTAGATTTTTATTTTAGTACTATTGTCTTCATTGTTTTAATTATTATTATTTGGAATTGTACTTTTTTTGGTTATTTTTCTCCTGAAATGAATGCAGTTCTTACAAAGTTTATGTTGACATCTGTAGTGATCTTATAAAGGAAGTGTCCTAGTTTTCGCTTCAAAAGTGGATGAATGTTCACCTCTGGAGTCATTTTGCCAATAATTGATGAGTGCAGGAGAGAAGTGATGTACATTTAAATGTGTCTATTCGACTTGTAGATTGCAGCATTTATCAGTGAATCAATGCAAGGTTGTGGAGGTCAGGTGGTCTATCCTCCAAATTACTTGAAACAAGTCTACAAGTAAGCAAATTATTTCCTTAGTATGAAATAACCTCTGTAAAAAGTTAAGTTTGAACTCCCAATGTCCTGTCTAGTAGTCACTCCAGGTACTGGCTGCTATACCTGTACATCTCATCATTAGGATGGCTGGAAAAGTTAGAGGCATATCAAGAAAGCATATTTTTGTTTTTTAATTATCCTTTATTTACTTGGGAATAAATCACACTCTGGAAAGTTAACCCTTCCACCCCCAGGATCCCAACGGTAATTTTCTCTACTGTCTGTCACACAAATCTTTAAGTAAGGAGAATTTTGTATTGGATCAAGTGAATCACAGTTTTGTTGGCAGATCCAGGGGATCCAGACTCCATATTAGACCTGTGGGATTTTTGCTATTTGTCTAACACCAGGTGTCCTCCTCTGGTGTTTTTTTTTTTTTCTGTAGGATCATTTGGTGTGTCTTGACATTTAAAATTTGATTGTTTGATCTGCACTATGATAAATTTTTACTTCTTTTTGCCAATCATTGTTAAGGTATGTACGTGAGGCTGGAGGAGTGTGTATTGCTGATGAAGTGCAGGTTGGATTTGGACGATGTGGTAAACACTTCTGGGCATTTGAGTCTCAAGGTGGGTGAGATCCTGCTGGTGTAAGGGTTTAAAATTGCAACAAGTGTGCTAAATGTTGGTAGTCAAACTTGACCAAAAAACGTTAAACATGCTGTAATTCCTGTCAAAGTTACTGACACAACTGACTTGTGCAACTGCTAGATCATATCTTTGATTTTGTAGCCTGAAAAAGCTAGGATAATAGGACTGTTGTTACTCTTTTGGGACCAAATAAAATTTAAATCACTCCCTTAAAATTTGTCAGCTCTCCTTGACAGTCATCCATTTGTACTGTGAACAGAGATAGGCATCATCAGAGTTAAGTGTCTTCTCCAAGAATGACAGATACCAACATATCAGCCTATAATTCATCATCACAAGCAAATCCAAACATTCAAAATGTTTATTTTGCTTTGAAGCTGAGTGTTAAAGCTACAAGCACTGTACCAACCCAGGCACCCCCTCCCCACCACACCCCATCCCTGTTCTAGAGTGTTAACACCACTGGTGTCTTTGCTGACACCATGTATTGATGGCAGCGATGGTAGTCCTGCCAGAGTATGCCAGATCATAACTGTGCATTTCCCTAGGTGTTGTGCCGGACATCGTTACCTTAGGTAAGCCGATTGGTAACGGCCATCCATTGGCACTTGTTGTTACGAGACCTGAACTTGCAGAATCATTTGCTGCCACTGGCATGTCCTATTTCAATACAGTAGGTTTATTTTCAGTTGGTTTGTGATATGAATAATAATTAATTATAAAGCTTGGCTGAAAACTCTTAGATTTAAATATTGGAGGATGGGTGCCAAAGAAACCTCCCAAGCAGTGAGAGGGTTACCATGGCAACTGAGCTACAGCACCGAAAAACTGTTGTGTGAAACAAAAAGTGAGAGAGGGAGGGAGGTAGAAAAAGGGAGAAAAGTACAGAAGACAATGTAGTATAAACTCCTCTCTGTAGTCTTCCATATTACACTGGTGAAATTATTGCATGGACTTGATTTTAACCTTTCCTAAATTACATTTGGACTCATTTAAAACACTCAGTCAATAGTGCCAGAGAGTAGCAGCAAAGGGGTCACCATAGCAACTAAGCTACTGTCCACCTCTCAAAGTATCATCTAAGCTAGCAGATGCTAGAATGAAAGTGGGCCTATGGATGAGAGGCTGATGATCTCTTTATTAGGTCACTTAGGATGTTATCCATTAATTCAAGTTCTTTTGTGGCCTAACCTTACCTGATTTGAGTACCAAATGGGAATTTCCATATTTCATTTCAGACATAAATCAAAACTACCCACCCTATTTTTGAGTAGACCATTAAGCTTATATCCACATGTCACCCTTTCAGGAAAACCCATATCCCAAGTGTTTTAAGCAAAGAGATATGTCTGTTAAAAACATATCCCATTCCTAAACCAGGATCTGGATAGTATACTAAACTTCAATCTGTTTAGAATCCAAAAGGTGAAAATCAATGTCCTTCCTCTTTCACAACAACATAAGTCAAACACCTTATCCTTTGGGGCAGCAGCACAAAACTATGTGGCTTACATAACTGACAGTTTCCTTCCCCTCTTCTTCTTCTGGGAATACAGTCCTTTTGATCTCAGGTTAAAGCATCATGACCTTGTTCCCAGGATCTGTCTTCTTTTTGTCCCTCTGAGTGTCCCTTTGAGGAAGAGAAAATGAGAGAGAGAGAAGAGAGAGCCTAGCATGATATTGCATTCAAACCCAAAGCAATAACCTGACAGTGGTCCCTTGAGCACCAATATAAACACAATATACCACTGAATGCTGTGGTTGAATAATAAATGTGACACAATTGAATAGGATGTTGCCTGATGAAATCCTCCTTTCATAAGTTTCACCATCTCCCCTATTGCTAAAATGAGATGATTATGTAACAACGTCTGACTGTAGATTTTATGTTTATTGCTACATTCCTTTATTTAATGTTATACATTAGATTGCAGTATTTTATAGCACCCACCGAGTATTTTTTCTGCTTCATATTCAAAGATTTTCCGTGAGAAGTTACATTGCTTAAAAATGAGTAGCAAATCATAAGCATTGCCCATGAGTTCGCATATTTTGTTAAGAATCAAAAGTTGTGTTGCAGTATGGAGGTAACCCAGTATCATGTGCAGTTGGCAATGCAGTCTTGGATATCATTGAAAATGAGAACCTTCAACAGCATGCCCTTGAGACTGGTGATTACTTGAAGAACAAGTTGCTACAACTTCAAACCAAGCACAGGCTTATTGGAGAAGTGAGGTAAGTGCTGATTTCTTGATCATCAGTCTGTTGTCTCGTCCTATCCCACTTCCCCTCAGGTGAGCCTCTGTGCCTAAGGAGGGTGGAAAGGGAAGAGACTTTTAAAGTGGGTGTTCGTTATTGTGCAAAATGACACTTTAAGGTTCTCCTGCCCTGATTTGATAGTGATACAATTACAGCTTGTCCTTATGTCATAAACAGGTCTTCCCCCCTCTCCTGCAGGGTTGTTTAGCTTGGTACCACTTCTTTAGTTTCATAAACTGTTATTCTTAATAGAGCGCATTCTTTTGCTTCTTTAAATGCTACCTTGTTGCTTTTTATTGTTTGATTGTCTAAGTGTTTTTAAGTCGTGGTAAGCTGATTATGTCCTAGCGTCAAGGAGTATAAATGGGAACCGGTGAACTGTGAGGACACCAAAGGAAATGTGATGGGGGGCGGGGAGGGGGTTGTTGGCTTAGGGGTTGGAGGGGGTAGTTAACCTGTGATGGATTAGGATCTCATCCAAATGAGTAGCAAGATACACAGACCTTGCCAAGGGAGGAGGGGATGGGTCATTTTCATGTCAAGCAGTAACGTCTCAAGAAAGGAAGTTCTCATTTGAATGTGAACAGATTTCCTCAGCTACGTTAGTCCTAGATTGTGGTCTGTGTGCAAATTAGACCTTTTCATCTTAACTTGCTGTTGTTGTTTTGTTTTTTGTTTTTTTTTTAAGGGGAATGGGGCTTTTCATTGGAGTGGAGCTAGTGACTGATAGAACAACAAAACAACCAGCCGCAGAAGAGGCAAGAAGAGTGATATACATGTGAGTATGAAAACTTCCTGTTCATTGCGGTGACTAGACCATCTATTTCTCAAACTGCACAGATAGACCATTCCTGCAATAACTATGCAGTTATACAGCGCATTATCCAACGCTTTACAGTGAATCTTAGCCTGAATGCATTGAGAAGTTTTACGATGTTTGGAAGAAAATTTTGCATTTTAAGAATGTTAGGGTGAAAACAAGGTCAGACCACAACGCCGGGAGCTGCGTTCTCTACTTTTTGCTAGACATTTGTGGGTTCTTCGACGTCCCTCGCTAACCAGTACTGGGAAGATGCGGTAGACGAGGCCTTCGGTTTTTCTTCCTTATTCGAGAAGACTAGAACGTCTAACCTTTTGTAGATGTCGTAGCAAAGGTAACACATTCTCCTCAGTTATATTCTCCCGGGTTCAAATAATTTACCGTATTTCTCCACTTATCTGATTATAATCATTTTTAACAGGGCAAAAGACAAGTTTGTGCTGCTATCAGCTGATGGACCTGACCACAACGTGATCAAGATCAAACCTCCAATGTGCTTCACAAACACAGATGCTGATCGAGTGTGTTCAGTTTTAGATGAGGCACTGAGCGAAATTGAGGAAAGCCAGGGAAGAAGACTGTGAAGGAGTGGTAGAAAAAGGGCCAAAGCAAGCGATCATTTTCTGTTCTAAAATTTTACACATTTTTTTGTCATGGTCTCAAGTCCGAGGGAACTTCTACAGTAGATAGACGCATTTTTTATTTCTGAATATGTCGAATTCTAAGACTTCAACATGTCCTTTACAGGATCAGTATGAGGAAGTCGCTGTACGCCAGAGTTTTGTAATATTTTTGTCGATGTGCACACCGGTTGAGAGACTAGAATTGACACAACAACTGCTAAAAATCGAATCTTATTTATATTTAATATACACGCGCGTTTTCTTTTTTATTCCATTAAATTTAGCTGTAGGCCATGATAGTTGAAAGTGAAATTTCAAAGAAAGAACGCCAGGTTTTATTTTATGTTTCTTAAAACTCATTAACCCTTTACACCCTAAGATCAGTATACATATAGTTCATACTGGTCTCTATACAATTCCAGCAGTGCTGACGAAGGGAATTTGCGTAATAATCAAGAGAATTTTCATTTGGCGATCATTTCCTTGACTATCTTGGCCTCAATATGTGATTCGGGGATGACATTTTAACGAGAAACCAGACAATAACTCTTAAGGGTCAAGGGGTAAATTAGGCAATAAATTGCCTGGCAAAAAGGTCACTTCTCGCTCGAGATACTGGAATCTTTTTAAATAATGCAAACACTGTCAATATGTCAATATTTATTGGGAAGTTTGTAATTTTTTATACATAAAACTGAATTTAATGCTTTCGCTCAATTTCAGTGGAATGCTTATGTGTATTTTATGTTTTTGGTTGTCCCTTATTTGAGAGTCTAGATAAATACGACATTTCTAATATAAATGATTTTAATTGCTATGTGGTAAACAGTGATTAACAGTGTAACATATGAGCAAATATGAAAAAAAAAGGAGCAGTGAAACGGTACAATAAAATTGACTTGTTATTTTCTCAATGAAAATAAATGAACATTTAAATACGTTGAGATATCTATAAAAGCCAAGTTTTTTCGTTTGTCTCACGATGTAGTCACGTGTGATTTAGATAGCGACGATTCGACGGCATACTGCTAGTCTTTTTGAGGCGATGAGGTCGACTGGTCATGCGTGATCTTATAAGCATGATGCTCTGTTGAGATTAGTTGTTTTTCAACAGCTCTGATTGGTGCATTTCGATCCTTGCTTGTTTTACTCAGTGATTTGCTCCCTCGGCGGTCCGCTGTCGCACGGCTCTCTTGTTGTTGTGTTTTTTGATCGTGTGTATCCACGCTTCTGGAATTTCTCTTCCACTATCCCTGTTGATGTTGATGTTGGGTGAAGTCTTAAATGAATTGCCTCTGTCGTCTGTGCCGGGGGTGGGGAATTTGAACCTTGCATGGCTGGGGTGGGAAGTTTGAACCGTCTTCTCAGCGGAGTACACGTGTCTTATCTTTTGGTATGAAGGTGTTTCAAGGTTATGAGCACACTTTCGTGGGCGATTGACTTAAAAGAAAAAGTCCACAAGGTATAGTTTTTAAAGCTTGGTCAATTATCAGAAAGTCCCGTTCGCTGATTTTACCTTTTACAAAAGATTGCCTATCAATTCCAGCACTTGGGTGGGGCATTTAAACACAATTTTACCCCGGTGAGGAAGGGGGGGGGGAGAAACTTCAAAAGTTCAAATTCGGGGGGGAGTACCCGAGGGGATGATTTTAAAGTTGAATGATCTACGTATAATTTTCCGAAGACCAGAGAGCCTAACGCGCGTGAGGAAATCTCTCTGCTCCTTGGCGGGTTTCAATTCTGCTGAGTTTGGGGGGTCATCATTGATCTGCAAAAATAATTTCCACAAAAAAAAAAAGATACCACAAATAAAACGCCGCAGAAAGTAAGGTGGCTTAACACGGTTTTGTTTGGTAACGATTAATTGAATGGTAGTTCTCGGCTTGTTTCCTTGAAAACATTATTCAACAAATGCCCAGTTGCCTCTCATTAAATTTTACCTAGACTACCCTTGTAACTTCATAGCCTATCGGATACATCCTTAAAGCATTTGGTGCTTGTGCCCTAAAAACAAATCCAGTGTCCCTGTTTCTTTTGTTCTTAGAAAAGCCTCTCAACCGGCAGAACCTCTCCACCCTCATAAGAAAGTACCGTCGATCTGCCGGGGGGGGGAGGGGAAGAGAGATGTAGTCTGTGATGGTCACCCCCATCTAGGAAGAAGTAGCAATACACCTCGCTTCATTCACTGTCCAGCTGTATAACTGACTTTGTAATTTCCAACCGTTACCTATTGAAGTGCTGTTGCAAATGCAACTTAACAAAAAACTTATTGCAGGAAAGCAGCTTCGAGATCTACGAAAAACTACCTTCCAGTTTTTGTATGAAAAGTTAAAATTGCATAGATGTCCGATTGAGGCCGGAGCACGAGCAAAATTCTCCCTTCCCCCTCCCCCTCTCCCCCATCGGCTCAAATGCCTGGCGCTAAACTGCTCCTATGCCCAATGACGTCGTTTACTGAAAATTCACCTCAGGTAGGCCTTCATAGATTGTGCTTGTAAAAATAGCGTATTATGCTACTAGCATTGATAAATTTTTTCCGAGTTATGCTCAAAATTATGCTTGTTTCTGAAAATTGTATTACCTTTTCTCAAAGGATATGCTTTTTAAATAAGAAACACAAAACAAATCCAAATAATGTATTTATTGTTAAGAAATCATGATATCCTCTTTATTTTGTGCTATATACTTGCTCTGATAAAACATAATTAACTACTGCACTTAATTCCAGACTAGAAGCGGTAACTTGAAGTGGCAAAATGTACAATGTTATTGTTAGCATCACGGTTATCTTCGACGCCACTTTGTTTCTTATGAAAGCGGAAACTGGGATTAACGCTTTCTTTACTTCCGGTGTGCCCAGTCCTTTACATATTGAACGACTCAGTATTGAGGTAACCTCCTTCACCCAAGACATTGCAAAATTAGACTGGACCATGGACTGAACTTGAAAAAAACAAATCTTAGAAACCAAACAAGTCATGACTCTAACAATGTTCCTTCGAAAAAACGAAAAAAAAATGTGCTGAGTATGCTAGCAGTACTACTTTTAATGAAAAGAGCAAAAATTATGTTCGTTTTTCTAAATTATAATGCTGGCACCATCTACAAGGGACTACCCCAAGCCTTAATTGCGCTTAACAAGTGTTTGCCACTTTCTGATTGTTTTCAAATTAATGCTCTGTTGATTTCAGTGTTATAGGAGTACTTTTCTGACAAAATTCACCAGTCCGCGCCTTGAAAGCGAAGTTCGAGAGTGAAATTGGGCATTTCGATATATACAAGCACAAAACCTTTCCGTACAATAAACTATTTCAGGTCTCGTTTTATCGTTTCTCGATTCCCTAGTTCAAGCCTGAATTTTGTACACAACTGCACATGTAGTATTTTTAGCTGAAATGATCTTTTCAGACCAAAGGATTGCCTCGAAAGTGGCCAAAATGAACAAGAAAGACTACATTCATTTTGTTATAAGCGCGTGATGTAGGAGAAATATGAGTATCCATGGGGAAAAGCCCGTGGTTCATATATGACAAGTGTATTGTATATAATCAATGAAACCGAATTGTTGTACAACTCTTGTTTAAGGAATGAGTTGGTTTTATCAACTGTTACGAGAGTTGGCCCTTTATCAGGGCGAAGAGTTCTGTCGAAAGGCTAACACTCGACGGTGGACGTCAGCCTTAGAAACTCTTTGCGGTAGCCAACTTACGATATAAACTCAGTTGATGAAACCAAATTATCTAGTAATCGTTCCCCCAACATACACAGCACCGCAGTTTAGAAACTTTCCCCCTTTATTCTTGTTTAGGAAAGTTGTGCGAGTTCTTGAACCAATCACAGCATGCTGAGGCTGAACGTTTGTAATCATGGAAATCACCGTCACTTATATATTTATATTCAATACAGTCTGAAATTTCATTCAATTTAAAAACCAGAGTTTCGCTTCATAGTCATTGCTGAACAGTGGAATCTTGTCGTTCGCTAATAGGTCATGTGACATGTCCACAGGCCGATATCCCATCAGGCGCATCGCACCTCGACAGTAATGCTCTATGACGTTGATTTCGTGTGGATGAACCTTCCACCTCCAACGATTAGCCGCTGCCCAAGCATCATCTTTTGTGCATGTGACTAAAGGGCCATCTAATTCACGATTACAGTCCTTCCTACTCTGCTGCGTGGTTTCGTTTAGCCATGCGCGCACGCTTTCCAACAAAGACAACCCAGCAAAGTCGTAAAGTCTTTCTAACACTTTTGATGGCTCCATCGCTAAGTCCTCGTACCGCAGGAGCATAATCCGTGCTCGCAAAGAATCTGGTAACCTCCTCACTAGCTCCAAATTCCTCTCTGTTTGTTGACACAGCGTGTAACTGTACACCCTGGTGCCTAACTTAGAATCAGACCCTCCTTTTTCTTTGAAAAAACCAATCTGAAGTGAAGATGGGATCACTGCTCGAGGGTCTCGAACGAGGAAGATAATCTTGCATTCGACGTCGTGCGAGTCACAAGCGGTTAAAACTGTTTTCATATTATTCTCAGGAATTCGGGAGAGAAGGATTTTCAAGACGGTCAAATTGTACTTATCCTTACAGACGTCACCTAAGGACTGGCTTGACAAAGGAGGGCAAAGTTCGGTACTCCATTTGGGATCCGTCATCTCAACTGGACACAGAGGCGGTGATCCCATTGCATGGCTGATGCGCGGATGTGCTGGTTTACGGTAATAATTCTCAATGTCCGCCAGTGCGGTCTGAGGCTGATCGAATCTGCATTGAACGAGGGAGGCTAATAGCTTTTCGGCCAGCCTGTTGTAACTAGTTTGATTGCCGCTCTTCTTGTAAACTCGTTGAGCGGTTTGTAACGGTTCGTACATGTAAAACACTGAGGGATGATGGTTAAAAATATCTCCTGTCAGCGAAGACCCAGAGCGGCCATGAGATACAATTATTAGATTTCTACGCGTTTTTTTTGTCGAACCACCAAGGAATGTCTTAAACTCGCCGAAATCATGGACTCCAATTTCACTGTGCTGTTCATCATGGTAATCCAAAGGTTTAAGGAAAAGACCAACGAAATGCACGCATGTGAGAAAAATTGTCGCGAAGCATATCCAAAGAAGCTTCGATCCCAGTTTCTTCTTTAGCGGTCTGGCGAGTCGTACCATCGAAGAAATTTTTGTAGTTCACGGCAAACATTTACAACTTAATGTCCTGAGATGGTGACTTACTAATGATTGACGCACTGTGATACGGTTTCCAAGGCAAAATCAAGTAGTTTTTTAAAGCACGAAAGTGCCTTTCAAATGATCTGAACCAATGGCGGCGCAAGCTCCAGCTGTGAAATGATCATCTTACATACCCTTATGCGGTAAACTCAGAAATGGAGAACTCGCTGAAATAGGTTCTTTTCAATATAGTAAGCGGTCAGATAACAAGCGATGCACAATGGAAGTACAGTGAGGTATTTTTTATTGAGAATTTGACTTATTTTTTTATTCCTAAGGGCGGTCGTAGATATTCCCATACAAACTCTTTTAATTTTGCCATGACCCCAGCTTCGCAAGATGATTATCTCACAGCTGGAGCTTGGGCCGCTCCTGTCAGAACATGCACATATGGTTAGACCCTAGGTTCGGAAAAATAAAGAGACACGCATGCGCATGGTTATAAATTGGCTTCCATAAGCATCATTCGCTACGTAATTTTAGGGGATGATTGCTTTCACCCTGAAGCCGTTTTTGACAAATTTTTTTTTCTTTAGCAAGGCCTTAAACTTTTGGTTGGCTTTCTTGCCAGCCGATGGCGAAGTTTTTCGCATTTCCCCTTCAGCCAAGTCAAATGTTCACCATGGTAACCGTCGCTGTTGCTAGGAAACATTTTCAATGGGCTACCCTACATAACAACTAGTCAACATTGTTTTCAATATGGCCAACTGGCATGTTTCGGAAGCAAATTTTGCGAAATGTTTTATACGCAAGGCAAAAACGTTTTTTTGTTTCCCAGCTCCACAACATAGTTTATCGTGGTTCTAAAGAGCAGAATATTTGCCTCCCCTGCAATGTTTACGAAACAAAGGAAGAGAACTAGCGAACGAAAAAATTACACAACCTTTTGTCAATTCTTCGATAAAATTAATTCTTCAATAAAGTTAATTCTTCATAAAAATGTGTTACTATCATAAATTTTTTCTTGTGGGTCTGATTATTTAAACTGAAGAAATTCTTGGTAGGTGTCAGTAAACACAATTTCCTTTCGAATGCTGCATATATTCGATAACATATTGCCATCTTCCCTAGAAAGAAAAAAAAAACAAAGAGCTTGGTTGTCCAAGAAGCGAGCGAGCGAGCGAGGGAAATTCTCCCGAGTTAATCTGCTGAATATTGAAAAGTACAGTGTTGTCCAGAATCTGTTTTCTACTGTGCCATGAAAAAAATACTGGTCGAAGGCGCTTGCGAAGGAATTGAAAGTTTGATTTAACGGCAAACAGTCGATTTGCTATCGTACGCTGTCTGGTTTAGCATGTACGTCAGTCCCTTAATATCATGTCCGATTTTTATTTCTTATTAACATACGTTCATTGCAATTGAATGTTGAATTAATTTCACAATACCCTGTAGGTTATTTATCATTAGAACTTGAGCTAAATGACTTCTTATCACTTTTGTTACTTTGCGTGGTAAATTTTAGTACGAGATGTGGTAAATTTTTGTACGAGATGTTCGTTGTCAGGGCTTTTCTCTTTATTTTACATGTAATTAACTCACCCAAGGGCAAAAATGAATGTTTGCCTTCAAATCTAGCCGAGTGTCTGTATTTTTCTTTCGATCACAACAACAAACGCAGTGTAATGTCAGACTTCATTTACACCACTGAATATTTCCGAGCTTCCGACTAGTTGAAATAAATTCATGTGGAGACAGTTGATATCTTGAATTTGCAAGTGCGACTTTTGGCTGAATGCTCAACGAGTAGTTTTCAAAGTGTCTGATGAGACTGATGAGCGTTTTGGCCCAGGAAAACAACCTCGCGTGCAGAGGAATGATGTAGTTAGGTATTGGGAGCGAGGGATGAAGTTTTTTAAAATGTATTCATTCTTGGCTTGTGGTGTTACAAAATACTAGCAAACGATTACGCCAGCGTTTTTTTCCCTTTAAAAGCAATTCTCTGTAACAAAAAAAGATAAACCGTAGCTTGTCATCGAGCTTTTCCTTAATTCATTGATTTGGCTGTTCATTTGTGTCCTTTAAGTTTACTTTATTTTTGATCTGTATAAAAAAAAAATCAGTCCACCGTAACCCGTACTAAGTGGCACCGTATGAGGCGATCACCCTGTGTTGAGCGGTAGGTTCTGAAAGTCCCGAATTTTCTTCCCCTTAGTTACTGTAATTTTTTACCTCTGTTCAGCGGTCACCTCTATTTAGCAGTCACAGTCACCTTTAAGTGAATTTGTACTGTCCTCCATCTGTGCTGAACGGTCACTTGAAGCGGAATCACTTAAATAAAACTGGGAATAATCTTTCAAGCAAAATTTGATCCATTTTTCTCTCCCGGAATCAATGTTAGTTGTACTTCTTAAGCGATTTTTGCACATTAAAGGGTCAATTATGGCATAAAATGGCAGTTTTTTTCATTTGTTTAGATTACCCCTATTCTTTGGAACCTTTATTTAGCGTTCACCCAGCCATTACTCGTGGGTGACCACTTTAACAGGTTTGACTGTACCCTGTCAGTCACTGAATGCCTTCACTTGGACTCAGCAGCACATTTTTACAGATATCATATGAACTCATTAATTAAACATTTGAACTTCTTCAGGCTCCTTAAATGCACACAGAAAAGTTCTTTTAAAGTAGAATTACATAACTCTCGTATGTATAGCTTACAAGCACCACAAATTCATGTAAAGTAATACTGTCAAAAGATTGTTTAAACTATTCTAGCCTCTACGATTTTACGTGATTGCATTTCCATTTTCTGTGATTGATACAGACACAATGGAGTTGATCAGATCTTTCAACAATGGTCTAGAAGACTTCTACAGTCTCATCAGTCTGTCCCTCTCCTCAGTCTCTTGATCACTAATAAAACCCTCATCGAAAGTGACTTGCTCCCCACCATTTTTACACTATCATGCCAGTTCGCATCTCCTTGTGATGTTTAGCTTACTTTTGAGTGGCTGACAAGATTAATAAGTTTAAGTTTTGCTTATAAATTAATAACACTTCATCAAAAATCAGTCCTAATTGAAAAATAGGCTTGTTAATTACAGAACATGGAAATGCCCAGATTACTGTTGCAGTCTCATCTGAGTGCTTCTTGTTGGCTCACTTCTATCCTAGTGTCTTTCTTCCACAATATAGGAGTCTGACTCATGACTTTGTCTTTTCTTCACATAGGGAGTGTGTCTCTTTAGTGTAGCATTTATTTCATCTAGGGTCCAGGCAGAGGAAGATTTTCTTGTGCCCATCTGCAAACAACAGAAACAAAAATTAAAACATACAATGCTATACAGAAACTAACAACAACAATTAAAATGAAAGAATTCTCTGGTTAAAATCACTAAAGAATGAAAACTTCTGGCTTCAATTCTTAAACCTTTCAAATCTAAAATGTCAAAGTTTTTGTTTAGATTTTAGTTTTTAAAAGTGTAAAACTGAGGGCCTCTAGCTTACCTATTTGATATTTTTAAACCCAAGGTCTCTCTTATTTCAACCCTTTAACCCCTAAGAGTGACTGGCTTCTAATTTCTCCCCACATTATCACCTTTGAAACAACTGCAAAGGTCTGGGAAATAAAGGAAAAAATACAATCAAGATGCACTTGATTGTTACTCAGAATTATCAGTCCCTTAAGAGATGTATAGAGAGCATTGTGAAGAAAATGAATATTGATGTTAGGGTGTAAAGTGTTCAGTGAATTCTAATGCTTGTTATTCTTCTATTGTTTGAAATTATTTGAATCAGATGGCTTAGCAAATCAATATGGAAAAGGAGAGGGTTGAAGTCAGACCATGACAATAGCTTGGGCCAATTTATACCTGTGCAAACTTTTCTAATGATCAATGCATGCAATCTGGTTGTGATGCAATTTGATACATCCTGTCTATGCCCCACCTACACATTTGTATTGACCTCTGTGAAAAGTAAGCATAGCATGAAACCAAATGTTGCCACAGTCATGTATTGCAAGCAAAGAAATTGTTGCGGTTGCAAGCAATTGCAGAAAAGAGGCCTGAGAAATTCAGGCTTCAACCGGATTTGAACTAGTGCCTTCCAGATACTAGCTAAGTTCTACTACCAACTGAGCTCCTAAGCCACACAATTAGAGAGAGGCACTAGTGAGAAGGTTACTGCATTCTTGCCTGCATGTAAACTGTATCCTGTCAAACTCGTCACCTGACAATGACCACCAGTATGCAATCCAAATGTCAGGATGCATATTGAGGGAGGTATTGGGGTCTATTAGAAACCACAAAACCATAAAAAAAATCATCCAAAAACGAAAAACCGGAAAAAATTGGATCAATATCAAAAACCGCATGCAAAACCAATAAATTTTGACATCCCAACTATCAAATTCCTACTTGATCTCCAGCAGTGACAAGTGGAGGATAGAGAGGTTTCACAGCTATTTGAGATCAGTTTGCAGCTATTTGAGATCAGTGCTGCTCAGATCGAATAGAAAGTGGTACCCACATACGAAAAACGGAAAACCACATCGAAACCAAATCTGAAAACCAAAAATCAAATGCCAAAAAAAATGGAAAATCCCCAAACCACAATAAACACTAGTTTGAAAGGCTTGCAAAGCAAGTTGTCATTTTTAAAACCAAGACAGTCATTAAAAATACCTGATTAGAAGCACAGTCGAGAAATAAATTGATTTCTTCTTGGCAGTGGGTGTCGATAAATCCGTTGCTTTTCCAGCATGCCATAAGCTTGTACATCTCATTCATACAACTTCCCTCTAAAACATAAAAATATCAAATGATGAAAATTATTATCACTAGTAGAGTGAAAAAATTTCCAAACAGCTCAAAAAGATCGTCATCGCTTGACTTTGTGCAACTTAAGTATACCTCCAGGTACTTGAGGTTTGGGAAGTATATTTGGACGAAGTTTCGCCGGAACCTTGCCTCTTTTGAATCCATAAATAATAGTAGGTTTCCTCGCCCGAGCAACAGTTGTAAGATTTACCATGACTGTCAAAAAAATTGATCTCAAAGTCGCTACAGCTCGAAGCATGCCTTCGCCGCCATGTTGAATGTTCTGCAATATACCAAGATGACCCTCGCGCGCCAGCATCGACCCCAGGGCCCCTCTGATTCTCTCAAAGGGGCCTGAGTCATCCCGATCAATACAGAATCAGACGACAAAGTGATGAGGAGAACTGTTTTATTTTTCAATAAATACTTACAAGCACCATTTAATGGATCTTATGGTAGACAGTAGGGAGAGTTGATATGAGCATCTTAGGCAGATTAAAAAACACCAACACCTGGTTACTCTCTGACAGTTTTGCGGGTTCTTTCCACAAAAGCAAAGAGATAAAAATAAATTAGAAATAAGAAATAACTGCCATTTCTCTTCGCCACATTGAACATAGTTAATGATTCCTCGATGGAAATCTCCGTTTTGTTTATCTGTGTGTGTTTTCATTTCTTTTCGTTTTGGCTCATCGTTTCATCTCAGTACCACGTGCTTGAGTAATAAATAACTTTTCACATTCGGTTACTTTCTTCAATATACAGTCGTTATATTATTTCCATTAGCTGCCGGGTGCTGGATTTTTTCTAATTGTAAGTTAAATTGCGCATTTCTTTTAACGTAGAAGGGACCCGTCATTCTTCATCACCAGTGGGGTGGGGGAGGGGGAGGGGGGGTAGAGAGGATTAGATAATTTTGGTTGTGTTATGTCACGGGCTGTGTCACGATAAAATTTATTTGATCCCCCCATAAGATTCTATAATATTCTTATCTTCCCCCCCCCCTTCCCCTCATTGGCATTTACAGTATAATTGGCAGTCAAGGTGCTATAGTCCCTCCTTTATACTCTGTTGGCGACGGCTAATTCCCAATGTCTCCCCCTGAAAACCACGTGATCCCCCCCAAATATTTCCCTCCCCGCCATAAACAATGAATAGTCCCTAATAATTCGTCCTTTCTCTTCCTTCTTCGCCTATTGCTTTTATTTTTGCCCCATGCCCTTACGCGGCTCACACCTTCCTTGGTCACGCTTCTCCCGTTTGAATAAACGGAAACAAAACGGCATATTGTTCAAACTTCCGATATTTGAGCGATACGCTTTTCAAAGATTGATTGATTACCGATTATCGACTGTCTATCGTTTGTGTATCGAAATCAGAGGGGCATTTTGTTGCGCATGCGCCAAGAAAATTTGTTCGGCGCGTTCGGCGCCATTTTGATATTTTCAGCGCGCTTTTGCGGGTTTTCAACTGAGCGATCGACACCTTTCTGTGATATTTTTTGGAGAGGGATGGAAGAGTATGACAAGTTTACCACCATTTCTAACTCTGTGGATACTTGTGGAGTTTCCTGGCCCTTCGGATGAGGATATTTTAATGATCAAAGTGCGAACAAAACGCGAAAAAAGGTCGAAAACTTGAAGTTTGAGATTTGATTTGCTGACGATCAAGATGTGCACATGAGACTACAAACCTTGAAGGTTAGTCTTAAGATGTTGATGTCTTACTTCTATGAATCACGAAGTGATGTGTGGAGGCGATCGTGAGATATTCGTTACGATAATAGAAGGTAGTTTACAATTTGATCTTATTTTACTTCAACTTTGAAATAAAATTACGTTAAGTTCGAGGTGGCCCCCAAGCTTCAAATCACTTCAAATAACATCTTCTCTTCTTTCTCTTTGTTGTCCCATTGGACACAAGGCTTAAAAAAATGATCCAGCTTCAGGATTGAGTTGCTCTTTCTACAACCTTCGGCGAATTCGTTTTTGGGAGGTTGAGGTGGATTTTCAAAGTCATGGCTCACAACTGTCTTTGGCCATTTTGCTCTCCAAGTCTGTTGTACTTGGTACGTAGGCATGCGTCTTAACAACGTTTATAGTCTTGCCTCGATCATCTGCGGTTTTATCTAATTTTGTTGCTGTGTTTTGGTGAGAATTTTTCTGATTGCCCTTTTGGGCTTTAAGGGCTAATTAGAGGATAAACTTCGGTAGAACTTGTTTTATCACATGGCCCCCAAATCTCTCACCACTGTCAGTTCATTGTTTATTTATTTAGCCTTCGGTCTAACCAGTTCATTTACCTCAAAAAAATGCGTGGGCTTTGTCTCATGAGTTTAAACTGGTGCCGTTTTCTTCATGTTCATGTGTTATTCGAAACGGATGGCGTCAGCTTCATTCTGTCTTGTTTATTTCAGTAGAATACTTCTTCCATACGAAATGAATTTTGAGTCGAAGTGTACTATAAAACTCGCAGATTAAAATTATCTAACTTTCTCTGGTTCTTAAAACATGAGGTGAGCGATACAATAAATGAATAATTACTCAAGGGGCTGGAACTCTCTTTCTTTAGAATGTGAACTACAGTATTTCTGTCATATTTGAAAACGAATTTCGGGTTAAAATGTCTTCAAACCAGTTTGACTTGTATTTCTCTTTGCCAGATAAGTCTTGATCCTTCAATTTTTATTTCTTAATTGAGACTGATGATTGGAATTAACTATTGTGTTCTCTGCTGTTTAGGGAGATGTGAAGTGACCCCACTACATATGGTCAGTACTATTGACAGAAAGGATAGGTGTCACATTTGCTGTGGCAAGCTGGCATTCAAGAGAATGTCATTAGTACCAGAAGCTTACTACTGGTATAAATTATCAATCTTTTGTTCTCTCCACACAACTTGCCTCAACTAGCTTATGCTATATGCAACTTGTGTCTATACCTTTTTTGCAACTATAAAATTACCAATAAAGTTTTTTGAAAGTTTTGTCCAAATTTCATGGGAAAAGAATATGAGGAGTGATCAGGTGAAATATTGTCCTGTTCCATAACAGTGTTTGAGCTTCCAGGCAGAGCTAAAAATTTCTTAAGCGACTGATTTATGATTTTCTGCCTTAAAATTATTAATTTCTGTAGATAGGCATCCAAGCTGATGCCCATTACTGCAGAATATGCAATATCAAAGTCCCCTTTTGACTTAAGTCTCATTTCTCTAAAATCTGATAGATGTAAAGCATCCATTTTCATAAAGAGATCAACAAACCTCTTCACATTAGTTTAATCTGACCTCACTAAGTCTTATTCCTGAAAAGAAAAGGCTTTTTTTTTTATCCTTACTGTTAAATATCAGCCTTACCGGTTCTTTGTTGTTTAGCATGTGTAAGAGTCTTTTCAGACCATCAAATTGTCACACAACTCTTGCAATTTAATAGGTTGAAGAATAAGGTTGCAAAGAGCGTATATGATTTTTTTGTGCAGTTGAAATGATAAATGATAGTGATTTTCATTGGGTAATAATTGATTTATTTAACTATTCATCTTACAACTGGAACCCTAAAGTAGTACTTGTTTTCTTTCACAATTTCCCCACATCATCGATCATATCTGATGATATTTCCGAGACTAATGATTGAAAAGACTTTATCTTACTCTGATAAAATCCATAATTATTCCTCCATTTCTAACCAGATGGAGCTACCATCTCTCTAGCATTAGCATTGTCTTACTTTTCTTTACTTGACATTGACCTTTTTTATTTTGGTAATCGGCCCTGCCGGTTGTGATTCATGTCAAAAAAAAACTTTTGAAACAAAACATAAACCTCTGTAAACTTTACATTTTTGCCAAAATTGGAGGTACACTGCACTAACAGTACAGTTGAAGCTCTAAAAAATGCTTACAGAAAGGCGAGTACTTCAAATGATCACCGATAACTTGAGATAGCAATGACACGATAAAAGTATACTATCCAATTCTTTTGTACTCTTCGACAGGCCACTTGCATCCTTCAAAAATAACATCATCTTCATCGATCGCCCAGACAATCACGAGACAAGACTCGAACAATCTTTTGCATTCTGAAAATAACTTCCTTCCACACATCACACAATAATTTCAAGGATTTGCCGCTTCCATCTACGTTACAGAAGAAAAAATGAGAAGAAAGGTTGTCTCAAATACTCGAACCATTGTTTTTTCCGACGTATTTTACTGCTTCTCTTCTTTCGTGATTCTCGAGAGGGAAACCGACGCAGGCGCATACCAGCGGTTTCTCGTATCAAACTAAAATTTACCGGACATGCGCAACAAAATGCCCCTCTGCTGTATCGGAAGACATTCGGTTTCAATATCGATCGTGACGTAATTGCAAAAACTTGCATCTACTTCGAAGTCTCGTGTTAGTCATATGACAAAACTTTCACAATCATTTTTTCCTCGATTTCACCCTCTAATATCTCAAAGGAATGAGCCAAACGTCATGGAAATCTTGAATCGTTTAGAAACTTCAAACCAGCCGGAAATTATCACTCAGACTGTTGATTCGGATGCTTTTGACTCAAACATTACCGAATGTCAATCGCAACTCAATCCCGATTTAGTTGTGTACCCCATGCGATCTTTAATCGATGAAAAGATCAGCATCGTCGTTAGAGGTCTCACTCCAAGACAGCGCATAACATTGAAGGCAAAACTAACTGGAGATTCCAAAGAAGAATTCGAATCTTACGGCCATTTTATCGCGGATGGAGCAGGAAGGGTTTGTATTGCGGAAACTCCATCGTTATCGGGAACATACACCGGTGTCGATTCTATGGGTCTACTGTGGAGCATGAAACTTTTACCTGGACAGAGGAAAGGGCAACGGCTAAGCAAGAAAGACGTCACAAAACCTTATTACGTTCACCTCCACTTATTTAATGGCCATGTTGAGGATTTTGCCTGCAAAGAAGTGAAGGAACTGCAGCCGATCCGTAGCGTGACATTTGAGAGGTGTTACATGACATGTGGTGTGCGAAGAATTCCTGTTAGGAATGGAAGGTTGCGAGGTACTTTGTTTTTACCTCCTGGAAAAGGACCGTTCCCAGGTGAGTTGAAGAGACTGCCTGTTTATGTTTTTTGTTTTTGTTGTTGTTGTTGTTGTTGTTTATAGCCTTCTCTTTCTACTAAGAAAGATCTTTTAAAGGAATTCCCGCGTAGGCCTTCTTTAGGGCATTACACATCTCTTAGGGAAAGGATCGTTGCGTGACATATTAAAACGATGGCTTCATAGGACATCATACCCACAAAGTTACGTTGCGAAAGGTCATCGCAACTAGGTGGCAATTAAACAGAATCGAAAAAAAGACTCGGGTCTCAACGACTTACACCAAGAGAGGGTCAGGTAAATTTTATGCTTCCAACAAATGATCGTCCTATGATACAGAGATAGCGCTGTTCGCATGTTAGAGATAGAAATTGCTTCTTAATTTTGCGTGGTACCAGGAAAAATTCTGGTGTTTAATCGGTGCAGATGGCTCTTTCATAAAAGTGAATATGACTGACGGGTTACAGAGAAAACATTCGCTGCCCGACTTAACCGACTTATTCCAACAGTCAAGTTTCCACGAAAGAAGGGCGGGGGGGAGGGGAAGTGGGAGTTGCAAGAAATTGTTTGGTATACATCCTCCTGCCAGTTCGTGTAGCAATAATGAAAACGGTTGCGGGGGATACCATAATACCCTGTCACCCTCTCTTTCTCTCTCTTTCTCTATCTTTCTAGGTATCATTGACTTGTTCGGCACGATTGGAGGTTTAGTAGAGTTCAAGGCCTCCCTTTTGGCCTCTCATGGCTTTGTAGCCCTAGCCCTGGCCTACTTCGCGTACGATGACTTGCCAAAGGTACCAACAGAACTTGAGTTGGAGTACTTCTTCGAGGCCTGTGATTGGATGCTGGCGCATCCTGACGTCATGTCCTGTGGTCTGGGAGTGATGGGCGTTTCTAAAGGTTCGGAGTTAGCTCTTATTTTAGCAACACATCAGAAAGAAGTAACTGCGGTTGTGGGTATCTCTCCTGCGCATGCTCTCATAGCTTTTCCGCTGAAATATAAAGGAGAGCCGTTGGCCTTCCTTAAATTTGAACCGGATCTCGTCAAGCTGTCAGAAAATGGAGCTATGATCTTTAAAGAATCATACCCGCCGGATGCGACTGATGGTCCGAGACGTGCCGCTACCATCGCAGTCGAGAAAATTCAGGGGGATATATTGCTTATATGCGGGGCTGATGACCAGAATTGGAGGGCACAGGAAATGGCACGCAAAATCCGTTCCAGATTGCATAAATACGGAAAAGGATCGCGTTGTACAATCCATACTTATCCCGGAACGGGACATTTGATTGAGCCTCCTTACACACCCACGTGTCATCTTTCCTATCATAAGTCGTTTGGGATGTGTGTGGAATGGGGCGGTGAACCACGACAACAAGCATTCGCCCAAGAAGATTCCTGGAAACATATCTTAAACTTCTTCGCCAATAACCTGTCATTGAAGAATAAGAAAAGTCGTTTGTAGTTCAACATTTAGTTCTCTAGGTGGAT